GATCCTAGATCGCTGCCACGCGGAGCCACCCCCGTATTTCACCCCCAGGGGGTTGTGGACCTGGCAAAACCGATGAGTTCGGGCTGCTGACTGTTCCACCTCTTCCGAGTGCGATCATGTTACGCCTCACGCCTCAAATACTGCATCACAAATTTCGTTTTCGATATGGGGAGGGGGGATTTTTCTTTTTGATATATTGTCGCTTCAACACGTTTCGCGCGAAGAAAGTCCTGCGTCCCACGGTCTTCGTAGACCCCAGCCGCGTCCCGACGCCCAAGTCCGGCAGCAACACGGCCTTCGGCCACTTGCCGCTGTCGCCACGAGCAAACAGGTCTCCCCCCAGCAGCAGTGACGAAAACGGAAACGATTCCAACAACATAAACAATTACCCGGTGCTCCCGCCCGAAGAGAGCAGCCCCCGCGCGGTCGCCGCGGGACCCATCGTCGGCCGGCATGACAGCACGCCGGTGTACGGGAGCGGCATCCAGTGGGTGGAGGAGGACGCGACACACACCTGCTGGGTGCATCTGGACAGAAAGTGGCGACTGATGAACTATGGGAGGGAGCTACTGAAGGACCGCATCGCCGAGCGCGAGATAAGTCCCAACTATTCGGTCCTCGGCGTAAAAAGCGCCGGGCTAGACGAAAATTCCGCGTGGACGTCGGAGGCACAGCGCGAGCAGGCCGAAGCCCCCTTGCGACAGGAGGTAGCGGAAATTCTACGCGACCAGGGGCTGTACGCCCTGCTAGAGCTGCGGCAAGACGTGGACCAGCCGGACCAACTGGTAATCCCCGAAACCGACTCGGGTCTAGAAAATCTGAAGAACCGCTTTGCCGTGCCAAGTTATTCGTCCGCTTCAGCTTCGCAACCAGGTACTACAACATCATCCCCCAACGGTAGTTCGGGCAACCAAGTCGACCCTGAACCTCTACCGGCGAGCAGGACCGGGCCTGGTACTAGTCAGCCACCAGCAAGTATCATATGAAAAAAGTGGTTCACTGTAAGGGTTTTGCAGGCTCTGCATCACAAGTTTGTTCTACATGACAGAGAAAAGTTGCCATGCAAGCTTCCTAAGGGAAAACACAGCTGAAAATCAACTGTCTTGCATGTGTAGCAAGACAAATAGTTCTGTGCTTCGTTTTCTGCATCACAAGTTCACAGTGAAACAGTTTTTTCTTGCGATAGCAAGCCTCGACGACGAGGACGATGCCCAGCCGCGCATTCCCCTGGAGTATCAAATGTAAAAATGTCTGGGTCTGGAAGAATGCGCGATTTGTCATGCTGCTTTTCCATGACCCATGAGGTCTGGAATGCAGGACCTAGCATGACAGATTCTGCGACACTTCTCTAATGCCTATCCTGCATGAGAAACTCCCTCTCAACTTGGTCAAAAGTGGGCAGCTTTTGGTACTCACGCAACACAGATTTTTGCATGCTGCAGATTTAGCATGACAAGTTGCAATCTTCCAGACCCAGACATTTTTACATTTGATATGGAGGAGCAGAGCACGATTTTTCTGATATCCTGAGTAAATAAAACGTCCCCACCCCATAGTTGTCATGCAAATCTGCATGCTCAAAATGTTTCTCATGCGGAGCCCCATGAAAGGCATTTTCTCTTCGTGTTGTGGAATTTGTAATGCTCCAATCAGCATATTAGGCTAGGTCTGTGATGCTGCTGAACAAGCTAAAAAAGATTACACTACGAGGCCAAAATTGTCATGCGCAACAACCAAAGCTGGCTGATTTGTCTAGCAGATTCCCCATCTTGACTATGGGGCGGGGACGTTTTTGCTCAGGATATCTGATGCGCGGCCTTTACTCGCCCGGGAACGAGGGGCCGGTAGAGAGCTGCCCGATCATCTGCGATCCCGTGATCTGCAAACGCGAGTGGACGGACCGTTGGAGGGACAACTACATGGGGCAGGCGTAAAGCTAAATAATTTGGCGGGCAAATAATCTTTTAGTTTTTTTAGAAATTCCGGTCAAAACGGAAGATTTTGTTCGTATCGTCTGGATGCAGCCGCAGTAGTTCTTGCGGCAGTACAACTGCTAACACGGCGATGCGAGTGCACTAATGCTGCTATCCGCAAGATGTGGTTCCGAATGAAATACTTACGAGATTTCACAGATTCAAAGGTCCAAAGCAAAGATTACACTTGAACATAAATCCGCAGGTATTACAAGACTCCGGTGGCTGTGAATGGTGTGCTTGCGCCCTACGAGGGGGGTTTCTTTAAAGGCTGGTGCTGGAAACTGTTGGTGCCGATTTTTGCGCAGTGCTTTCAAATGTGGATGGCCGGAATTATCACCAAGCAGTTGAGCTCAGTGTACCGAACGCTGGGACAGGCTGTCGGTGCCGTGTGCAATGTAGGAGAGTGCACAACTCCCCCTCCTCCTCATATGTATCGCATGAACAGCAGTACAAACACCAGCACACTTCGTGGAGCCTATGCATGGCAAATTTATGTGCCTGATGTAGTACTGGTTGGATCGCTTCCGGAATTTGTCATGCATTTATAGTGATACAAGGCAACTACAACTGGATTTGGGCTTTTGCATGAGAAATGAGAACGAGGGTGAGTTGTGCATTCTCATACAATGTTTACATCGGCGACTACTTGCTGCTGCGCAATCCGGAGCCGGCAGGGGGCGGGGTACAATCGGCGGGCTACTGTTTTTTTTTCTTGATATTTTTTTTTATAGTTGGCAGCGTTCTAAGAGCTACACAACGAACTATCCATCAAAAGGTGATGTCCGCTCCGCTTTCAACATTGACGAATAAAAACCTGATCTAAACAAAAATAACAGAGCAACGTCCTGGAGATGGTGACCATCGGGTTGATCTCCTTGATTTTGGGGATTTCGATTTTGAATTTCATGAATGCGCCGACGCCCCCGCCGATGGTGGAGCATCAAACGGAGCTCGCGGAGCTGGGGGATCCGGAAGAAAACGAGTTCAATTTTGATCCGTCGGAGCGGGACTCAGCGAGTGACGATGACGAGGAGGACGAGTTTTTGCAAAAACGCTCTTACGTCGACAGTAAAGTTTGAATTCGGCTGCGCGCAGCGGGATAAGGTCGTGCTCGTGTCGTGTCTGCCTAGAGAGCAGCGCTACGCTACAGATAGATTCTGGCAGACAAACGTTTCGATAGCGTCCCTTTTCTCGTAAGCAGTACGTACACCAACTAGCAAACGCAAACTGCGAAGATGTGTGAAGAAGCAGGTGAAATAAATTTTTGGTATGAGAAATGAAAAAGTAGCGCGAGAAATGTGCTGCGCCCAGTAGCATGCTTATTTCCAAGAAGTTTTAGAACGCTAGACAACATCAGTGCTGCTACAAAGCAGTCCACCTCGCGCTAAGGATTTTACAAATAATGCAGTTTACAAATATCAATCTAAACCTCGCTAAAGAATTATGAAAAAAAGATTTTTGATGACGCTCCGAGTAAGCGCTGCGCATCAGCATGATGTGCGCTTTTCGCGAGCATCCGAACAGGAGTAAGATCCTGGACAAAAATATACAGTGAAAATACAGACCAGACAGCTTATGGACCTCGTCCGTTATAACCATAGCGTGCGCAAGCACTCGCACCGAATATGAACTTCAACGCAAACTTTTTAGTTTTAGATTTAACCTCCGACGCCAACGCATTCTTCGAAACCACAAATCAAAAAATCTAACGAACCCACAACCGACAATATTTTGCAATGATACAACTATACCAGAATAAAACTTTACCAAGGGAGGTATAGTTGCCCTGTCTGGCGACATCTGCACCCCCGGGTAAAAAAGCATTTGATGCTTGGCCAAAAAAAAAATAAAAATGAACAAGACGCGCCGAACTCCATGAGTTCACTCAAATACTTAGATTGTTGTACCAGAGCCTGCAAGAATTTTCTTTGGAGATGTGAAAGTTGACCGCGGGTATTAAAAGCTTTCCCATTATTTACTCCTCCGCAAACATTACTAGTAGAGACGATACTCTCGTTGCCCGCGGCCCGGACGCACCTTGTGCGGGAGCCACGGAAAACCCGAAGAACGAGCAACGCAAAACCCGGAAGAGAAGTTGGAAGAGGCGGTGCTGTTCCATTGCTAGCAACTTTTGAAAGCCTGCCTGCCCGACAATTTTATGAATTGGAAAACGATCATCTCGTTCTCGCTGCTCACACTTGGTTCATAAGTAGCAGGCTTTTTTACGTTTTCGATTTTTTTCTTTGTACTTCGACAGCACGGAGTTGGAGTCCTAGGATTCCTTTTTTAATGACCCCTTTACTGGGTAACATCATCATCGTCATTATTTCCGTGAAGCTGTCGGTCCAATCATACCAGTTGCGATCTTTTTGTCGAATGAGCACTGCAAAAATTATCTTCATGGATTTGCTCTTTTTTGTGATTTTTTTCAACCCGACCTGGATAGTAAAGCATACATAGTCGCCGAATATTAAGAGAAATCCCCTGCTAGTATTGAAGACGCTCGACGGATCAACATCTGTTGCCACTGGCCTCGTCCAAGACAACATATCTCGTTCTCCGGACAAGATGGTCTTCAGTAGTTTCTGCTTCGTTTTCGGTTTCTTTCGTCTGCTCCTGGTGTTTTACAACTTTGACACCGTTTATTTTCGTCCAGCGCACGCGCAGGAGAATCATGGTGGTACAACGACGGAGAAGAAGAAGGACACGAGCATGGAGTCCACCATTATGTGCACGTTTGACGGGCTATCCAGTGCAAATATCCCTGGATGTCTGGAAGGATCCGAACTTGTGATGCGACTTGCGGATCGTACGAAGTAGATTTGTGTTGCATGACTGGCAACAGGTGCTCACTTTTGGCCATGCTGAGAGGATATTCCTCATTCAGAACAGGCATCTTCACGAAGGGGCTGCAGAAGCAGAACCTGTGATGCTAGGACCCGCACCCCAGATTTGAGGGAGCTAGCAAAAACTGCATGACAACTCTCGGATGAATCTTCCAGACCCAGTAGACATGTTTGCATTTGATACGGGCACCCCGAACTGGATCTGGTCGACTGGACGGCCTACTTCGCACTGCTCCAGCAGCAGTGCTATCAAATGTAAAAATGTCTGGGTCTGGAAACTTGTGATGCTGGGTGGCGTCTCATGGTGAGGCTATAGATGCCGGCTCAGCATGACAAGTTTCTGAGCTCCTAGGTGTTGCCTATTCTGCATGACAAACTGCGCTTCGGCATCACAGAAAAACGGAGCCCTTGGGCAACGTGCGTGACAGATTTAAGAGTCATGCCAGACAAGCATGAGAAACATGAATTCTTCCAGACCCAGACATTTTTACAGTTGATAAGTGCCGCTACGAGGAGATGCAGTTCCGCGTGCTGTGCGGCCCGGAGGCGGTGGCGTGGTCCTCCTGGATTACGGAGACCATGTATTGCGAGGAAAAATCCCCCCTCCCCATATTGAAAAAGTATGTTTCCGAAAATTTGTGTTTCTGATTTGTGACCACAAATCAGGTTTGTCGTGCAAGAAGACAAGTGCAGAGGCATCCGCCCAATTGTGGAAGCGATTTGGCATGCTGTTGGCCCCAGCGGGTAGCCGTTTGCAATGCTGAGCAACTAGACCTGCGCGCTCCCACCTAGGCTGCGGATCCGGCCGCAGTGCCTTACTGCAAGACAAGTCGGATTGGTGTACGCAAATTAGCATCAGAAGTTTCCATTTTGATATGGGGAGGGGGGATTTTTCATCTTGATAACATGGCGTTCGAGACCCGGTACCACGAGCTGAACATGCTCTGCCCCAACGGCGTCGTGCAGGCGGCGAGCATCGCCCTGGCGCACAACACGACGGCCCATTTGCGGCACCGCTGGCTGGTTCGGGAGGCCTTGCAGAAGAGCTACGTGCTCGACAACAGCAAGTGGCACGTGAAGACCGTGGACGCCCTGGAACTGCTCCACGACACCTACCAGAAGGAGAACCTGCACGCCGTATCCGCGCTTCCGCCCCCAAGAATCGCCAATCAACTGGCGATTTTCGGAGATTCCGGTGTTGCGCCTCCGGACAAGAAGATGGGGCGCACTCCGGACGAAGTAGAACTGCGAGCGGGGACGTCGATTGGGCAACAAGGCGCAGCAGGTGGTTTGCGAAAAGGCGCCGTGTATGGATTGCAAAAGTGTCTGGGTGTGGAAGATTGCGGGACTTGTCATGCTTGTCTGGCATGACTAAAAAGTTTGTGATGCGTGTCCAAGAAGAGACCCTTTTGCGTGTCATGCAAAAACGCAGTTTGTCATGCGAAAAACGCAACACAAAGAGAAAGAAGCGCAGATATTTCTCATGCTTGGCTGTGCATTACAGAGCATTCACTATTCCAAACGCAGCATTACAAGTTTCCAGACCCAGACATTTTTACATTTGATACCGTGACCATCCTTGCGCCCTTCGCGGACGCCAGTTCCGCGGTGTCGTTCTCGCACTTGCTGGAAGTAGGGGGAAAGAACAAGAAAAACACCTATCAAAATGAAAAATCCCCCCACCCCATATCAAAATGGAAATCTGTGATGCTGGATTTGTGTACGCAAATCCAATCTGTCTAGCAGTAGAGGACTGCAGGCAGATGCAACGCCTGAGTAGGGGCGTTTTGCTGTAGGCACCTAGCAGGGCAGGCATATCATCTGTATGCGATACAGCATTACAAAGTGCCGGGGCAACGCGGCGGATTGTCTGGCTTTGCCCTCTTGCAATACAGGGACGATTTGTGGTCACAAATCAGCATCGCAAATTTTCAGTACTGCCCCTTTTTGGTATGGGGAGGGGGGATTTTTCCTCGCAATAACACTCCCGATTTCCTCTTTCCCGAATCGCTAGAGGAACGGCAACTTTCCCTCGGCGCCAAGCTCAATTACCTGTCTGCGCGGGTAGAAACCGAGTTCACGCTCGTCGTGGCGTCCGAGCTGGTCCCCAGCCGCGACGACCTGCAGCGGCTACTGCACGTGCTCGAGCAGGACGACGGATATCTCAGCGGCGTGAGTTTCTCCGGCCTCTCGGCACCGGTGGAACTACAACACGTAGATGAAAGAGAAAGCATTGGAGGTCCTCGTGCAAGAAGTAGTGTGAGTTCTTCTAAAAGTGGTACAACATCAGCCTACTCCTCCCCCGTTTCCGCAACGTCCCGAAAGCGCGTGCTCGATTTTTGCCACAAATTGGAGGCGAAGCACTGGGTTTTGAAATTTTCCCGCAACTACTATGCTGAGCAAAAACGTCCCCACCCCAGAGTTGTCATGCGAATCTGCATGCCAAAAAAGTTTCTTATGCGGAGCCCCATGAGAAGTAGTTTCTAGTCGTGTTTTGGAGTTTGTGATGCTAGAAACAGCATGATATGCTAGACCTGTGATGCTGCTGAACTAGCGAAACAGGATCACACTATGAGGGCAAACTTGTCATGCGAAACGTTGATTTGTCTAGCAGATTTCCCATCTTGCCTTTCGTGTTGGGACGTTTTTGCTCAGGATAACTACGAGTCCTACACCATCCCACGGGACAAAATGCACCCAGAGCTCCTGCCGCCGGAAACCCGGGTGAGCATGCACGAGGATGGCGCCGTCCGCCACGGCAGTTCGGTACGCATTGCAAATATGTCTGGGTCTGGAAAGTTGCAACTTGTCATGCAAAATTTCGACTACAAAAAAGTCTGCGTTGCATGAACGCCACAAGCTACCCACTCGCTGGTAGGCAAAAGGCGCATTTCTCATGCAGGAGCGGCATCCGGAAGGTCTCGCAAAATCTGTGATGCTTCTGTTTGCATTCCAGACCATGTACGTGGTCCGCGTGAGATGCATGACAAATCTTGCACTCTTGTTCCAGACCCAGACATAAGTAAATTTGCTTTTGATATTCGGTGCGCAGCTACCACGAACCCTTTCTCGCGCACGAGCTGCAGAGCTGCAAGACCTGCGACACGCTGGCGCCGACGTTTCTGGTTCGGACGAGGCTGCTGACCGAGGGCATGCCTTTCCGCGTGTCGCTGGATGGGGAGTGGACGCTGTTGGACTGGTTCCTCCGCCACTCGTGGCACGATCGAAAGGAGCACGGGTTTGCCCAGTGTGTTGGCGGGTATTTGACCCCCATGCCGGCCTTTCAATACTCCGCAATTTCTGATCCCCATGCCGGCGTGGTGAAAGAAGAGAGCGGTGGTCGTGCAGCTGCCCCCGGCGTAATAGTAGGTACAACGGAGAGTAGGGAGAACGATGAAAATAAAAATGCACCCGGGAAGAGGAGAACAGAGAACTCGAAACATATGGATTGCAAATATGTCTGGGTCTGGAAACTTGTAATGCTGAGTTGTGAGTAGTGAACTCTCTGTAATGCACAGCCAAGCGTGAGAAATATTTGCGCTGCTTGGTGTTGCGCTTTCCGCATGACAGTCTGCGGCTTTGCATGACAGGCAACAGGGTCTCTTCTTGGACACGCATCACAAACTCTTCAGTCATGCCAGACAAGCATGACAGATCTTGCATCCTTCCAGACCCAGACATATTTGCATTTGATAAAGCAGGGTCTGCTGCAACTCGTTCCGAGATTTGAGTGGCGCCACTTGTACAGTGGGGTGAAAGCCGACGTCGACTTCTGGTTCCGGAGCGGCTTGAGCCGGGGTTTCGCGCACTGGGCGCCAAACCTGCTCCCGCAAGGCAGCCAAACGGGGTTGGACCGCCAAGTGAAAGAGTTTTTGGAGAAGAATGACCTGAAGGAGATCGAAACGATCGACGGGGTATCCCCAGAAAAAAAACCATCCGCATCCATGTTTTGCATGACAAACACTGGACTTGCTGCAGGTTTTGCATGCCAAATGGTTTTTTTTTTCTGTGGATACGGGGAACTCCGCCAGTACGGCTGCACGCTGCGCACCCCGAACTGTCCCATGGACTGGCTCTACAAGGGGTGGGCGATTCCCCCCTGCTGCAAGCGGACGCTGTGGGACTTGGTTGTGTTCGCCGACAATTTGTTCAAGGAGCACCAGATCGAGTATATCGTCACGGACGGCGCCCTGCTCGGCGGCCTCAAACTTGGTGCCCTGCTCTATTACAATGAAAAATGCCCCCACCCTCGAACTTGGGAGCATTTGTATTGCAAACCTTTCCAAATGAAACATTCGCCCTCTTGCATCTATCAGCATCACAGGTTTCCAATCGTGAATGGCAAAAATTTGTATTGCAAAAGACCCCAGCAAGAGCGGCGCTTGTCATGCAAGCGATGCGATAAATGCCTAGACTCTGCATCAGAAAGATTCATACTCCTTTCATGTATGACAAAGAGGCGTCATTTGGAAACTTCGCATCACACTTTGAGGGTGGGGGCATTTTTCACTGTAATATGCTCGACTGGGACGGGGACGTGGATTTTCACATTCGCGACGACAGTTTCGACCGTTTGGAGTCCCTACCCATTGCAAATATCCCTGGGGGTCTGGAAACTTGTGATGCAAGGAAGGGAAGAGTGAGCACTCTGTGATGCGCTGTCCAGCATGACAAGTTTTTCCGTGGTGGTGAGTTGCGTACTCCGCATGAGCAAGTGCATTTTTGCATGATAGGCAAGAGGAGCGCGTCTTCGCGGCCACGCAATACAGATTGCAGAGTCATATTACCAGACTTGCATGGCAAATATCGCAATCTCCCAGACCCAGACAGATTTACAGTTGATAGTCGCTCCGCCCGTGGATCGAGAAGGCCGGCTACCACCTGCGACTGCACGAGGGCGGTCGGAGCTACCTGCTATGAACTGCAAAAGTATCGTACTCGTAATATAAATGCATTGATGTTTCACTTGGTGGAAGCTGACAGGGTTCTACGAGCTATTATGGGTGTCTATTGTCTATAATATAAATGCATTACAAATTTCCTCAGCGTGATAAGTAAAATTTGTAATGCGGACTTACCTGCTGAAGAAAAAGAGTTGTAATGCATGACCGCAATACGAGTGCGCTGCTTTTGCACAGGATACCTGCTGCAGGCGAACAAGTTCAACTACCTGCTGCTATGGATTGCAAATATGTCTGGGTCTGGAAGAGTGGAACTTGTAATGCTGTCTGCGAATTCTAAAAATATCTGTGTTGCATGAGCAGCAAGAGGAGTCAGTTCTTGGCACGCGGAGAGGGCATTTCTGATGCGTAATTGGCATCAAGAAGCTGTCAAAAAATCTGTGATGCTAGCACCAGCATCACAGACCTCACGGGTCATGCAAAATGTGCACGACAAGTGCCGGCTCTTCCAGACCCAGACATTTTTGCAGTTGATAGCTTCTGGAGCTGAACAAGCGCGCAGAGAAATTTCCCACCGACATCTGGGAAATGGAGATCGAGGGCCGGTGGCTCCCAGTGATGGACTATCAAATGCAAAAATGTCTGGGTCTGGAAGATTGCGAGATTTGTCATGCTTGTCTGGGATGGCCAAAAAGTTTGTGATGCGTGTCCAAGAAGAAACCCTTTCGTCAGTCATGCAAAAACGCAGTTTGTCAGGCGAAAAACGCAACACAACGAAGCGCAGATATTTCTCATGCTTGGCTGGGCATTACAGAGCATTCACTATTCCCAACGCAGCATTACAAGTTTCCAGACCCAAACATATTTGCATTTGATATGGACCACCCGGGGAGAAACGTCAGCGAGTGGTACGGGGAGGGCATCTACACACACTATCCTCAGCAAAAACGCCCCCGCCCCAGAGTTGTCATGCAAATACGCAATGACAGGAACATGTGTAATGCGCCTCTGCGTGAGGGGCATTTCCAATCGTGTTTTGGTAGTTGTAATGCTGCAAATTAATATGATGAGAAAATGGCTCTCTCAACATACGGCTGCCCTTGCTAACCAGCACTACACTGGAGATGGAAAGAACTTGTCATGCGCAATTCCCTTAACTTGGAGATTTGTGTTGCAGATTTAATACCAACTTGACTTTGAGGCAGGGATGTTTTTGCACGGGATACGCACCGGGCGCGCTATATGGATGTGTCAGGATCGAAATCGACAAAATCGAAAAATTTGTGATGCATAAAATGCAGGGCACTGAAGGCCTGTATTGGGGAGCAGGCAAATGAGACCGATTGTGAGCCTGTTTAGGGGTATACAATGTGCTGCCAGAGTAGCATTACAGGCGGAGTCTTCTTTGCCCAATCAGCATGACAGACTGGATTTGGGCACTCCCGAAATTTGTCATGCGCCAATTGAAAACTGAGGCTCCAACTGACATCGATTTTGTGCATCAGAAATTTTTCGATTTTGTCAATTTCGATTCTGACACTTCCATACGCTACATCCCGCCCTGGGAGGAAGACGCGGGAAACTTGATGTTTTGCGCCATATGGATTGCAAAAATGTCTGTGTCTGGAAGGTTGCAACTTGTAATGCTGTCTTTGGATTCCAAAAAAATCTATTTGTTTTGCATGACCAGCAACAGGACTCCAGTTTGTGTTACGCGGAGAGGGCATTTATCATGCGGAATAGGCATTAGGAAGCCCCCTAAAAATCTGTGTTGCTAGATCATGCATCAGAGACATCAATCATCATACAAAATATGCATGACAAGTCTGCATTCTTCCAGACTCAGACATTTTTGCATTGCATACGCCAACCCGGGACACCACAACTGCGTAGACGACCTACCGCACGGCCACGACTGCCGCAACAAAGCCAGGAACGGCGTTTGCGTGGCCATGTCCACGGCGTCCAGCTGAGAGTGTTGTAGCAGTTAGTTCTTGCTCTTTAATTACCACACAATTTGCACAACATTACAGGGGACGCGTAATACATTAATGAAACTCATTTGTGTAGTCGCTCTCGCTGTCGTCCTCGACGAGCAACATGAAAGACAGCGTTTCATCATGCTCTTGTACACCACATCTAACGACTCGGATTCACCAGCAATGCATCTCTACACACGAACCTAGTTGATCATGACAACAACATCATCATCCATGTAATGGAGTAGTACATGACGAGATCATAGTCCTTGTGCCCCCCCAGGCGGGCTACTTACCAGTTCGTTGTCAAGGGCCGCGAGCAGGATGCTTCTGTCAGTTCTTTCGTTCCATCTGCGGCTTTCCTCTTAGGGTTCCCGCGAGCTGCGCTCCTTTCGTGTTGAGTCGTGGAGAGTTCTTCAAGAGAAAGGAAGCAGCGGGGAGTCGTGAGTTCCGCATGTTGAGTCATGGAATTCCTTTTTACACAACTTTTTACGTAGAAAATAAACGAACCGAAGGCCCGCGCGGAGTTTGTGACAATAAACTCCACGCGAGGACGAGACAAGATGCGCCTTTTTCTTGTCGACCTTCTTTTTTCGTGACTACGACAATCATCACGATGTGGCTTGTAACCCTGCTCGGCTGCGCCGCCTGCTTCTTGGCAGAGGGCGGGTTCTCGGTCGTTATTGACCCGAAATACTACTTGGACCCGTACCGGGTGCGGGCTGAGCTCAAAGTGATTGAGCACGAACAGAACAAGGCAGGAGTCGCACGGCCAGACTCCGCAGATGCCGAGCCTCCGCTGCTGCAGCTGATGCACAGGAAGCAAACCGAAGAAAAGAACGCTGAAACTACTCCGGCGAAACAAACGGGGCCCTTGTTGCTAGATACCGCGACATGCGCCAAATTTGCTACCGAGATCAATGCACTGCAGTGTTCCCTGGCGACGCAGGTGACTGGGTACGCGGAGGGATGCGAATGCCAGATGGGCAGCGAAGACGATTGTCCGGGATTCAAGGACACAAAAGAACCTTTCAAGGAGTTCTTTACCGCACAGACCGCGGACGTCCCGCTGCAGGGCGTGCGCTTGTGCATGTACTGGAAGCCGACACCGCCGCAGGACCCGAGCCCGGAAGTCGCGGTGACGAAAGCGGTGACTTTGCGGAATGCGCAACACCTTCTGGACACCGCCGGGATCTACGCGCGTGACGACGCGAACGCCGTCCACTCGGGCTGGCTCGTGCGGTGAAGCTGTCTGCGTGCTGTTTTTCAGGGTACAAGTCCATGTCGCAAAGAAAATCGCAAACAGGAGAGCACTGTATGATGTCATCCTCCTACCAAAAGACGGATTTCACTTTTCTTTTCCACTGGTGCGATAGGCTGTACTATATTCGAGATGTTGCGACAGAACCTGGCCACTATCAGTTCGGAAGCAACGTGCTTCCGCACAAAGTGCAGCCGCGATTTCGGTTCCAGTTTATTTTCGGTGTCGTACCATTTTTGCCACGATACGTAAATATAATAGATCATCTGTTGCACCATTGTAGTGCGGGTAGTGACAGTGACTTAGCTTCATGCTTATGCAAAAGCCGTCGAAAAAGAAACGCTGTGTCTGTTTATTGACTGCTATATATTCATCTGCAATCCTCCTCGGTTTGTTGAGCACAACGCCAGTTGCACATCGGTACCTGTACGGTCAAGCTCTCGACGTCGGTCTGTTGCACGACCCAAATTGGCCTTTCTCGGTGCGTTTTTGATTTCTTCCGTGGTCCTGTCGGTGCTAATTTTCTCTATCTTGCTGGAATAAAGTTAAACACTGAAGACACTGCTTCTGTACAAGTCATATCTACTCTTTAAATACAAAGATGCATGTTCTTCTTGTTGTCAGCACGTTGCTGTCGTTGGACTTGTTCAACGTCGGTTGTTGGAAGAACACACAACGAACCCCCCCTTTTTCTTTGCACTGGAAAATTGCTCGCGGAAACGTGCTTCAGAGCCGTGTCGCGGTACCGAGCCTTTTTCGAAGCAATCAATTGTCAACAAGAAAAATCTACTGTTTTGAAACTACTGAAGCTACTGTTTTGAAACTCCTGTTTTGAAACTACTGAAGCTACGTACTGTTTTGAAGCTACTGTTTTGAAACTAGTGCTGTTTTGAAAGTAGTGCTGTTTTGAAACTACTGTTTTGAAACTACTATTTTGAAACTACTGTTTTGAAACTACTGAAGCTACTGTTTTGAAACTAAGTACTGAAAGCGTTACACTTAAAGAACACACCGACTTCTACTGCGCATCGGAATAGTACATAGAGAATCGATTGCGTCTATTCCTGTTCGGAATTTTTATAAGTTACCTTTTTGATTAACAACCATGAAGGTTGTGTCGGCGCTCGCTCGTCCGACCACTGCCGGGCGTCTGCAGCAAGGGGCGAACCTGTTGGGACCACTGTTTCTCCTCCTGATGGTATCAAAAGGAAAAATCCCTCCTTCCCATAGATATCGAAAACGAATAAACTCGTGATGCTATACACAAATAATCGACATGTATTGCTAAAAGGCAAAAAGGCGCAGCTGTGGCCTCGTTTATTGCAGGCAACTTGTCATGCTGCTTCCCACTTACAGCTGCCTCTTGTCATGCTGAAGATGCGAGGCTTTGCCAGCACGCAACCCAGCACTACAGTCCGCATCTTTTCCCTTTCGGCATTGATTTTTACAAAGCTGATTTGTTGCCACAAATCTGCATCGCATGATATGGGGAGGGGAGATTTTTCTTCTTGATTGAAGGCGTCCAATATTCAACAGTTCGTCGGGGTGGGGAGTGTCCAAGGTGCGCTTTTTGTTCGCGCCGTTCGTCCCCCGACCGCTCAAAAATCGCCCCAAGAACCAGTGGAGCCATACCAAGACTCGTCGTGGGCGTCGGACTCGGAGGACCATAAACCTGTTGGGGAGGGGGGTGGTGATGTTTCGGACTTTCGTCCCGGCCAGGCCGTGGGATCGCTTCTGCAATTGTTCCAAGGACGTGAGCCAGACCCAGAATCGTTTCTGCACTTCGAAGCTGGGCGGGTGTGGAAAGCGCAGACGCCGTCGGAGTGGTTGGCGCAGCAAAACCAATTCCTGGATGCCGCCAGAAAGGGCAAATTATGGAGCATGAAAAAAATGTCGTAGAGGTTTTGATATTTGCGGAAAATAGAGAAAATCAAAATCAGCAATACATTGAGAGAGGTTTTTCCACGCGGCACTCGCTGGGTGGTCAGTTTTTGCGCAAGCGCTACGAATTGAGTTTATTTGTCAGATGCCCCTTGATGACCAAAAGACGGCAAAGTATTGTCGCATTTTTAGGAGTTATTTTAGATAGTGCTTTTGTGGAGGTTGCATACCTGATGGCGTAGGCTTTTGACGAAGCGTGTGACGCATAGTCTCTTTCATTTGTACTTAGTTCTAGTTCGTCCGATACTTTAATTGTATAGCAATTTGTAGTTCCGATGCTGCGCGGATACCTTCCGCTGTGGCGTTGTTTGCACTACCGTTGCTACGACAGTTTTTTTCCGCTCGAGAGTAATTTGAGCAGGTGGAGGAGATGCTAAGGTGGGATCCCGAGCTAGTGAATGCGCGGGGCGGACAAGCGGCTATGAGAGACACTGCCTTGATGCAAGCGGCGTACTTCGGCGACGTGAAGGCCATTACAATGCTAAGCCGGGTGAACGGACTGGACAAGAGGCTGCAACGTCGTCCCAATGCAACAACATGTCCGGGCTGTAGGGCAAGCGAGATCGCCTGGAAAGGGGCTGGCGGCGAAGATCCAACCCCCGCTCGCTTCACGAACGCCGTCAATTACCTGCTTCGTACACGACAATAAAACTCATTTTACTTTTTCGTGGACTCTACGTTCTTGCGATTCGCAAACGCGATGCCAAATACAAATATTCTACGAAAAGAACGCGGCGCCTGCGCCCGCCGTGCTTGTTTTGACCGGGTGTTATCATTGCGTCGGAGCGAGATGGTTTTGCCGTCGCACAGGGGTGTTTGCGGTTTCTAACGCGAGGCTCCTAATGTTGAGATCGTGGCGCAATAGACAAGCTGAAGCTCTCACTTTTTTGATTCTGTCAATAAGATCTGGGCATATGGTCGACGTATAGAAGATCGAGTTGTAATTCTGCTTATTTGATGCTTGCGAGTGACTCCTTTTCACCACCTCCGCAACATTCCAGGTCCAGAGGACTCTCGCCTGCTGAAGGAGCCCCCCGGGTCAGTGCGCCTCCCTGTCCTTTGGGACAACAGGGATAAGTACGTAGCTTGGCTCGCGGACACTCCAGGAGGTGGAAAAGCCCTGCTTTTGCAGCCCCAGGCCGAATACACGAAACGGGTGCCGACAAACAAGCTGTCCCTGGACCTCCTCCGGAACGAAAGAGGGGTTTGGACCTTCGCACAGGAGAACGTCAAGTATACTACAATGTCAGACGTCCAGATGAAGAGGAAGGCGAAAAAATCTTTGATGCATTACGCCGCTGTGGATTTGTTGACAGAGCTGGAAAATAACGGGGGTGTCGGAGGTTTCAATTTTGTTCCCCCCGCCGATGCTGTTGCTGGCCTGACCGGTGCCAAAGATTCACCAACTCCCGCCGACTTCAAGAACGCTGTTGATTACTTGCTCCGAACTCGCCTGGTGCTTTCCGACAGCTCGGTGCAGCTTCCTGCTATCGATGTTGACCACCAGGACCACCAGGCTACGTACATAGCCTGGGTCAAAACCGTGCAAGCCACGGCAGCTTCGCCAGGAGGAAGAGCGCTACTGGTCCAGCGCCGAGTCGATTTCGACAAGAAGAACTCGAAGAATAAGCTGTCCCTGACGCTGCGGTATGCCGATGGAGTCTGGACCTTCGACCAAGAGAGCAGCAAGTTTACCACCATGCCGGATGACCTGAAGCGGCAGGCCAAACGTGCGTTGATCGGCTTCGCGACCTCAATTTCCCAGACTCAGCTGGAGACTCAGCACACTGCGTACGTGACGACCCTTCGCGGCCCTTACGAGTTGGGCGGGGACGCGGGGAAAGCGCATGGTGGATATTGTGCGAAAACCAAGTCCGCGGTGGCGCCGCGAAAAGGCACTTACACGGCCAGCGTCCGGCAGGTAGGGAAGCCCGGCGAGGAAGGTTACGACCCCGCCCACCTCGAGTGGAATGTGTATTACGAGGAGCAAGTGCAAGACGTAGGAGGGATGGTGCCACGTGCCGACGACAAAGGGGCGATCTTTCGTCTGTGGCGCGTGGTGCCGACGACCGCAGGCGGTCAGTTCGGTCCTGTGACGAAGACCAAATTGAGTGCTGCTGCAATGCAGGCCACACTGCCGGCAGCGCCCAAATCAACGGGGCTCATTTTCTACTCTGCAAAAGCATCAATCGACGACGCAGTCCACGCCCCGGAAAACGCAGGCGCAGTGTTTGTGCTCCCCTCTCAGCTGAACGGCGCCGAATATCCGAGTCCGGATCCTCCGGTTTATAAGATCAACGCGTATTTTGGTGACCCTACCGGGGGGCCGCGCGGCCAGCTAGCGGTTCATCCGTCGGCGGGGCAGTTCGTGTTGGACAACGCCGCAAATACGAAATCTGACGGCAAGGGCATCAGTGCTGTGAAGGAAATGCTGCAGAGTGTGAATCAGCGCCTAAGAGACAACTGCTTCCACGGGGTGGAAGCCACAACTTACACTCGTATTCAATTTGACCTGCACAATGGCTACCTGCGCATGCCTGTAATCCCGAAAACCGTCGAAAACGCAGAGGAAGCCGCTGCCTGTGTCGCCCAAAGTTTCGCTGACAATTTGTACCTGATGCGCACTCCGCGCACCGACAACGTTCAGGCCAACGGCATCAATGGCGGAGGCAACGAAGCAAGCTTCTATGTCTCGGACCAGCGCGTGTCGCTGGTTTACGCGTCGGCCATCCCGCACACCTACGCGGATTGCCACGATTTGGTAGACAACCAAATGCTACCGCGCGAAGGATCATGTGGTTCGTACGGTAGGTACGAAAAGTTGATGTCGACGCGGGAAATGTATGACAATAACAACCCCACTGTGAAGATGCACCGAAAAATCGAGATCATGGCGCTGGTTGGTCAGTACTACGGGGCGCTGCGGCAAACGGCGTGCCTGCACATGCAAGAGATGAAGAGCGCCGGCACGACGACCAAAATCCAGGAAGACAAGGATAAGAAACGCATTTTTCTGATGCCATTGGGTGGCGGTGTGTTTCGAAACGACATGGAGACTGTGATCAAGCCGGCGGTTGTCGCTGCGGTGAAACTGCTTTCCCCGGCAGAGCGAGCCGCGTTAAAAATCGTCATGCTAGCTTATCCCGTCAATACTTTTGAGGTGGAGGCGCTAAAGCAACTGGCAGAGGAGAACGAGCTTGATGCGGCCGACGCTAGCGCGGGGGTAAAAAGTCCGACTGCGGTCATCCTGGGAGAGCGAAAGCAGCTTGATTCCACCGGGTTCTCCTCCCTGCATAAGCGGGAACAACAACAAGCCAGAAAAATGCTTCAGCGTCTGAAGAACCGGGAGTTTGAGGCGTGGGCAAGGCAGGTGAAGAAGTTCTGCGAGAAAAAGCCGCAAAAGTGCAAGGCCCTATTGGATTTTGACGATTCATCTCGGGGTCTGGAAACAGCGCTCTTTCAGATCGTTCTGCGTCACAAGTCTGGCTGGCTTTTCGAGTTACTCAAGTACCTTCAGCTACGCACCGCAATCGCTTACACTCTTGTTTCTTCGCCATAGTTGGTCGTGCAGAAAAGTTTTATACATAGAAACGCCTACTGAAATTGAATGCCTTCGAGTGTTGTTTGCATCGATTGTCCTTGTGCATGTGAACGACTTCGTCCGCACTGGTCTGCCAAATACCTCCGGCGCCAAGGATTCAACTTTCCTTGCCAAAAAACTGATCGCAAGGACTGACAGCACGGCTTGCGCAAGTTCGGACTGAACAGCCAGGCAAAAAATTTCAAATTGGTTCCGCACAGCACACGATGCTTTTTCGTACTAAAAAACAAACATGCTAACTAGGGCAAATTCGCAAGCGATAGCAACGAAAGTTTTTTATTGTGTTGCAGAAGATTCCGTGGGAGAAATACAAACAGCACAACACGGATGCGCCGAACTTGTTGTCCGGTTGGCAGGACTACGTGCAAGAGCTCCCGTTGACAGAGGAAGACGAGCAGAACGCGCATGCCTTACTAGGTAAGGCCAAAGACTTTGGCCGTGGGGACACGTTGGAGCAACAGGCAAAGCACGACTTCGGCGCTTGGGCCAACGAGCTAACCGAATTGTGCAGGCAGCATCCTGGGAAATGCGGACAGTTTTTGAATTTTGGCCCCAGCCGCAAACGCCGATCGGCTGTTTGGCAGGCACTTTTGTATTTCATCGGCATGGATGGCAAGATCCCACTCGAGAGGCGGCTCGAACCGTTACAGCTAATCGCAACCACGGTCACGAAGCTACGCGAAGAAAAGGACGTCGCTCATGTTCAGCTACCAAAAGTTTCGCAGGCAGACTACAATTATGGCGGTAAGAACACATGTGGTTTTATTGTGGGGGGTCTTGTTCTGATGAGCCTTATTATTTTGGAGACATATTGATATTTTTGCAACTGTCGTGCTTGGCATGACAAATCTCTATTGACGGTCTGCTCTCGAAGATCCGACGAAAACAAGATCAAATTTTGATTTTGTTGTGCGTGCGGGACTTGGCCTGTTTTTCTTTTTGCAGACGAGCGGTATAATGTCATCGCAAAAGTTGTGAAGGAGAAAGCGCTGACGCCAGGCGCTGTGTGTTCGTCGCTAATCATGATGTAGTTGCTTAAGAAAGTAGACCACTGACACCTCCTATCCACGGATGTTTCAATTCTAATTTGCGTTCCTGGTCGATGACTGGCCGGGGAGGGATGCTGCGCAGGGGACCGACGGTCGGTGGCAGGATTTTGTAGAGGGGGAAGCCGCGCGGCTGTCTGAGGCGGAAATGCGCGTCGCGAATGATTTGCTGAACTATGCGAAAGCGAACAATCTGAAAACGTGGGACGCCCGTGTGAAGGACGTCTGCGGGGAAGCAAATCGTGCCAGATGGAAATGTCCCTTGTTCCTCAATTTCGACCTGGGCGGGGCCCGCCAGACAGCGCTTTGGCAGGTGATTTTGTACCACAAAGGGAGCCACGCTCCGGAAGGTCCGAAGTACTTCAATTTTGTACACGGCGCGTACAAGCACCAGTTGGAAAGTCACTTGAAGAAAATCCCCTGGTCAAAATTCTACCTGTATTGCAATGAAAAGTGCCCCCAACGACCCGGAAGTTGCTAAAGATGTTGCAAAGTTTCCATCAAGTAACCCCGTTTTGTCTTGTATGAAACGCCTGTGAGTCTACTTTCTGGTGCAGAAGCTGGGCGCGCAAGGCATCTTGTACATATCATGCCCCGCTGTTGCCGGGCTCTTTTGCAGCGCAGATTTTTGCTATTAGGACTTAAAAACTTCTTTCGATGCTGATACACCCACGCAGGGTGGGGTGAGTGTTTCCATTGAAAGGCTTCGCAATGCAAGCGCTGCGAAGTTCTGGGGTTGGGGGCGCTTTTCAGTATGATCTGGTAACCAAATGCGTGCGCGCGCGCGCGCAGAGCGCGCGCCGGCCCACGAAGCCGGCGCGCGCGCTCTGCGCGCTTGCGATATTGCGTAGCAAACGCAGCGCGAAGGCAGTTGCCGTTACCATATAGGGCAACCGCCGGGAGGCGTGAAGGTCAGGGAAATGGCCAGAAATGAAGTGGGAGAAGGGAAAAAAAGCGGACCAGATGGGAAAATGGCCAGGAGGGCAAAAATGTCGCAAAAACGGCAGAAACCAAGCGGGAGAAGGTGAAAAAAGAGCATTTTTGCGGTTTGGCCCACTTGATATCTGAAAAATAGACGGACTGTTTTTTGCTCCGCCCGCTGGGCAGCTGCGTTGGAGAAGCAGGCCCGCGACCTGTCCGGAAGCCTTGGGCCGCTTCGTAACTGGAAAAAGTTGGAAAAAAATGGCAAAAATTTGCTTCATACCGTGGGCGGAAGCAATCGTCGGATTTTGTGCAGATCCCCCGGGCCACTTGGAAAATGGGAAAAGAAGAAAAATCTTGCAAAAGCGCAATCCCCCCGCAGGCTTCAAAACTGCCAGTCAGGTGGGGGCGGTGAAAATGTGCAGGTCGCCCGGGCCACTTGGAAAATGAAAAAAGATGAGAAATCGCGCAAAAGCGCAATCCTTCCGCAGGCTTCAAAACTGCCACTCAGATGCGGGCGGTAAAAATGTGCAGGTCGCTGGGGCCACTTGGAAAATGAAAAAAGATGAAAAATGGCGCAAAAGCGCAATCCCTCCGCAGGCTTCAAAACTGCCAGGGAGATGCGGGCGGTAAAAATGTCCAGGTCGCCCGGGCCACTTGGAAACCAGAAAAAGAGAAAAAAATGCGCAAAAGCGCAATCCCTCCGCAGGCTCCGAAACTGCCAGGCAGCTGCGGTCGGTGAAAATGTCCGGAGCCCTTCGGCCACCTAAGAACCACAAAAAAGAGCGAAAATTGAAAAAAACCGAGAACCCTCGGCAGGCTTACAAACTGGCCGCCAAGGGCGGTCCGGCGGGCGCGTGGTCGCGCCATACCATCGGGATTGTGAAAAAAAAAACGCATTAGAAGCGGGCGGAGGGATGTCACAAAATCCCTATTTGCCCTGGTTTGTGGGCACAAATCCTGCACCTCCGCCGCGTCTGAAATGCCCGATTTTGGTGGCCCGGAAGGGTCCGCGGAGATTCGGCTTTCCGCATACCTTCTTGGCCAGGAGGCCAGTTTGTCATGCAGGGGGCTAGAAAGGATGCCCCGCTGCGAAATAGCAGACCGGATTTCGCCTTCAATGCTTATCGCAGGAGCCTGCGGGCCGCCGCGGGCGACAGTAGTTGTCCGCGGCCCTTTAGGGCCGCGGGGAAGTGGTGGAGCCCGCGGCGGCCCGCAGGCTCCTGCGATAAGCTTTGAATGCGAATCCGGAAGCCCCCGATGACCCAGATACCTTCCTGGCCAGGGGGCCAGTTTCTCATGCAGGGGGCTTGAAGAAGAAGGAGTGGGACTGTAATCAAAAATAAATAGCGCCAAAGCGCGGCCCGCAGGGCCGCGCTTTCGCCGCGCGGCTGGTTAGGCTTTCGCGCTGGTTAGAATTTCGCGCACGCATTTGGTTACCAATATCGCCCTCCGGGCGCGACCTTCATACTCTGGCCATGGTTATCGAAGAGCCCTTCTCGTTGGATGAGCTTGCTCCTGGCTGGCACCATTTCGTTGCGGCGCCGGATGGAACGAGTGCGACTGTAGACGAGACTGCGGTCGCGGACCAGCTCCGGTCGCTTGTTCAAAAGCAACAAAAAAGGGAAACACTGTCCGAGCCGCGCCAGGGGGCACGACGTGCTGCTGTGCCGGGTCGACAAGGGCCGACAAGAGGCGCACCAGGGGACGGCACACCTGCACTCCCGCCTCCGAAGATTCCGGCCACCAGCCTGACGCGAGTGGAACGAGCCAGTGCACTGGACGCCCTGCAATTGGCCAAGGCCGGCAAGGGCAAGGCGTGGGCCGAGGCAGTGACGAGGTCCGGGCTTGGCTGCGGGACGGGACACGCTCAGCAAGAAAAGTGTCGCGAGTACTATAACCCGCTCAGGTGTTACAATCTCAAACGTTACAATAGAATATGGAAATCTGTGATGCAAGAGTGCATGATCTAGCAAGCCAACTCTCATGGGATTGCGCATGACAAGTTCCGGAGCCCCAAACCCCACTACAATCCGGCGAAATTTGTATTGCAGAAAGTGGCGCGCTCTGCGAGGTTGTCATGCTCAACATGCAAGACAAATCTCAGACTCTATTGCAACGTTTGAGATTGTAACATCTGAGCGGGTTATAAGTACTTGAACTTTGAAGACAAAGGCCCAGGAGCCGCCTTCCTCTCCGGGGGAAAGGGCAAGACGGCAGTGTGGTACCTCTTGTTTGAAGGGCAAACGCCGGATCTCTTTTATGGATTGTAAAAATGTCTGGGTCTGGAAACTTGTGATGCTGGGCATCGTATCATGAAGAGGCCACAAGTGCTGGCTCAGCATGACAAGCTTTTGAGCTTCTAGGTGTTGCCTATTCTGCATGACAAACTGCGTTTCTGCATGACAGCAAAGTGGGGCTCTTGGGTAACGTGCATGGCAGGTTTAAGCGTCATGCCAGACAAGCATGACAAACTTGCACTCTTCCAGACCCAGACATTTTTACACTTGATCTCTTTTCTGATGCTGCGATTTTCCACGAGGAAAAGTATCGCCAGCAACTCGAGGAGAACCTGGTGGAGGTCCAGAAATTTCTCAACCACTTGGAGCGAATCCCGTGGCTAGACTACAAGCGAGTCGAAGAATCGGGGCACGTAGACGAGAAGCTCCTGCCCCCCGGGTGGATAATTTTTGTCGACGATGCGCACCTCCTTCGACGAATGGACTTGAAGCGCAAGGACTCTCCCATGATTACGCCTTATCACCAAAAGGCCGGCTTTCTCGACCTCCAGCCGACGGACTCGGGTTTTCCGGCTGGCCTTCGTCCTCTGGTGGCGCTTCCTCAAGAAGTACTGACTGAAGTGTGTCCGAGGCTGCAGGACCTGAAATCATCTGAATTATTTCCCTTGCCTGAATTGCTGGTTTCCGATAAATGGGCGAGGCGCAGATGCGGTGGATGGAAGGCGGTCGAAGAGGTCCTGCAGTACTACCTAAACGTGGACAGGAAGGTGAACGTTGTTAAAATAGACTCGGATTGGGATTCTTTTTGGATGTTTCCGAGGCCCGCCTTTGCAAGCGCTTTTGTGGCGTGCTGGAACCAAGCGTATCCGCAAATCCCGAGGAGCGACCAGCAGTCCCCAGTGTGCTCCGGCAGAAGCCTGCGTTAGAGGGGAAAAAGCACGGCGGTTTAAGGACCTTTCCTTTACATCGCCCCAGCGACGCCATATGAGGTTGTTTTGGCAGCGCGCTCTGATGTCATACAGACGGTTCAGTTGCTCTTCACTTCTATTCTTGATTTGTTCCCGGTCACTTCTATTGATTCGTTCCCCGGGCGCAGTTTTTCAAAAAATGTACTTCTTTATCGTGCAGCTGCATTAGCACAAGTCCATCACTGCTTGTTTTTTGCAAAATTTTGCGTCTGTTCTTGACACAAGGGCGCGATCGGTCCTGAATTCATCGCGCCCGTTTATTCTGTTTTTCTTTTTTGGAATTTTCTTGATCGGAAGAAATCTGTTCTTCTTCTTTTTGTCGGATGCCTTTTTACCATTTCCTTTTTACTTTATGAAAATCTTCACGAAAAGGAAAAGCTACTCGATCGCCGTTTCCACATACTGCAGAAAAATAACGAGCCGCTCGATTTGCTCGGGATTTTTGAACATGCCAAGTCTCGTGCTTAGGCGGACAAAAGTCTCAATATTTTTGTGATCCGAGGAAAACTGTCCTCGAAGATGACCTTACACGTACACACATATTAAGAACGTATGAAAAATTAATCTATGACTCGGAACTGTTCAAAATACTATGTGAATCCTGAAAAGTATTTGTCGATGGTTCGGCTTTATTTTGTCTCATCTGCGCCACACCGCACGCGCACCGCACCGCCAATGCAGACTGCTTAAGCTCGTTTCCATTTCTTTTTTGGAGGTGTTAAGAGCTATGGCAATGACTACATTTGAGACATGAGCACTTGTTGATGGGACGACTGAACGACACGCAAGCGAACACTTGCCCGGCTTCATGAAATGCCGGCTGTGAAGATAGTGCCGCGCGTGTTCAAGTAATATTGTGGCATAATCAACATGATTCACTATCGTGAGTCTGAGCTTGATTCGTGACAGAATTCTTTCAAGTATCATCGTGAGTCAGAGCTCGAGTCGTGACAGAGTTGTTGCCTCTGTGAACACGAGAAGCGGACGCTGAGTGGCACGACCTATGTGCACGGCCGAAAATGTTGTAGATGCGACGAATATTTTTGTTTTGCATCATACATGAACATGAGGAGGAGGTGGAGAATGCTGCTTAGATTTCTATCGACAAGCTCGACGTTGCACGTATTAGAAAATCACTTCGTGCTGGTTCGACGCGAGGCATGTATCCCATCTGTATCGGTTTGTTGTAAAAATCGTACTTTGTGAAGAAAACAACGTCGGTTTCAATACTGAAATTTCACGGCAGGACACAATCTTCAATACTCCATCCCTACAACAGTATTTCGTCACGCTAACGATGCATTACACGGCCCCGCATTCTTGTTCTGTGCGATACCTCAGAGAATTACTCAGCGATTTCTTCAATGCTCAACTAATATGCAAAAAAGGACAGACGGAGACTGCCCACACCAGGTGCACGTGCACTAGTCACCATACTTACACCTGCTAGAGTGAAAGGCTGATACTTCTAATCCGCAGCTTTTTCGCACCGTACTTAATGGACAGCACGTATATGATTTTGTCTGCCGCCCGCTCGCGCTCCTCGTCGGAGTTCTTAGGATGGAACGTTGGGTCCTCGTCCTCGTCTTGTCGATCAGATGGCACGCTTCGTTCGTTCCTGTCATCTCTCCTCGGTGTTAATGACTATTAAATTCGAACCGAGATGCTGGTTCAGCTTTAGTACGTCTAGTTCGTGGCTCTCTTACTTGAGTAGTACGCGTATAATATTCATCGTGGGTCGTAACTTATTGAAAACGAAACAGCCATGGCCAATTTTGTCCATTTCTCGTGGTCCGTTCACCAACACTGCAGCGTTTTTTTTCGGAAGGAAAAGTATCGAATCGAAGTCATGCCCGCGTCTTAAGACTTCGTGGTTCCTCCACAGAGGGGTCGGCGGAGAACCAGGACGAGGAGAGACGGCAGCGCTACTAGGTCGTGGAAGAGAAAATTTTTATAAAGGAGAGCTAGCTGTAGCTTGCCCTCGTAGCATCACATCTGCTGCGTCTCATATCCTAGGAAAGATAGACTGTTTCACTGTGATGATTTTGCAAATTTCGCAACGCAAGTTTGTTCTTGCATCACAAAGGAAGTTTGCCATGCGCGCATTTTTTCCCAAATGAGAAAACACGCCTAAAAATCCATTGTCTTGCATGTGTAGCAAGACAACATAGACTTTTGCGATACACTTTCTCCATACATAAAAGTTCACAGTGAAAAATAAACAGTTTTTTCTTGCGATGTCTCAATGTCGACCAACCAGGGTGGTGCTACCGGTTCTTCCAGCTCGTCCGGAGGTCCCGCTGCCGCGCTGCCGGACCGACCACGCTCCCCACCCAATGGAGGTGGGACCCACAATACCAAGACCTCCAGCACCGGCGGGCCGCTGGTCGGATCCGGCGGGGTGTCCAGCAGCCGAGCGGAGTTCAACATCCATATGCAAGAGAAAAACTGTGTAAGTGTAGATCTGTAATGCAGAACGCGCAACAGAGTTACACCTGTCATGCCAGACAGCCATGAAGTTCTCTCTTCATCATGTGTGTTTTCCCTTACAAGCCACGCATTACACAATTCGTGATGCTGTCAGCCAAAGATAGTTACACTAACACAGCTTTTTTCTTTGATAATCCAGGAGGATGATTTAATGAACACATATCAAATGTAAAAATGTCTGGGTCTGGAAGAATGCAACTTGTGATGCTGAATTTGGATTCCAAAAAAATCTGTATCTATTGCGTGAGCAGCAAAGGGAGTGTAATTTTTGCTACGCGGAGAGGGCATTTGTCATGCGGAATAGGCATCGCGAAGCCCTCAAAAAATCTGTGATGCTAGGGCATGCATCACAGACATCATGGCCCAGGCAAAACATGCATGACAAGTCTCAGAATCTTCCAGACCCAGACATTTTTGCATTTGATAACACGAATGACGATGACATTCTCGGAACGAGCGGAGGCGGCACGAACAAGAGAAAAGATCTATCGAAAAGAAAAATCCCCCCTCCCCATATCGAAAACGAAATTTGTGATGCTGTATTTCAGGTCACAAATCGACTTGTCATGCTAGAAGGCCAAGAGCCGCAGTCGTGGCCTCGTTTGCAGGCAATTTGTCATGCTGTTTCCCACTCTCAGATGCCTCCTATCATGCTGAAGATGCAAGGCTTCCCCACGCCACCCAGCACTACCGTCCGCATCTTTTCCCGTGTAGCATGACAAAACTGATTTGTGACAACAAATCTGCATCACAGATTTCCGTTTTGATATGGGGAGGGGGGATTTTTCCTTTTGATAAGATCCCGCCGTAGGAGCGGCTAGTGCTGCTGCACCAGCACCGGCGAGTGGTGGAGCCGACGGGAAGCAGGATACAACAACTTCCGGCGAGCCGGTGGAAAAGAAGCATGTGGAGCTGGAGGTGTTTCGTCCGAACGGGAGCAGTTTTCTGGTTCCCATGGAGGAGACCGAGCTAGCCGCGCTCAACAGTCTCGAAGAGGTGCTTACAATGATACGAGAATGCCCGAATACAGACCAAGAGTACGCATGGGAACAATTATATTTTTCAAACCATCTTGCTTCGACGACAACGATTATGTAAGCACTTAGCACCTCTGTTTTGGTTCGACCTCGAACAAGATTCTGAAATAAGCCTTGGTTGATATGATTTGCAACACCTGAACGAGGTCGTTCTTCATCGCGAACGGCCAGCAACAAGCACCTCTTGCCTGGAAGAAGATCCAGATCTTTGTGTTTTTGTGGTTCCAAAAAATTTTCAGCCTCTGCTTGCAGTCTGGCCAGAGGGCTCGTTGTCGTGGGGGTCATTTTTTTTTGCTGCCATACCGATGTAAGGGACACACCAATATGCTGGCTGGAGCTGTGTGGGCACAATCACGACCTTCCGAGTTATGGTAAGTTTGTGGGATAATAAGTTTTTCACTGTGACTGAACCCTGAGCATTCTCATGTATTTTGATTCAATGTTGGATTTTATGCACTTTTCAAAAAATGCATGCTATGAATGCATAATGCATTTCTGCGAATCCATACTTATTTTCATACCAGCCCGCGTGTTTGACTTTGATGTAAGGAGCTTTTGTCACATGATGTACTTTTTCAGGTACCGTACTCGATCGAAACTCCAATAAGTCGCTGGAGCTTTTGCAGGGCTGCGGGTATATGGCGCTGATCTTCGTGAAGCCGTTCCAGGAGGAGGGCGAATCTTATGTGGACGTGCTAGACAACAAGTGCGATGTATGGAAGTGGAATCAAAATTATTTTTTCGCACACTGTGACCTCACCGTATAATGTATGGACAACTTCGGCGCGGCTTTGATTCTTTGCGTTGTATTCTTTCGAATTGTCCCAAGAAGCGAAAGCGTTCACTTGATAATTGTTTTTCTTGCATGCGGAGGGGTAGTCGTGCTCGGAAAAAACTGTTTTCAAGGGTATCACAAACAGTGGAGACCGCTAGCTACGTCATTGGACAGATGACTGACGAGGAACTAAATAAGGACTACCAGCAAGAGCGGCACGGCGCGATGAGCCTTCTGCAGTAAAAAACTTTTTTTTGAGTTTCTAACTGTGAATCTTGTTTCAGTGCTTATGTCCATTCATCTTGATGTTGTTCCACCACATGAAGATCGACTTGTTGTGAATTTGCGAAGAAGTTTGCGACCAGCTGCCTACTTCCTTTACCAAGCGGAGAATGAATTCTTGACAGGTACTTGCGCGAAAAGGAGGCTGTTGTGCTGGCGATAATAGGTTCTCTGCCAAGATTCACCAGAATACTGGATCCGCACCCGGAGCGCCACCAGAGCTGCTTGTCCGACGCGTGTCGGCTGGGGCAGAAGCGCGCGGTGGAAGCGATTTTCGAAAATACACACACGCCGGAGGACCTCATCACGTGCCCGAATGAGCACCGTGCGACCTACCTGCACCAGGCATGCTACAACGGACACATGCCAATAGTCAAGTTCATTCTCGAGCACTCCAGGTATGATAATGATTTTCTTCAAGCGGTCGTGAAGCTCGTGGCCGAATAAGACTACAAAGTAACGAGCTCCTTATTCGGGAAGATGCTTTTAATATCGTGAACATGAAAATCAAAATTTCTACTTCGGCTCACTTGACCGATACACCGATCGACCTTCGTCAGGTTCCCAACCGGCATTGACCTTTGGGTTCGCGGCAACACGCACAACGCCACGTGCATGCACTTGGCGTGCTGTCGGCCGCAGTTGGAGGTCGCGAAGTTTCTGGTGGACCACCCGAAGTGTCCCAAGGACCTGCTAAACTGGGGCAACAAGCACAGCGCCACCTGTCTCCACTTGGCCTGCGAGGACGCGCACTTGAACGTGGTAGAATTTCTGGTGAAAAATCAGCGGTGTCGCGACGAGAAGCTGATTCTACAGCAAAACAAGAACGGGTTCACCTGCTATCACATGCGAATATGTCATCTTTATGTCTGGAAGGATGCGAACTTGTGATCCTGCATCTGCATTCTACAAAAATCTGTATTTTTGCATGAGCAGCAAAAGTGATCCAGTTTTTGCCAACATTGCGAGAGGGCAATTATTCTCATGCGGTATAGGCATCAGAAAGCTCCTCTCACAAAATCTCTGATGCTAGGGCATGCATCACAGACATGATCAGGACTCATACAAAATGCGCATGACTTCCTCCCAGACCCAGACATGTTTGCATTTGATACCTACCTGCACTTGGCAATCCAGAAGGGGCACCTGGAAGTGGTAAAATCCCTGCTAAACAACAGCGACAGTATGACCGTGGACCGCTTGATACCACTGCAAACGAAAAACGGTATTTGTATTGCTACTTCACTTCTTGGATGTGCGTGGATCATCTTCAGGACGTCTAGAAATTTAGAAATTGCCTACTCTGACTGTAACAACCAGTTGGGTAAATCAGTAGTTCCCTCTAGTATAAATAAAAACAGTAGTTCCCTCTAGTAACCCCGTCAGTTGGGTAAATCATTCACTCACTCAGTTGCACTTCCACTTGGTGCGGCCGCGTCGCGCCGTTGCAGGTTTTTTGCATCTTAGTGATAACTTGTACCTTCACGCCGGCAACAGGCAGCAGAGTCATATGATGTCTTTTTGCACGTTTTGTTGCACCACCACCTCTTCCGAAAAAAACTGTACAACAGGCAACACGTGCTTCCACATTACGTGCCAGGAAGGGTTTGTGCAAATTATGGAACTCCTGTGGTTCCAGCCGGACGTGCCCAAAGCCTCGATGGTCGGCGCCCAGGACAAGGACGGCTACAACTGTCTCAACGACGCCTGCTACTATATCAAATGCAAAAGTGTCTGGGTCTGGAAGATTGCAGGAGTTTGTCATGCATCTTCTGGATCACGCAACTGATCTCTAATGCACGCAAAGGCATCACAAGTTTCGCGCAGGCCTCCTGATGTCTTTCCCGCATGAGAAATTCCCTATTTGCGTAGCAAGAAATGGGAAGCTTTTGGTGCTTATGCAGCACAAATTTTTGCTTGTTCCAGAAATCGCATGACAAGTTCCAATTCCTCCAGACCCAGACATTTTTGCATTTGATATACCACGGGCATTTACCGCTTATCGAGTTCTTTTTCAACCACTGGCCCGAGCGGGGGACCACGCAGCACTATGCAAGAAAAAAACTGTGTAGGTGTAACTTTGTCTTGCAGATGTTGCAATACAGTTACACCTGTCATGCCGGATATGCATCAGAGGCCATTTTAGTACGTGTTTTAGCATACTAGCTACGCATGACAAGTTTTCTGTCATGGAAAACAAATCTGTGATGCTGTTCCTGCAAAAAAGTTACACTTACACAGTTTTTTTCTTCGATAACCACCACGCGGAGCACAGTGGGTCCTACGGGAACAGCGCCCGGTCGCAGCCCGGATCCTCCTGCAGTGGGGGACAAAATGCCCAGGAGCAGAAAAGTATACTAGAATTCAATAGGAAATGAGTTTTTTTGAATGAGCGTCTTCACTTCTATCTTGACAAGCGCATAATTGGTCGACGTTCACTCTAAGTGTTGAGCCGTGCGACAGCATCAAAAAGCTATCGACTACTAGTCTCGAGACAGAAGTACATCTAGCGGTGAACAACGAATGTGCTGCTCGCATTGAAAAATCTTCGACAAAACAGCGGGCGGGCGCAAGAAAATAACCGACAGCTCGGCGCGGTCAAGTGGGGGCAATGACGAACGAGATCAAGCTATCCTCGGGAAAACACGTCCCCACCCCAGAGTTGTCATACAAATTTGCAGATGCCCAGACTGTGAAGCGTCATGCGCCCACCGCCACCGGGGAGGGGATCCGTAGCCTGTGGCGCTTGGTGCGGGTGTCCGCTACATGATGATGATGATGCGCAGCCCGCCCATGAGGAGCATTTTCTAATGCTGTATGGGACTTTGTCATTTGTTTATCAGGATGAGAAGCTAGATCTGCGATGTGGCTTCACTAGCCGAACAGCAGTACACTGCAGTCCCAGACTTGTCATGTCCGACAGCCAATAAACCTTTGAGGTTTGGCTGTCGGGCATGATTTTTTTTTTAAATTCTGAAAAGCGCAATTACTATGAGATTACATAAATCCCAACATAGTAACTGTCTTTTTTCATTTTTCATACACATCCGATGCGTGTCAGTGTCAGTGCATAGGTTATTTGCTTTTATTCCTATACCTATCAAGAAACTTAGCGCCACTTTTTTTGCCTATCCCTGCATTGGAGGGCGTCACAAGAACAGACTGCGGGCTTCCTCGCCCGTCGGCCGCCCGGGGGGGGGATCCGTGGCGCTGGATGCGGGTGCCCAGTAGTACATGATGATGATGATGATGATGCGCAGCCCCATGAGGAGCATTTTCTCATGCTGTGTGGGACTTTGTCATATCTTTTCTTTTATCAGGATCAGATGAAGCTAGATCTGTGATGTGGCTTCACTATCCGAATACCGGTATACTAGAGTCCCAGACTTGTCATGCGCATGCCCGACAGCCAAACCTTTGAGGTGTGGCTGTCGGGCATGATTTTTTTTTAAAATTCTTAAAAGCGATATTACTAAGGGATTACACAAATCCCATAGTAACTGTCTTTTTTAGCACTTTTATACACATCCGATGCGTGTCTGTGTCAGTGCATAGGTTATTTGCTTTTATTCCTATACCTATCAAGAAACTTAGCGCCACATTTTTTGCCTATCCCTGCATTGGAGGGCGTCACAAGAACAGACTCCGGGCTTCCTCGCCCGCCGGCCCCCCGGGGAGGGGATCCGTGGCGCACTAGTACATGATGATGATGATGATGATGATGCGCAGCCCCATGAGGAGCATTTTCTCATGCTGTGTGGGACTTTGTCATATCTTTTCCTTTATCAGGATCAGAAGCTAGATCTGTGATGTGGCTTCACTAGCCGAATACCGGTACACTAGAGTCCCAGAGTTGTCATGCCCGACAGCCAAACCTTTGAGGTTTGGCTGTCGGGCATGATTTTTTTTTAAATTCTCAAAAGCGCAATTACTATGGGATTACATAAATCCCATAGTAACTGTCTTTTTTAGCACTTTTATACGCATTGAATGTGTTTCAGTGCATAGCTTTGCTTTTATTCTTATTGAGAAACTTAGGTCCACATTTTTGGCATATCCCTGCTTGTTTGGAGGGTGCCGCACGAACGCCGCCTCATGCGGCTGGGCTCAATTTTTCCAGTGGAAGGCAGGGGCTGTTTATATCTTACTTTGGAAACGCCCACCGTCCCTACTGGAATAGCTGGATGATGAACAAAAATCGTGGCAGGGCAAAAAAATAAAATCTCCATCTTTTAACTCTGGGGCGGGGACGTCGCTCGTTTTTTCACAGGATAAGAACCAACGACGACCCAACGAAGGACGTCCTGAACCAGGCTGCAGGCGGGCCGGTAAGTTCGCTATGAGCTGTGTGGAAATAAGAAGAACTGAAATTATGGTGGTAGTATACTTGATATCAAAAGAGAAAGCGAACAAATGTTGGTCACTGATGTGGGCAAAAAATCTACAGGAATCTCCGGGGAATCACCAGCCGGAGCGGCGTACGTATGGCAACTATGTCTGGGTCTGGAAAGGTGCAACCAACTTGTGATGCTCTTTTGCTGCTACAAACACACAAATCTGCCATACTTGAGGAGCAAAAGCTTCCTTTTTTGGCGACGCTGAGAGACGAGGATCTGTGATGCTGAGGAGCCATTGCAATAAAGCTCTCCCATATAGGCCTGTGATCCTAGGCTCTGCATTCCAGACCTTTTGAGGCATGCAAAACGTCGTGCATGACAAGCTCCTCGACCTGTGGCGCTGGGTGCGGGTGTCCACTACATAATGATGATGATGACTGATCCACAGCCAGACGTGTTTGCATTTGATACGGCGAAATAATGCTGACTGGGATGACGAGATATCATTAGTGTCGCAAAGTCCGGTATGCAAGAAAAAAACTGTGTATTTGGGTAAGTTTGTAATGCCAAGCTCGCAACGCAATATACACTTGTCCTGCTAGCCAGCCATGAAATCGCATTTTTGATATGTGTTTTCACTATGATAATGGCTGTGCAGACGACAGGCTTTCTGGGTCACGCAGAACAGGGATTTGTCATGCTTTCACGCCAAGACACCTCCACTCACGCAGTTTTTTTCGTGGATATCCGGACGACGGCTTCCCCTCGCTGACGGACCTTATCTTCAGCGTATCGGTATCACCTGCAAGTATGTCTGGGTCTGGAAGGATGCAGCTCGTGATGCTACCTTTGGACTCTACAGAAAACCTGTATTGCATGGAGAGCAAACGAACGCCAGTTTTTCCAGGCGCAGACGGCATTTCGCATGCGGTGTGAGCATCAGAAAACTCTCGCAGAATGATCCGTGATGCTAGGGCATGCATCACAGACATGTTGGGCCATGGAAAATATGCATGACAAACTTGGCACTTTTCCCGACCCCGACATATTTGCGATGCATAATGGGGCGGCATCGGCAATTGTCTGCACGTCGCCTGCAGTCGCGGACACCTGTCCATAGTCGAGTTTCTTTGCAAACCCAAGGGCCTCCCACCCAGCGGCGGACTGGGGCAAGTCGGAGATGTGACAGGTATGGGAAAATGTTGTTGTTAATAGATGCTGCTTTTTTTTGACTCAGTGCAGTACCAGTACGTAGTGGTAGTAGATTCGGGCCCGTGTGTTGGTCGTGATATGATTTGTACCAAGGGGAGGGTAGCATCGCCTACGAAGTGCGTCCAATATCGGCGTTGGTGCGCGCGATATGAAAATTTTTCATCGTGGAAACTTTTGGAACAGGTGGCGAGCACCTGTCGCAGCGTAGCAGCGGCGGCGATGACGATGAGCAGGAGTATCCGCCTATTACAATGAAAAGTGCCACCGCTCCGGAAGTTGGAAAAAATTCTGATGCATAAGGTTTTTAAGCGAAAGTCGTTTTATCTATGCATGAAAGGACTATGAGTCTTTCTGATGCAGAATCTTGTCGAGGAAGGCATCTTTTACATAACAGGCCCGGCTACTGCTGGGGTCTTGTGCAACACAAATTTTAGCTATTTACCATCGAAAATTTGTGATGCTGAAACTACATGCAGGATGGGGAGTGTTTCCATTGGAAAGCTATGCAATACAAATGCTGCCAAATTCTGGAATGGGCGCATTTTTCGTGGTAATACCCCCAGCAGAAAACAGCAGTTCGTCGCCATATCCTTACAACGATGTCAGCGACAATGACTCTTCGGAAGTTATGCATTGCAAAAGTATCGTACTACGCATAAAGTGCAATACAAATTGGCTCGGCATTGCAATACATAGATTTGTAATGCGGTTTTTTTTACCTTTAACAACAGCGGAGCTGCAATCTAATACTACGAGAACGAGTGCGGTGCTTTTGCACAGAATAAAAGTCGGGCCCGAACAGTTCTACGCGATCGAGCAACTAGTCCTGTCCAAGAACAAGCACAACGCGAGTGGACTCCACCTCGCGAGCATAAAAGGTACGTACGACAATGCCAGTATCGGTTAGAAATCTCCATTTTTCATTTCTGGCATTGGAGGTAGAAGTAATGATAACGACGACGACTTTGGCGCCGGATGAGGGGTCCGTCATTGTGTCTGTGAGTAATATCATCTTCGAATTTAGTGCTTCTCAAGGGCGAGAAAGTGAAAGGGAAACAAAAACAAAAACTAACAACACACCAGGACACCTGGAGATCGCGAAATTCCTAGTAGACGGCACGGGTTTGTCACGAGATAAAAAGCGCGACTTCATGGGACTGCAGAATAAAAAAGGAGCCAGTTGCCTGCACTTCGCATGCTATCACGGGAATGTGGACGTAAAAGATTTACGTCGCACTTTTTATTCGCATGTGGCTGATTTCTGACACACTTATTTTGTCGGACGAGAAGGTCGTGGGAACGCGAGCGTCTCAGTGTAAGTATCTACCTGCAGCTAGCATCGATTTATTATTCCACTTTTTTTTTTCGTCTCTTCAGGTGGTGAAATACCTCGTCGACCACGAGGACTGCCCGAAGGAGTTGGTCCAGGCACGCAACCGCAACCACTACACTTGCCTGCACTCCGCCTGCGACGAGGGGCGGCACGAGGTGATCGAGTTTCTGTGCAAGAGCGACAAGTTTCCCATCGAGCTGCTGGCGGCGCAGGCGCGCAGCAACACGATTCTGCACAAGGTCTGCGAGTACGGCTATCTGAACATCGTGAAGCTCCTGGTGGAGCAGTCGATCCAGGCCAGCGAGTATGAGGGTGCACAAACTCCCCCTCCTTGTCATTTGTATTGGATGAACAGCAATACAGACACCAGCACACGTGGACCCTGTGCATGACAAATTCATGCAGTTCCAGTGTAGTACTGTTTGGGCCGCTTCCGGGATCTGCCATGCGCAATACATAGTGATACAAGGCGGGAAGCGCTTGGATTCGGGATTTTGCATGAGAAATGAGAATGAGGGGGAGTTGTACACTCTCATAGCGAGCAGGGGGTGGTGTCGGAACAGCAGCCAAGCTTCAAGCCGGACACCCTGGTATGGATTGCAAATATATATGCGTAGGTCTGGAACAATGCCGCGTGTGTAATGCTTGTCTGGCATGACTGAAGAAATTGTGATGCGTGTTCAAGGGACGAACAGCCCGTAGACCTCCGATGTGATGCGTGTCCAAGAAGAGACCCTCGTCTTGCTTGTCATGCAAAACGCAGTTTCTCATGCGGCAGGCGCAACGCTAAGCCGCGCAAACATTTCTCATGCTTGGCTGTGCATTGCAGACGAGAGTTCTCTATTCACAACTCAGCATTAAGTACAAGTTTCTAGATCCAGACCCAGACATATTTGCATTTGATAGCTGGTGATGTACCGCAACAATCTCGGGGACACTTGCCTGCACGTGGCGGCGGCCGAGGGGCATTTGCTAATTGTGGAATACCTGGTGAAGTCACCCGCGGCCGAAAAGTACAACCTACTCTTCTCCAAGAACAAACAGGACATGACCTGTCTGCAGCTCGCCTGCAGCGAGGGCCACTTGAACGTCGTCGAATCGTTGATGAATTTCTGCACCACAAACGACAACACCGGGAAGAGAAAGGTGCGTTGTAGAAGATTCATCTCTGACGTTTATTTTGTGACAGGTTTATTTGGCTTTGTTCAGTAGTGCTTAATACCCAAACAATCAAAAAATGATGAGTCTCATGACTTCCACCGTTTTTTTACATCACTCCCTCGGAGCAAGAACTTTTTCTAGGAGACCTTCGAAAAGACAAGAGAACCTTATTTCCAATTTCAGGAACTGATCACGCATTCGCTCAATGTGTACCACGCAACATGCTTGTTTTCGGCTTGCGAGGCGGGACACACCAACATCGTGGAGTACCTACTGGACCACAAGCATTTTCCACCTCACCTGATAAACGCGCAAACTAAGTACGGCACAAGCTGCCTGCACGCCGCCTGCGAAAAGGGATTCATGGACATCGTACAGTTTCTGATGAACCACAAGCACTGCACCAAAAGACTCGTGCTTTGCAAGGACCGCGGCGCGCAAACCTGCCTGGACCTGGCGAAGTATGTTCTGTTTCCGTGTGGTCAGGAAAGAGGCACTTGTCTTGTGGTTGTGAAGAATGTTGGGTGGCACCGCCACCGTGTTGCAGCGGACGTGCATGAACTCATATAAAAATTTTGGTCGTTTGCATCTAATTTTTGTCCAGTATGTAGCTCTTCGAGCGCCATCTCACATGATTGCAACATATTTTTCTAAATCTGCAGGTGCGAAGGGCATTTTGAGATCGTGGAGCTGATCCAAAACCATGCAACCTGGGGTCCAGAGCTTGCGTATCAACTGCAAATATGTCTGGGTCTGAAAGATCTCAGGACTATTCGTCATGCATCCAAGCGAACAACTACAACCGGCTTGTCTCTATTGCACGCAGAAGCATCTTCGCAGATAAATTCGCGAGATGACCTTCCTAATGCCTACGCCATTTGATGAGAAACACGCCTGTTGCTATAATTAGCAACAAGTGTGCAAAAAACTTTTGGCTTCTACGCAACACAGATTTTTTTTTTATTTGATCGAAAGTTCGCATGACAAACTGCATCTCTCCAGACGTCCAGACATATTTGCAATGCATATCGCAAAGGGCGACACGACGGAACCGGCCGGGGCGGCTACGGTGCTGAACACCGTTGCGACCACAGTGAAACGCTGGTTCGGTCGGGAAGACAGCAAGTCTCCGTGAAAATAAGGATGCGGTGGTTGGGTGACATGCTCGGAAATAAAACGTTAATATGTATCACTGGAGTAGTTGCGGTTCTTTTCCAGAGCAACATCGAAATGTCCACAACAATGGCCGCGCACCGGAGCTTGTCGCCGTATATCGTGTAAAATGTCAGTACCCATTGAAGTTAGTACCTATGCGCTCTCCTGCGCGCAGGCTGTCGCCAGGGTCCTTCTGTCCTGGCATCAACAACGCCAATTTGTATTTTTGTTTCTTTTCGTACTATTCGTTTCCCATACTGCTAAGTACACTGACTGCACCTCAAGCTGCATTTGCTAATTAGAAACCAGGAATATTCAAAAATGAAGCGCGCGGACTGTCGTGCAAGAAGAGCTCAATCGATTCAAACTTTTACCAAACTCTATCGTGAACTCGTATATCAAACTTAAAAGCGAAAAATCAAATTCTTCAAATGGAAACTAAACTTAATCGCACACAAGTCTCTAGTACTCGGGATGCTCATTGACCACGGGGAACGGAGGACACGAAGGGCGGGTCATTTTAGTTTAAGAACTAAAGTTTGTTATGTGTTTTCGAAATAGCAGTTCCGAGTAGCCGATATGTCAGCCGGAACTTCGCGCCGATGCTCTTTTGTCTCGTCAGGCAACGGACGAGCATCCCGTGAGACTGATGCGTTTTGCGCTTCGGAAACGAAATCATACAAATGCACACTCAAATGTACCTCGGGCCCCTTTATTTATGCCGTTTTGTAGTCCTTCTCAAGCCTGACAATGATCCAAACTTTATTGTAGCATTCTCGCAAGGTCCAAACTTGTAACTTTTCTGCTCGAATTATACGAATAGACGTCGCAATAGTTGTTATATCGGATGGCTCATGCCTATGATAAAATGGTTTGCTGTATCCTGTACATCCTGATTTTCTACTTTTTGACATACTTTCTATCTCGTTTATTTATTTCTCATTCACGAAAGTTTCTCTCTCCCAATGTCCTAAACGCACGTAGCAAAGAAGGCCGTCCCTGCCAATGAGTACACAGGTTGCAGCGGCGCGGAAAGCAGTGCAGTAGCTAATACAATCTGTTTTGTCATAACAAGGCCCAACAGCGAATACTGTGACGTCTGTACCTCTCGATCGAGGTGATATTTTTTAAAGAAGGGCCGCATCTTTGTGTCTCGACATGGAAATATAAAATCAATATCAGTTGCTGTTGTATTTCTTTCGTGCAGGTTCTTCTTTTAGCTCTTCACGCGGGGTAGAATTTTATTTTTGGCTTGTATTTACTACTTTCTTTTCGCTGCAAAACGATGTGGCGCGAGATGAGCAGCGGCCGCTGTCTGCTTAATCTTTAGCACTCGATTTCGGCATGCACGCCATTGCGGCGAGAATTAGAGCTGCGTGCTGCGCAAGTTGAAGCTAGTAGCGAAGTTTTCATGTGTGTGTAATGTGGACGGTAAAAACTGTATTTGCTAAATATCACTTTTTAAAACTGTATAATAAGCTTGGCAAGCAGCGACTAGTTTGAAACAGCTGGGTACTACATCGATGGTATGAGTAACAAGACACTCGGCGCCAGTGCGAAGATATGTTTGATGCACTGCGGCAGTGGACAACTTTTAGGCTCCGTCCAATGTAGATGCGTATTTTGGACAGAATACAACGGAAATGCATAGGCAAAATGACGCGAGTCTCCTGCTTCGGGCTGCTCTGATGGGGCCGTGTCGTTGCTGAAGACACGGTAGAGTTTGTTGAATCGGGCTATTAATTGCTGTGGTAATTATGCTTCGCATCCCACTGCTTCGCATTCCATTTCCACCTGACGCACGCTTTGAAGTTTCATAGAATTGTGTGTTGTATTACAGTTGTAAGTGACAGTGAGTCCTCATGCACCAGTCGTCCCGGGGACTGTTTAGAGAGCTTGCCGCAGATCATACAGATTGATTGGCAAGGACTCCAATAAAAGTTTGTGTTCGCGAAGGTAACAGCAGGTTCACAAAGTTTATGGTCTGATCCGGTTTTCCATATTTCGCACATTCTTTGTGTCGTTGTGTCCACCACATTTTATTTTGCGTCTCCCAGTTTCTTTGGTGTTTTGCCTCTTTGCCTGTTAGCGTCCTCGTCGTCCCCACTGTGTTGGATCGTTTGTCGGTGGAAAGCGGGCGGCTTTGTTTCGGGCGCATGTGGTCTAAAGTTTTGGTCTGTACGAAATCAAAATTTTTATGGTGTACGTATCGTCGCCTGCTCTAGCGGCGGGTATCTGTTTATTTTCTCGTGAAGATTATGAAATAAGAATCAATAACGATAATTACTGCCCCCACTTGATAGGAGGAACGCATCGCGAGAGCCAGTTGGACAGAAAGGATGCGTCGTGTTCTCTATCGAAAGGAAAAATCCCCCCTCCCCATATCGAAAACGAAATTTGTGATGCTGTATTTGAGGTCACAAATCGACTTGTCATGCTAGAAGGCCAAGAGCCGCAGTCGTGGCCTCATTTGCAGGCAATTTGTCATGCTGTTTCCCACTCCCAGCTGCCTCCTATCATGCTGAACATGCAAGGCTTCCCCACGCCACCCAGCACTACAGTCCGCATCTTTTCCCGTGTAGCATTACAAAGCTGATTTGTGACAACAAATCTGCATCACAGATTTCCGTTTTGATATGGGGAGGGGGGATTTTTCATTTTGATATTCTCGTCGCGTCCGGCGCGACGGGCGCCGTGGTCGCGCTGAAAAGTCGGGCGGAAGCGGGCTATCAAATGTAAAAATGTCTGGGTCTGGAAGAGTGTGAACTTGTCATGCAGGTTTTCCATGGCCCTTGAGGTCTGGAATGCGGGACCTAGCATGACAGAGCTTGCGAGGTCTCTTTCATGCCTATCCTGCATGAGAAACTCCCTCCCAAGTTGGCCGAAAGTGGGCAGCTTTTTGCACTCATGCAACACAGATTTTTGCATGAGTCGGATTTAGCATGACAAGTTGCAATCTTCCAGACCCAGACATTTTTGCAATCCATACGGGCAACAGCGGCATCAAAAAAGTGATTTCTCTACTCACGGACATGAAGACGAAGGTGGAACAGGAAATTACCGACGGCGACAAAGAGGCCGAGGAATTCGAGAATTGGTGCATCAAAACGACCACGGAAGGAGAAGCGGACGTGAAGTACGGCGGGGAGAAGGTTGAGGAGTTAAAAGCAACTGTGGAGAACGAAGCAGCAAAGGCCTCCGGCTTCGCGAACGAGGTCTTGAGATTTATTTTGCGCTAGTTTTATTCATAGGGAAATAAAAAGTGAAACAGCATATAAGTAGTACTATTGAAACTAGAACTACTGTGATTGTCAGAATAAAAAACATGTAGCAGAAAGAGATGGATGATTATCGGGCAAGAAATTACGACGATCTACTTGCAGTACAGTGAGTGCCAACAGCTGTAAATCTAAAAGTCTCATCATCAACTCTCCCTCCAGGTTGCTACTTTGACTCCGGAGATTGCCACACTGCAGGGCGAGCAAACAAAGGCTGCTGATGAGTACGCAAAGGGAAAAATGAAATCCAACGGCATAGAGATACAAGTGTATTCTGCACCGCATGGTCTTTGTGCGTGGGCGGAGCACTAGCTGTAAGCAGAACAATCTGGATCAAATGATAATGAGGCGTAGTATACTCTACTTCGAGTTGATTAAGGCACATGCTACAGTTCGGCATGACTTTTATTGTCGTTGGATTTTCCCTGCATAGAAAACGCAAGGAGGCCCACGCGACGTTTCAAAAGGAAGAGGCGGAGCTAGTGGAGGCCGACACCATGCTGCAGAAGGCATACTCCGTCCTGAAGCGATCCCTGTCCTTCACGCAGACGGACGGAATCGCGTCCAGCAAGGCGGTTCGGGAAGCCCAGAACGCCGTCACGGCACTGTCCACCATCATCGAGTCAGTTGCGATGGACGCGGAGAGCCAACAAAAGATCAAGGCGTTCCTGGAGGAGTCGAACGAGCTCCGTCTGGGTATGGCGTTCTCAACTGTTGCATTCTCAACTGTTCCATGAATTTGTGATGCAAGAACAGCAACAGCCAAAAGTAGGGCAAGCTTGCTGCTTTCGCATCACAGATTTGGCACAGACTTGGATGCTGCTTCGCTTCTCGGGGATTTGTCATGCGAAGCCGCTTGATCATCTGGCGGCTTAAGGTAGTCTTGCGTGACAAATTCATGTGACAGTTCAGAGTGTAACGGTTGAGAATGCCATACTGGGCCAGCCGCAAGCAGTGTCGTCCAGCTACCAGAGCAAGTCCGGCGGAATTCTATGCGACTGAAAACAACTGCTTTTAAGTTTAACGAGAACTACATCACCCACGGAACTGTTATAATAGTTGCGAAATCTTTTGTCTTGCGGGTTGTATTTTAAAATTAACATGAGTAGTTTTCCTTGTTCAACACGAGAGACCAACGATGAACTTTTGTTCTCGCATTGAATAATGAAGAAGTTCGGAAACAAAATATTGGCAAATCTAAAGAATCTCTTCCTTTCTTATCGAAGAGGCAGTTTTGTTCATCTCCATAAACTTTGGACGCGATTCAGGGCATGCAGGAGAAGAACGCCGAGGTTCTGGCTGGTATTCGGGAAAAAGATCTCAAGGCCCGCCACGAGTTTGAGCTGCTGATGCAGGATTTGAAGAATCAGGAGACCAGCAAAACCGAACAAATGGAAGCAGCCAAGGAGAACGCGGCCAAGGCCGAGGCCGCGGGTAAGACCGCGGGCGGCGACCTCGCGTCCGCCGAGGAAGTGCTGAAGTCCGACACGGAGGAGCTGGCCAACACCAAGGCCGAGTGCGACTCCAAGGCCAAGAGCTGGGCCGCACGGAAGGAGGAAGCCACCCAGGAGTCCGGCGCCCTCGGGCAGGCGATCGAGATCCTCAGTGGCAAGTTCGGCGGCGAATCCTTCTTGCAGGTATTGGAAATTTATCTGACAGACCACGTTGAGCGATCACTGCGGTCATAAAGTGTTGCGATTTACATCTTCCTCATTTTTTTCAGACGCTGCATATGATGATAGGGCATGAAGATTAGACCCACGGCATGCTCATTGCATTTGAATTTAAAATTTTTTTTTTACCTGTGGGAAGTTCTAATCGCAATTCGCTTCCACCATATAAAAATCCCTTTGGTTATAATTTCAGATTTCCGACGAGGTTGGTTCCGAGGAGACGCAGAAGCGCGCGAAGGTGAGCCTGATGCTCCGCCGACTGGGGCGCACCTACAACCAATTTGCGCTGATCCAGGCCGCCAACAGCGCCCAGGCCGACCCGTTTGTGAAGGTACGTGGCATGATTAAGGAGATGATCACAAAGTTGGAAGACGAGGCGGCGAAGGAGGCTTCCAAGGAGGCCAAGTGCAAGGCCGACAAGGAGAAGGGCACCAAGGACCTGAAGCTCCGCAAGGGCGAGTCCAAGAAGCTGCAGAGCCGGGTCGACGCCGCCGAGGCCAAGTTCGCGCAGCTGGGCACGGAGATCAGCGATTTGGAGGCGCAGTTGGCCGAGCTAGCCGCGGACGTCAAGGAGCGCACGGCCATCCGTGGGAAGGAAATATGCATTGCAATAAAGCATGTCTTGGTGGTCTGGAAGATAGCGAATAATTTCTCATGCTCATTTCACACGACTTTGAGTTCTTTGGTGCAATAAATGCACGAATAAAGCACCGTCTTGCCGGTCTTGCGCATCTTGCCATGCGGAATTATGCGCACCACAGCGCAGAAGCTCATAAACTTGTCATGCTTGGTCGGGTAATATTGCAGTTTGCTGAGCATCTAGTACGCCTTCGAGCACTGCAACTTTCCGGAACCAGACAGTAGTTTTGCATTTGATAGGAAAAGAAGGAGAATGACGCGGTGATCAAGGACAGTGCTGAGTCCGTCGAGGCCATCAACGGTGCCATCACCGCCTTGTCCGAGTTCTACGGCAAGAGCACCAGCTTTCTGCAGCAGCCGCAGACCGACGCCGCGAACACCATCATCAGCATTCTGGAGACCGCCCAGGAGGACTTTGAGAAGCTGAAGCAGGAGACGGAGGCTGCAGAGTCGGACGCGGTGGAGAAGTATGAGAAGTTTATGCAGGAGTCCCAGGTCGCGAAAGCCACCAAGGAGGCCGAGGTGAAGGGCAAGACGCAGGAGAAGGCGGGCGTGAAGGAGAGCATCGGCATGATGTCCGAGGATTTAACCGAGGCCAACAAGGCGCTGCAGGCGGCCACGGACTTTTTGAAGGGGGTCATGGAGGCCTGCGCCAACAAGGCGATGAGCTACGAGGAGCGCCAGAAGCGGCGCGAGGCCGAGATCGCGGGGTTGAAGGACGCGCTGGAGATCCTCAGCTCGGACGAGGAGTCCTTCCTGCAGGTCCGCGTATCAAGTGTAAATAGTTCATCTGGGTCCTGCTCGGAAAAGCTCTGTGATGTTGCATAAATCAGGGATTGGTCAGCAAAAAACGCTGCGGAAATGTAGTTGAACGTTCTTTATTTGCAGGACAGGCAACAACAGATTTCTTCGAGGAAGCCACGGAATACAAAACTCGGAGTCCTCTTCACGCCAGACCGGCATGACTAATGATCTCGCAAAGATATGATCTGCGACATGACCCAGATCGACATTTGCAATGCATATCGCGCCACGCCGAGCAAGCCAGCGGAGAAAAAGCCACTGCTGGCGAGGAAGCAGAAGAAGGACGACTGCGTATCCCGTGAAAAAACATCCTCACCCCAGAGTTGTCATGCAATTCTGCATGCCAAAATGGTTTCTCATGCGGAGCCCTGTGAGAAGCATTTGCTAATCGTGTTTTGGGATTTGTCATGCTGATATCAGCATGCTATGCTAGATCTGTGATGCTTCTGAGCTAGCTAAACAGGATCACACTACGAGGGAAATAAACCTGTCATGCCAAACAACCAAAGCTGTGTGATTTGTCTAGCAGAATTCCCATCTTGAGCTCTGGTGTGGGGACGTTTTCAATCAGGATACTGTGACTGCATTTTGGATAGCAAGTCGAACAAGATGGTCAGCAAGAAGACCGGAGACGACTGCGATTGCATTTTGGATTCCAAGCAACCCTCGAAGACCGTGGCCATGGTGGTGCAGAAAGAGAAGGCGCAGAAAAAGAAGGACGACTGCGACTGCATCCTGGATAGCAAGTCCAACAAAATGGTCAGCAAGAAGACCGGCGACGACTGCGATTGCATTTTGGATTCCGCGAAGAAGGGCTTTTGAGTGCTGAAGGTTTGAAGATTTTTGGTAGTACACCCACTTTCCGCCCGTGTCACAGCACACCCGAGAGGAAGCAGCACTTGACCACTGGGTGCGCACTTTCCAAGCAAACTTTCGTGGCCTTACTTGACACCGAGTTGAAGACCGTTTTATTTTTTCATTTTATTTTTTTCATTTTTACGTACTTAGTTGTAGTTCAGATTTCATGTTCGTAGTTCAGATAGCAGAAGTTCAAGGTTTTTCCGTAGTTCAGATAGCAATGGTATAAGTTCTTTTTTCCTCTGATAGCAATGGTTTTACTACAGTACAGAAGATAGCGCGTGTTGTTTCGATAGTTTTGATAAGGTTGCAGCTGTGTAATTTGAGTCTATGGTTTCCCGTGATAAAAAGATGAAGAGCTCGTGTCGGGTTTTAGACCTTGCAAGTGTGCTGGGTCAGATGTGCTTAGAATCCTTGGGGACGTGCGAGTTTACACGCTTAGTGCGCTGGATTTGTCCAGTTTGACAGGTGGAACGTTCCTGTTTTAGTTCATGCGGTCCGTTTTGTGAACGCCCACGAACCCGGCTCCTTCGCTCCGTGCTTTATCGGTATTAAGTATGCTGCTCCCTGTGCCTTCGGTTTTTCTTCTTCTCGTGTATCAACCGGATAGAGCTATTCGGTTGCACCTGTGACTTTATCCATTTTATTTTTTCTGAAATAAATCCGCGATGCAGTTCTTGATCCGAGGTCCTTTGTATTCGCGTCTGTCAGCCTGGAGACACAAATAATTTGTCGAAGAGTTCTTCCTTTGTAGAACTTGCAGCGATCTGTCCCAAACACACACTACTCGTGTTTCCGTGAGGCTCGAGATACGAAACGCGATCGCTTTGTTTGTGAACAATTATAATTGCGCTGTGTTGTATTGCGTCCTCTTCAGACCCTCCCCCCTCTCATGCGTTACAACCAATGGAAGGGAGCGTTTCTGTAGGTGAGTCTGTGGAAGTGAGCCCACTTAGTTAAGCGAGGTTTCTCCACGCAGTGAAAAAAATGATCGGAAAGCCACCGCGTTGTGGCCTTATTCGACATGTTGCAGAGACATCGCGCCGCAGCGCGTGGCCGCATGCCGTGGAGGCGCCGTAACTTTAGTACAGCGGCACATGTCACCCCCGAAGCCCGTCGCGATGCAGTGGAGTACCTTCGCTACTTGCAGGCGAGGGAAGCTGCAAAGCAGCACCGCTGCGAGGAGACGGGCGCAAAGGCCGGAGCGGGGCACCGGAGCTTGGCTTCGTCCAGGCAAGCGACGGCTACGCCAGCAAACCCCGCCTCCCGTGTGGACCAGTTCATAGCTACGCTGCCTAGCGAAATCAAAAACGTCGCCCAGCTTGCGCGGGAGGCACACGCGGGAAACAAGGCCGGAGTGATAGATCAATCGTTTTGGAAGAAGCTGCAGGGTCGGTTCCGCGAACTTTTTTTCACATCGGCATACGACGCCAGGGCGGGACTGCACTTTCTACTTGTGACACTACAGTGGGACAAAAGTGGAGTGAGCGCGGAGTCCTACTTGCACTTCTTCAACCAGGTACGTATACGCGTGCGTTTTCATCAGGTTCTTCTAACGTATTCACGATGAGGCGCGATCAGTTACACCGCAATTTCTACTACACTCACATACTGTCAGGTGCTGAAGGTGCAAGATTCGCTTGTCAATGATCCAGACGCGGCCGAGATGAGCCAGCAGTTCGGAATTGACTTTTGGGCTCACTGCGTCCGGCTTTCTTTGTATGATACGACCCTGGGCGAGGGGTTCATGCGCAAACAGTTCTTACAACATGCTGTAAATTGCACCAATGCGACCGACGCTGGCGCTTCTTCCTCCGCATCGGCAGTAGCGTCCTTGTTTTGGAGCGAGGTTTTCGCCCTGTATTCGAACTGGAAAAGGAAAGCAGGATGCTTGGATTCCTTACACCGGAATAAAACAAGAAATCTACATCCGGAACGTGCGAATCTGGAAATTTTCTCCGAGCTCTTCGACATACCCTGGCTGAAAAACGTAATCGCAACAACCACCTGGACCGAGGCGGACCGGGTGCAGATTGCGGATGCCTGCGTGGGATTGGCCGAGCTGCAGCGGATTGTCGGAGAAACGCATAAAGATAACGAGGCCGTGTTGCAGCTCAACACTGTGCTGCGGCTTTTCCGCGATGGTGTTCTCCGTGGCGGGTTCCGAGACTGTACAGGGTTGTCCGTCCCCGAGTGCGCGAAGCTGGTGCACGCGTTGGCTAAACTTCGGGTAGAAGACGGCGGTGCGTTAGATAGGGTGGCGTGCCGTCTGCGAGATTTCGCGGACCCCACCGCCTTTCTGGAAAGCTGCGAGACGTTCTGCATCCCGCAGTACGGGGGGAAAGCGCATCGGTTTCTTTGGAGCGATCACGGGGCATTACTGGGAAACAGAAAACCAAGAAGTACTTTTGCCAGCAGTGCGACGAACAACAAAACCGAGCCTCGTGCAACGAGTTGTTCTGTGTGGGACGTGGCCGCCGTTCCGACCGTGTTATCTAAGCTCGCGTACGGTTTTGCAAAGTTTCGTGTGTCGCAACACGCGACGGACGTGTTCGACCGCTTGGGCATTCTGATTCGGCGGCACCTTCACGCGTTCGACATTCCGGCTATGAGCCAGACCATCACCTCGTTCGCCCGCGCCGGCGTCGTCAACGAAGTGTTGATTGCGCGCCTTTGCGCGCGCGTGAAGCAACAGGACGCGGCTCGCGGGATGCTGGAGGGGATTCGAAATTCCCACTGCTCCTTCCAGCATGTGCTGAATCTGGCGATGGGGCTGGCAAAGTTCCAGGTGAAGGACGAGAAGTTATTCAAGGAGTACTTCGGGCCCGTGTTCCGCTCCTTCCTGCCGCAGGAGGGGCAAACCGTACTGTCCGACGGGGCATCCTCATCCCCATCACGACACGCCGACTCTGACGTCTTTTCCGCGACCCTGTCTACTCGAATAAATTTTGCTCAGGAAGATGATCCGTGCCAGAGTCAGAAGGGGTTGCGGAAGCTGCGCCGGCGGGCCGCGCAGACACGGACGGCCGCGGAACGGAAAGAAGAGGAGCTGGAGGACTTGGTGGAAGAGTTTTCCGTATCAGCTGCAAATATTTCAGGGTGTGCAGGGTTGGAACTTGTAAATGCATGTGTTCCATTCATGAAAGACGCACGAGCAGCAAAAGAGTCACTTGCTTTCTCGTGCGAAAGCGCAATCTGTGATGCGTACCGGGCATCAGAAAGCGGTCCAAAAACGTGTCATGCTTGGCTGCAAGAGCTGGGATCTCATCCGCATTTCAGCATCAGAAGTTTCCACACGAGGACTTCCCAGCCACATTATTTGCATTCGATAATCCGGGAACCAGTTTACCTTCGTGTCTACGGCCGACTGGGTCAATGTCGCCCAGGCATACGGAAAGGTCCACGTTTGCGAGGAGGAGTTGTTGCGGGGCATCGCAGACTTGCTACATTCCCGATGTGTACTACAACTCCAGCGGCTGCCTCCCGGACGAGGCCGTGCTGTGTGTTCGCCTTCACTCGGAGGTAACACAGGAACTGCAGATAGCTACGAGGAGAGACCACGAGGACAGCAGCTCTCTAGTAGTAGTACTGGTTCAGCATCGGCCAGCACCAGCCAGTACGGGGCGGCGGAAACGGCATTTTTACCACCCGCTTCGGGTGGACGACGAGACGATGATCAGCTCCTGTCCACCGCCGATATTTTGAAGTACATAAATGCCATGGGCAAGGTGCAGTTTTCCCACCCTCCCCTGCTCCACCTGCTTGTCCAACAACTGCGACGCGACTTGGACGTCGCGTCCCACTTCTCCCCCTTCGAAGCGCTGCAGCTGTCGCAGGCACTGCAGCGTCTGCATGTTCAGTACGACGAGCTGGAGACCTTTGTCGGCACGGTCCTACCAAACGAGATGCGGCGGGCCAGCAGCCTGTCGGGGGAAACCCTCCGGCGGACGGCTACCCTTCCGAAACACCGGAAGTCGGCGCGGCGAAGGAAGCGAACGTGGTGAAAATAGGATAACAAAGCAGATTTTGATATTTGTGGAAAAAGACGCGCTTTGGCATTGTTGATCGCAAGTTCTCATTCATCATTTAGGAAAATAAAGCGAGACCTCGACTGGCGCACAACTTTACATCTAAAGACCTCACGAGTTGTTTCGAAATGCGGCTCATTTGACGCGACATCTAAAGATCTGACTGAAAGGATTTTTCCGCGCAGCACGTAGGGGTACAGTGAGCTGCTCTGCATTTTAACCTCATTTTCGGTTATGGAATTTGGAACTAGTGCAAGCACGGTGGCAATAAAGATGAAGCGGCAAGGTTGTTCTCTTCTGTGAGCCGTTTTTAGTGTGCTTTATTTTTTCTGTGCTTATGTTGACGCACTGATCGATCAACCGGGATCTGACAGAAGATCCAACTGTTTCGTTTTCCTTGCCTTTTTCAAAACACATTGCAAGTTTGTGTGGTCGTCCCGCAACAATCAACTGTTACAACTACTCGTTTATTTCGAAGACCCCCGCATTGGCAGTTGCTCGGGGTAGAGTTATCGGGTAGTTGAGAGGACAGGATACAATGCGGGTTTCGCGCAGGGCGCTGCTCGCTTCTGCTGGGGCGGGGCTCGTCCAGGCTGCTCCGGGCGCGGCGTACACCACTTTGACAACGCTGTTCGAGAAACTGAAGGGTGAAGCGAAGGGTGAATTTGACACCAAGACACCCGAATTGGCGGACCACAACGTCGACTGCAAGGATGCGCTGGAGACAATACAAAAGGAAATAGAAAAGCAAACCAAAGACAAGGTGCAGCACTTGCTCTCTTTACTTGTTTCCCATGTCGCTTGATTTTAAACTGATATGCATATCAACTACGACGTTTTTTCACCGGGAAAAAAATGCAGATGTTGTTTGTAGATGTAGCCGAAGTCATTTTTTACTTCTAATCGTATGGCGCATTTCTGTTGATCAGGAGCAGCGGAATAAATGTTTCCAAAAATTTTTAAATTTCATCTTGTTCTTTAGACTGAAGCCGAGGCTGCGGAGGCGGATGCGCAGAAAGCCATTGAGGGCGCGGAGGCCAAGAAGGCGAAGGAAGAGCAGCTGAAGGATGCTGCCGAGACCAGCAAAGCCGGGGCGCAGGCCACCTACGAAAAGACGAAGGCCCGCATGGGCTACGACATGGGGCAGCTCCAGGGGGCCACGAAAGGACTGGACGACGCCATGACGAAGATCAAGGCGGACACAACGCTCGCCGACTCGACCAAGTCCAAATTGGCGTCCACCATGTCGCTGCTGCGCGACAAGATGCTCGAAGATCAGAAGAAACTCGATGATGTATAGAAAAATGTGTTTTGAAGTACATATTGTATGTTCTTCTGAACTCCGATGCCACGACCTTTGAAGATGCCCTTGCAATCTTGAAATAAAGAAGTTGGAGTTGCGCTTTATTTTGAGCGCAGTAAATTTATAAATATCCATATGCTTCATCTCTCTCTCAGGACATCACCATGGGCGAGAAATTTCACGCGGAGGCACAGACGACGATGCAGCTGCAGATTGAAGCGCACGACGGGGCGATTCAGGAGCTGACCATCTTTTTGAGCAACGAGGGCGAAAAGCTGGACGCGGCCAAGAAGGCCAAGGCGGACGCGATCTCCAATCTGAATGCGGAAAAGGCGTCGAAAAAGGCGAAGACGGCTTCCTGCGCGGAGAAGCGCATGGCGTTGGAGGGCGAGATCGAGGACGCGGACAACCGCGTGAAGGCTCTGTCCGCCGCGTTGGACATTCTGGGCAAGCCCTCCGCCGCGGCCGCGTTGTTGCAGGCTGAGAAAACGATTCTGCTGCAGCAAAAGACCGTAGTGCCGGGGTTCCTGCAGATGCGGAGCGCCCCGAATAAGGTGGTGCTGGACCTCCTCGCCACGATGTCCGGAAAGAGCCGCGCGGCCGAGATGCTCAAGCTGGCCCTGGACCAGAAGCCAGGTAGTAGGAGTAAGTTTAGGAATTGATGTCGCCATTCGAAGCTTTGAAAGAGTTGTACGGTATTTTTGGATAATCTGGTCGCTTTTATCTGTCGGTTTAGATGCGCGGGCACCAGTGTAGAAATCAAAAACCGGCAACAAGAACATGTTTATTGCAACATTAACATTCTTTCCTTTGCAGGTGCTGCCGATGCTTTTGCAAAGATCGCCTCCGAGATCGACAAATTGTCCGACACTATGTACAAGCAACAGGAAGAGGACCAGAAGTTATCCTTGCACAATCCAAGCGAACAAAAAGCGGCTTTTTTCTATTGCGGTAAACAACAAGAAGTCCCCTTCTACTGCCAAAGTACAACTTACCCCCGTTTTTGCGCTTTCAGGTTGTCGAAAGACCCGGACAATAAACTGTCATGCAATAATATTTTTGGTGTCACGAGCTGAAACTCGCACATGGACACGATCAAGAAAAAGACAGGCTGTTCACAATCGCTTTCGGATTTTTCGTTTCCATTTTTCTCCAAGACCTGGTGCCAGCAGAAGGACAACGAGCTCACCCTGCGCATTCAGGATCTTGAGACCACGAAGGAGGAGCTGGAGCAGGCCATTGAGGCTCTGGACAACACCGCGTCCTCGCACAAGGACAAGGCAGAACAGGCGACAACGGACATTAACAAGGCGGTGGAGGACAACGTGAAGGCGCACGACCAACTGACGCAGGATTTGGACGCCAATAAGGTGGAGCAGGAGCAGCTGAAAGAGGATTTCGGCAATTTGGAGCAGGCCAAGATCGCCCTCACCAACGTGTTCAAGGGCCGCACGGAGTCCGGCGGTGAGATCGTGCTGAACGAGGTGGACAAGGTGATTGAAAAGTACCAGGCCGCCATATCAAAAGGAAAACCCGCCCTCCCCATATATACAAGGCACGTTTTCGAAAATTTGTGTTGCTGATTTGTGACCACAAATCGTCTCTATGTTGCATGAAGGCAACTCCACAGGCTCCGCCGCATTCTACAGGCGGTTTGTCATGCTGTTGCGCCTGAAGCGCAGACGTCTGCCATGCTCAGTGCCTGGGTCAAAACCTGTCTACTCAGGCTCAGCATGGCTCTGCAGTCCTCGCCAGCAAGACAGATCTGATTTGTGTACGCAAAGCCAGCGTCAGAGCCTTCGTTTTGATATGGGTAGGGGGGGTTTTCATTCTGATACGCCATGACGGAGAGCGAGCGCGTGGAGAAGGAGCTGGGCGCCGCGATCGAGAACGAAGAGGAAGACCACCAGACGAACTTGAAGCGGTTGCAGCTCATCGAGAAGCGCAACAAACTCGGGTTCAAGGACAACACGGCAAAATCGCTGTCCAAGTCGGATGACCTCCGCGTCGTGCAATCCGATCTGGACACCACGAAGGCCACCATGGTCAAGGTGGTTACGGGTGATGACGCCAAGTGCAAGGACTACAAGTCCATGTACGCCAGCCGCATGGAGGCCCGGAAAATAGGGAAAAAAACTTCTTTGGGTAGTTCTTTGGAGGACAAAAAATCTTCCACGTCCGAAGTTTTTATCGAGCTAGAGGTACTACTGCGTTGTAACTAATATATTGTGATGAAGCTGTATTGGAAGTGGGCATGAAGTAAGGAGAAGCCGAAAAAAAGAGAGGAGCTACTTATGCAAGGAGAACATGCGTCGAAATAGCAACAGATGAAAAGATCAAGAAGATGACCTTGGTAGTGGTTTGTCCTTTGTCCTCTTCAGAAGACCACCCAAAGGTTTTTGTGCTTCATTCGCAGAGGAGATCGACAACCTCAAGAAGGCCAAGGATGCGCTGTCAGAGTACATGACCAGTTTGGGCCTGAAGATGACCCCGGGGGCGTAAAACTCCTTGCTGATGAGGAGGGATTCCGCGTGAACCGAAGTTCGCTAATACGCTCAGACGCGTCATTTTTTGCTGCGGTGCCGTTTCAAATGAATAGAATAATACCACACATGAGAAATAAGCTGCTGCGTCGTGGGATCAGTACGCTACTTTGGCAAGGTCTAATTTTCAACATATCGCAGCAGATCGGGCTAAGAATAGCGCCTCAATAATGTACGATTTTTGGTATAGCTTTCAGAACGAGAAGGCTAGCTTTTGAAGGTGACTTTCTGTACAAAAACCTATTTTCTCAGATGATGGCAAGGCATTTTTGGTTTGTAGTTAATTTATCGATGGCAGAAACCCTATTTTTTCAGAGATGACACTTTCACTTTTAAAACTTTAGAGATGACAATTGGCAAAATCCCGAGATGACGATGATGGCAAGGAAGAAAGCATTTTGAGGGCTAGACCTTTTTCGCAGAAAAAGCTATGCACAATACTTGGGGTTTACATTCTTGGACCTTCGAAAACGGCGGGCGGTTCAGTTTCACAGAAGATAGTATGACGGAAGAAAAATTCAAATGTCGCGGCACAGGAGTTTCTTATGGTGCAATTTTTTTTGGGTAAAAAATAGAAATCTTCATCTTGTTCATTTAGAGTTCGCTTTTCCATTGTTCTGATGGATGCAAGTCAAGCATTGATTCTCGCTTTATCGCAAAGGCCGCGGTTCGCTTGGTTTTTCCTTCGTATTCGTGGTTGTCTGATGTTCTCAGGATTATCGTTTGTTTCAGGTTCTTTCGCAGAGCGCTCTGAGAGAGGAATCGTCGAGTGGGTCTCGGAATTGCAAAGCGCTAGGTGCTTCCAAAACTGCCCAGAGAATTTCGGTTTACAAATTTTCAAACGTGAGAGCTCGTTGGAAGTGTTTTTCTGTGTCTGCTCTTACGTCGTAGTCACGGTTTCATTCGTACAGTGTAGAGATTCTTGAACGCCGAAACTACGTTTGTCAAATTTAGATTCGTCCAAACCACCATGCCGACAGGAATGCTAGATCGAGAGGCGCGCCTGGCAAAGCTGCTGAATTCTGCCTGCTATGGGAACAAGGAGGCAACAGAACTACCTACAACTGGAGGCGCAAGCGAAGGCCCGTCAGTACAGCAGGCAACTCATGGTTCGCGGAGCAAAGTAGTTCCGGAAATACTGACAGCGTCTGGGCAAAAACGCGCACCGGGGGCGATTGTTGAATCGAAAGGGAATGCTGGTGCGGTGTCCAGCGCTCAGGGAGCAACACCTCCAACAGCACCGACGCGCATCCGGGAAGGCGCGCGCGTGCTCGGGACGGGCCAGACAGTGCATTCGAACCGGCTGCAGAAAGCAGGTGCCGTCGGCTTCACGCCCTCTGCGGGCCGCGCAGCGGTATCGGTGGAGGAGAGCCGCCGGGCCGTGGCAAACAGCGGGAGAACCGCCACAAGGGGAAGCGCAGCGGGCGCTGATGACGGTAGTAGCACGGTCGCCGCCACTGTGCGCGGAGAGCTCTCGTCGCTGTACGGGGCGCACCACAGCGCGGAAGGGGAAGTTCGACGGGCGAATGCGAGGGAGAGAGTCCCACCCGCGTCCCAACGACCTCGTATCGTTCGATATTTATCTTGTGCTGCTTCTGCAATAGGTTGTAGGGTGGCTCCCTCTAGTACTGCTACGAAAATCGCCACTAGCGCTGCCTGATATTAAGGGTTCCCTACCTTGAAACGGAGTTTCGCTTGATCCTGAATGTGTGTTTCGCGCATTTTCTCGTGATTCGTCAGGTGACAACGCCGCGTTGAACGCGGCCCGCGGATCGGAAAAGCCTAAGGTTGCGGGTGACGGGATGAAAAATAGAAATAACGTGAAGACACTGGCTGATATTGTGCCACAACCAGCAGCTGCCGGACGCGCATCCGCAGCCTCGTCCAGCAGCACGCTGCGGAACACCACGGCGGCGTACCGACAGAGCCAGGGCACTATCAAATGGAAATATGTCTGGGTCTGGAAGAGTGCAAACTTCTTATGCATATTTTCCATGTCCCATGAGGTTTGGAATGCAGGACCTAGCATGACAGAGTCTGCGAGGTCTCTGCCATGCCTATCCTGCATGAGAAACTCCCACCCAACTTGGTCGAAAGAGGACAGCTTTTGGCAGTCATGCAACACAGATTTTTGCATGATTTGGTTTTAGCATGACAAGCTTCAATCTTCCAGACCCAAACATTTTTGCAATTCATAGGCACAACCGCACGTCGCCTGGAGGACGTCGGCAAGAGCACTATGACGGACGAACAACGGGAGCGCGTAGAGAAGGCCCGGCGGGTCGTGGGGAAGGACAAAGAGTGCGACTTGCCACCTGCGACGTGCACGCCGGGACAGGCGAACATACACACAATTGGTGGCGGTTCTGCCGACGCTCGCGGGACGAGACGGGGTGCGGGTAGCATGGGAAGCTGCGGGAAGAAAACCGTCGTAGCGGGAGCTTCACAGGGCGCCAAGCGCGTTCCCGGGCGTTAATAGGGACGTGCTTTTCTTTTCATCTGTAAAGGAATTTTTGTCGGGAACTATTTTTCTTGCGCCTGCCGGCGTCGCGACGGTTGATTGTCTCTCGCTCGTGGATGATACCATCTGGAACTATGTTGCGACCAACAATGAATTTGATGACAATAGAGCCAGTGCGAGGTACCAAAGATGTACTGCTATAATAAAAGTGATTTCAGAATATTCCTTCTGTGCGTGATACTGCAGCTCAGCAAGAATGAAGATAGGTAACGGCCTCTCGTCTGTCTCTGTCGTTTTCACGAATTATTATTGCGGCTTGCCACTGCCAGCCGAAGATCTATTTTTTCATCCAAGAATGCAAAAAGATCAGTGTGTTGTACTAGAAGCTGCTTCATCAGTCGTGCCGGCCGCCCGTATCGATTAGTCACCAGATCGTGTAACTAGTAGAGCAAGGACGTCGAAAAAAGATCTACTCTTCGTGGCAAGTTTGTATCAGAACAGTGATAATGCAGGAGATCGCAGCTCCATCTTGATCTTGATGTAAGTAGTCTTTTTCGCAGTCCCCTCGTGGTGTATCACGATCGTGCAATACTATTAATTTCGGTTTTCGCGAGATCTTCGTATTGAGAAACAAGGTGAACCAACCTAAAAAGGTATGTGTAGCTATTTTTAATATTCCGGTGACTTTATATATTGCCACGTAAGTGAAACAGTTCCAGGTTACTTTTGTTAGCGTTTGGTAGCAGTTTGTGTTTGTTTTATCTTCACACTGCAACTAACTTTACGTTTTGGTTTTCGCCCTTGCATCTCCCCTCGCAACTAACTTTACGTTTTGGTTTTTGCTACAACCACTTACGTTTTGGTTTTTGCTACATTGTATTCGGCAGTTCAGAGTCGGACTCCAGAGGAGGTAGTGTGTAGGATCTTGTTGTATATTCACTGGGCTACTTATTTTTGTATCTCGAAGCCGTTGCAGCTTCCGGCTCCGCCCGTCGCCATCGCGCACATGCTGACGGAGCGGTATCTCGCAGTGCAGCACAGGTTTTCCTAGCGTCAGAGAATGACTCGGACGCAATCCCACGGCCATGGCACGAGCGCGCGGAAAAATGGTCGTTCCTCCTTCGCGGCAAAGGTCCGCCTGTGGTTGCTCTGCCTGTTCACCGGAGCAGTAGACCAGGAGCAGGGCAAGAGCCAATGCGTTGTCGCAGCAGGGCCCTCCTCGCGGGAAGGGTCAGTAGGCCGGGCTGCGGCAACTGCGAGCGGCAAATTGTCGTCCAAAGAAGTTGTAGTAGGGAATAAAGAGCACGCGGCAGCTCCTGCGACATCTTGGGTCGAAGCGGATCTGAGGAGCGATGCGTTCTGGAAAAGTGCAGGGGAAGCGGAGGAGGAAAAAGCCGCTGCATTAGACGTTGTCGGTCTTTTGCGGGGGACAGCGGTGAAGGTAAATTGTAATTGTTCACGTTTGCTGGTGTGGTTGACTCAAAAAATATTGACATGTGACAAGCGAAGATTAGATTCTCACGCCGGTGCAAGGTTCTACCTAAGTCAAAAATACACGAAGAGGGCGCTCATGAATGAATAGAAATAGATATTGAGGGCTGATAGATGGATCCGAATCCAGGGCCGGGCTGCTCATGTAGTTCTTGTTACGGCGGCGATCGTGGTTCCTTCTGCGCTTGAAGATGCTTTTAGTTTTACCTGCACCACTGTGTACTACTGCTATCGTTCTCAGTGGAGGACCTCCTATACATTTGATGTTTTTATCACAGGTGACCAATCTGTTCGGGCTGGAACTCGTGGAGCGCCGCGCGTTGGAAGCGGGTAGCCTGCAGGGTCTGATCGATCGCGCGGTTGCCGCCGCCCCGGGGAGGTCCTGCCAGGAGGAAGCCGCACCCCCGTCGCGTTTTTTCGGACTCGGCATTCTGACCCAGCCCGCGAAGCGCGGCTGGTTCGCGCCCGGCGTGACGCGCAACGTGGAGGCTGCGTTTCAACGGAGCATCTGCGACGGGCCCGGGGCGCCCGACCAGTGGCACCTCGGACCCGCCGCCCCACCCAAGCACGGGTTCCTTTTGTTGCAATTTCCATTAGAAGACGTGCCGCCGGCGTTTGTGAGTGACCTGCTGGCGCAGCCCATCCCGGAGTGGGAAAACCAGGAGGAGGAGTGCCTGGGGCTGGGAGAGGAAACCCGGGCGGAATTACTGGGCCTGCCCCTCCCCCGCTACTTCGACACGGTGCAGCAGTTGGTGGAGCAGGCGCGCGTGTTTTCGGAGCGCGAGGCCAACTTCCCCGGGGTGGAGGCCATCGCGAGCGAAAGCGAGGGCCCGGAAGCCGCGGACGCGGACCAGCAGGCGCAGGCCTTGCGGTACCTGATCACCGCGTTCCAGCTCGCGCACGCCGGATTTTTCTCCGAGGAGCACCTAGGCCCCACCAGGGGCTACAGACGACTGCGAAAGAAGTCGGGATGGAGCGGTGGTGGAACAGATCGTGGCACAGAAGCACTTCCTGCTGCACCATCCGTTTATATTGATTCTGGTGGAGGAGGACATCACCTACGTCAGGAGCCGGGGAGTCTACTCTCCCGCGCGCAGAGAGTGGGCGAGACCTCCCGGACGCTGACTTTGTTGAGTTCACTGGAAATGAGCTTCTCACTCCTGGTTGAACCGCCGAAACGCACGAACGTCGGCCTGAGCGGAATGCGGGGGCGGGGTGATAGCACGATAAGAACAACAGATCCAGACAGGATTGAGCAGGCGGAAGAGCCGCGCGACCAAGAACTACAGCCTCCTTCCGTAGGCGCAGCACAGCTGTCGAGACGGGAGAAGTATGCGAAAAAGCGTGAACAGAAGCGACAGCTGCAAACCAGCGAGGTATCGGCGGGTACGGTAGTCGAGCACACCACGAGTGGTGCGGGTGAAATTATAACTACGGCGATGGATTGCTGTTCCACCGGCGGCACAGGAGCGGGTCCTCCTGCACCGCCGACAGGCCAGACTCAGAGTGGTCCTGCAGCTGGTGCGCGAAGCAGCACAGCAGCGGACCCTTGGGCTGTTTCCGTCTCTTGTCGACGGCACTTGGCCGAGCGGGTTTTGCCGACGCTGCGGTTTTTTCTGCGGGTCTGCGTGCTGTCCAGCTTGCAGCGCAGCCACAACGAGCAGCTGTTGTGCGGTGCCATGATGGACGTGACTGCAAAAAACTGGGGCGACGTGGGCCCGTTCGGCGGCCTAAGCCAGGGGTTGGTGCAGCTATCATAGGTAAAAACGTCCCCACCTCGCCAGAGTCAAGATGGGAAATCTGCTAGACAAATCACCAAGCTAGTTGCGCATGACAAATTTGGGCTTAGCAAGTGCAGCAGCATCGCAGATCTAGCTTACCATGCTTATCTTTCGAGCATTGCAAATTACTATCTCAAATAAAGACCACTAGAAAATGTGTCTTATGAGGCTTCGCATGAGAGACATTTTAAGCCTGCAGATCTGTATAAACAACTCTGGGATCGGGGACGTTTTTGCTCAGGATAGCAACTCGCAGATCGGTACGTGGCGCACGCGACGCACTTTTTGTACGCCGGGGTGGGGTATGCATTGCAAATATGTCTGGGTCTGGAAGAGCGTAAACTTGTCATGCAGGTCTTCCATGATCCATGAGGTCTGGAATGCGGGACCAAGCATGACAGACTCTGTGATGTCTGTGTCATGCCTCTCCTGCATGAGAAGCGCCGTCCCAACTTCGTCGAAAGTGGACTGCTTTTGGCACTCAAGCAACACAGATTTTTGCATGATTCAAATTTAGCATGACAGGTTGCAATCTCCCAGACCCAGACACATTTGCATTCGATATGGGGCTCCTGGAAACCATGGCCACGGTGGAGGACCAGAAGCGACAGATCCTCCAGTATTGCAAGGAAAAATCCCCCCTCCCCATATCGAAAAGGTATGTTTCCAAAAAGTTGTGTTGCGGATTTGAGGTCACAAATCACATCTGTCTTGCAAAAAGGCAAACCCAAAGAATCCACCGCCTTATGGAGGCGATTTGTAATGCTGTTTCACCTACATGGCAGGCCTCTCCTATGCCAAGCGCCTACAACAAAACACCCCTACGCAGGCTGAGGCTTTGCCTGCAGTGCCTCGCTGCAAGACAGGGCTGATTTGCGTACTTACACAAATCCAGCAACAGAAGTTTCCGTTTCAATATGGGGAGGGGGGATTTTTCATTTTGGTATCCAGGCGACGGAGGCCGCGACCGGCCAGCAGGGCAACGAGCGTGCGAAGCAGGTGGCGAATGAGAGCAACATGCTGGGGAACGCGCGGCTGCTGATTTGGGTGGTGCTTCGCCGTCTCTTGGAGCTACAAGGCGACGAAGAGGACACCGTCGATGCTTTTACCAAGGCGTTTCTCCGCGACGCAACGCCCGCGGACCGACGCGCGCTGTTGCGCCGCAGCAACGCGTTCCTGCACCACACGGGGCTCCTGGTCAGCAGGGCTAACAAGAAAAGGCGTCTTGAGAGCGACGTTGCAGTTCCTGACGAGGAAAATAAATCCACGTCTCATCATCTCCAGGGCCCTGATGTTTCTTCTAGAGCGGAAAAATTTTTTCCGGTGCAAGAACTACTCACAGACGATGAAATAAACAGTAGCGGTAACAAGAACCTCCTGCTCCCGTGGCACCGGGACAACGTCGTGGAGGCGTTGGCCGCCTTTCGCGTCACTTTGGCGCAAGCGTTTTCGTTCGCCGGGCCGGAAGATGAGGGACGACAGTTCCAAAATTGGACGGATTTGAGCACCAGTGTCGGGGCGGAAAATCATAAGCATCAGACTTTTCCACCACATGATCAGGAGAATTCTGAACAACATCACGACCTGAAGCATGACGATCTGAAAGGCCACATAGACGAGCTGCAGTGGCTCGCCAAGGTGCAGCAGGGCGTGTGGCCGGAATTTGCCGAGAGTCTGGGGGTGCGGGAGAGACGGATTTTGTTTTCGCGGTACGGCCGCGGACGGTGTTATGTGTTGCAAAAATGTCTGGGTCTGGAAGAATGCAGGAGTTTGTCATGCAGATTGTGCATGACCTTGACCCATAGGGTCTGTGATGCCTGCCCTAGCACCAGAGATTCTGCGAGGGCTTTCTGATGCTCATACCGCATGAAGAAATGCCCTCTCCGCATAGCAAAAATCGGACCTCTTTTGCTGTTCATGCAATACGGATTCATTGTAGAATCCAAATGCAGCATCACAAGTTCCATCCTTTCAGACCAGACATATTTGCAATCCATAGGTGTCACTCTGGAATGATGCACGCGCTGGCCTCACTGTCGCTGCCCGGGCCCGCGAAGGTGCCCCTGTTCCGCGAAGCGTGGCCCGCGGACGACGAAGAACGCAACCCGTTTGTTGCCTTGCGAACAACCGGAGGAGCGGGTGGAAGTGCAAAAGAGGAGAGTCGTGACGCAGCAGCAGTCCTCGCAGCAGACGTTGTACCACCGCAGCTAAGGGAGAGCGCGGAGGCCGCGCTGAGGGAGCACCGCGGGGCGGAGGGGGCGATCACCAGCCTGCTCCTATTAAATGAAAATACGTCTGGGTCAGGAAAGATGCAGCTTGTCATGCTAAATCTGAAGCATGCAAAAATCTGTGTTGCATGAGTGCCAAAAGCTGTCCACTTTCGGCCAAGTTAAGAAAGAGGGAGTTTTTCATGCAGGATAGGCATGATAGAGACACCAAAGAATCTGTCATGCTAGGCCCCGCATTCCAGATGTCCTTGGTCATGGAAAACCTGCATGACAAGTCCTGCAATCTCCCAGCCCCAGACATATTTGCATTTGATAGCTCCAGGGATCCGATCACCGGGTCGTGGCTTGGAACTGGCTCGCCACGGCCACGAACAGTCAGCTCGGCGGGTATCGTATTGGAAAACGTCCCCACTTGTAATTCAAATCTGCATGCTGAAAATGTTTCTCATGAGCAGCCCCATGAGAAGCGGTAGCTAGCCCTGTTTTGAAATTTGTCATGCTCCAATCAGCATGATATACCAGAGTTGTGATGCTGCTGAACTACCTCAAACAACAGTAGTACACTACGAGTGCAAATGTGTCATGCAAAGCAGCCAAAACCTGTGGATTTGCCTAGCCGATTCCCCATCTTGACTCTGGGGTGGGGGCGTTGTTACATAGGATAGCGGCTGCAGCAGCTTCGCGCACCACCTGGGCCCGATCGCGCAAAGCATCGCCGCCGACTTATCCTGCGTAAAAACATCCCCACCCCAGAGTTGTCATGCAGATTTGCGATTACAGGAATGTTTGTAATGCGCAGCTCTACGAGAGGCATTCCCAATCGTGTTTTGGAATCTGTAATGCTGTAAACAGGATGAGAAAGTGGCTTTCTCATGCAGCTTCCCTTGCTAACCAGCACTACACTGCAGATGGAAACTTGTCATGCATAACTCCCAAACCTGGCAGATTTGTGTTGCAGATTTACCAACTTGACTATGGGGTGGGGACGTTTTTACTCAGGATACGACTTCGCGGAGTCGCGGGAACTCGCGGGGGCAGGAGGAGGCGAGGGGGCATCAACTCAAACTCCGGCGGCCGCCACGTTCTTCGACCTCGCCGCGCACGGGGGGCTACAGGCCGCGGAAAGCATTGTCGTGGTGTTGCTCGCTCCGGTGCTGCGCTTGTTGCGCAAGCGCAGTGCGACGAACGTGATCTCCTTGGGGCCGGGCATCGAGTACGGAAAGCGCAATTGGGCGGTGGTACCGAAGAACGCGGGTGTGGGTCCGGTCCCAGCGGTCACGACCCCCGGCGGCGGAGGACGTAGTAGAGATGAAACGAATAATATTAACGACCAGCCAGGAGCGGCACTGTCGAGCCTAGTGGATGAGCGGTCGATGACGGGGAGTGCCTGTTATCTGCTCGGCAGTATGCTGATTCTGTTTCAGACGATCCTTCTACAGGTGCATCACTTGGTTGCCGAGCGCGCGCTGATAGAGCGATTTCTCTCCGAAGTTCCCGGTTTGCGGAGTGTCTACGAGGTCTTCAGCCCCGCTGCTCCGGTGACCGCGGGCAAGCGCAAGAAGGAGGAACAGAAATTCGCGGGGCGCAGGACGAAACGCGCGATCGCGATGAATGTGCGGGAAAGGCGGTACTTCTTTTGGCTAGTGGCCCTCGCGTATCACGCAGAAAAAAGCACCAGGCAGGTTATATTTGTAATGCAAAAAAGTAAATGAAGAGGAAGACACAGAAAAATCTTTCATCTTAACCAGCATTCTATGGGGCCGCCCATGACAAATTTTTCTGTGTATTCATTTTTGCAATACAAATTATATGCCCTGCTACTATAGCTTTTTTCTCTGTGATATTACACAGGACGGCCAGTGGATCGCGGAGCAAATCGTGCGTGGCGGGGGGAACACGAACAGCATTCCGAGCACCAAGTCCCAGCATCTCGGGTGCCCGGGGAATAGTTTGGCCCGGCTGGTAGAGCATTTGCGGCTTGTTCCGGACCGTCAGGTCGACCAATCGTCAGGAGGACAGGCATCAAATGCTAACCCTTCGGCAACAAAACCAGCAGAAGCAGGCGGAGCGACAACATCAACAGTAGGGGGGAAAAATAGTAAAACCTCTGCGAATACTGGCCCGGGTCGCGCAGCACTTCTCAGCATTCGTGACCTGGAAAAGGTTTTCCGAGCCGCGGCGGAGGCGGTGGAGCGCGAGATGCGCGACCCTGAACACTGGCCCTCGCCAAAGAGCGAGCCGAAGGACCGCCCGTCGGCGGCGCAAAGGGCTAAGATAGAAGCGGACGATGACGAGTTCGCCAAGCAACGCATCGCCGCGAGCTTAGAGTATCGGGCCCACCTGCGTACGGGCGAATGGTTTCGGGAGTACCTGCACCTCCGCCGGGACCTGGATCTGAGCCTTTATTCCACCACCCCCACCACCAAGCACCTCAGGCTAGTACCCCCGGAAATGTTCACCGCCCTGAAGACAAGCGGAGAGTCATCTACAACTCCGAGTTGTGAACAACCACAGGAGATCTCTTGTAGGGACGTGCCATCTTCGTGTAAAAATACAACTCCCGGTCCTCGTGGCGATAATGCTCCGGAATTGAGTCAAAACCCGTCGCCCGAGACAACGGAGGTGTCCGAGCCGAGTGCCGGCGCTGATACTCCTGCGGATGATGATTTTGGCGCCTCTTCATCAAAAGTGGCAGTGGATGCTGTTCGGGATGATGATGATGATGTAGTTCATGTTGATGATCAGGCAAATTTTGCTGCAACCGCTTCCTCGCCCGCAGTTGAGCGCGGGTTTTTGCAAGGAAACAACGACCTCACGACGAGGGAAGGAAGTTATCAGTCCGCAACATCGTCACCACCTGCCAACAAGGAAAATATAAATCCGACCGTGGCAACATCAATAAGTCCTGCAAGAGCGGAGAGCGCGGCCCTGGTGAACCCGCATACGCTTTTTCCCCTGGGATTCATTTTCACGGGCGGCAGCGTGTTTGCGAAGACCGGCCGGCCGGACCAGTGGAATGTCCGGGTTGAAGGTTGCGATTTGATTTGGGAGCAAAGTCTCTCCAGCCTGTGCAGCGCCGCGGTGAAGGGCTTGGCCGCGCAGGCGCGGAAAGTGTGTTCGCGGGCGTGCTGCGGCCGGCGCGCGCGCGCGGCCTTCTCGGCTGAGATGCAAACCATCTGTCAAAAGTTCCGCAGCGACGTGGATAGCGATATGCGGCGGTGGACAGAGCAGACCCGCGGCGCACCGGAGCAGGGTTATTTGCAGCAGCCGGACGACATGAATTCTATGCAGATAGACAACAGTCCTGATTCCCTCCCACCAGTGACGGAATTCCGCGTCCTCGGCGAGAAGACCGAAGGTGGAAGTGATCTTGACAGACCTGCAACCATCGAGGAGCTCACGCGGGAGATCAACAAGCTGGCGCTCGACGAAAACAGGAAGAGTATCTTGTGTAAAAACGTCCGCGCGACCCCAGGGTGAAGATGGGAAATCTGCTAGACAAATCAACCACTTTTGGCTGGTGCGCATGACAAGTTTGGGATTGTGCTTATAGTGTAGTCGTGCTGAGGTAGAAGTGGTGGAGCAGCATCACAGATTCAGCAGCTTATCGTGATTCAAGCATGAGAAATTATTCCAAAACAACAGTAGAAAATCATGCCTCTCATGGGGCTACGCATGAGAAACAACTCCGGCATGCAGATCTGCATAATAACACCTTAAGCATGTGTATGGGACCATCCGGGGACGTCTTTCCTCAGGATAAACACCCCGCGGGCTTTTTCCCTGTCCGCCAGCGGGGCCGTGAAGCAACTGGCGCTGCAGGGATTTCGTGCGGACTCGAGAGCAGATGAAAGCGTTCGTGGCGCAGGAGCAGGAGCTGCTGCTGAGTACGTAAAAAATAAGAAGACGCCTAAAAGTCCGGCAACTGCTGCGAAGGGAGAAGACCACGAGCGGAAAGAAAAGGAAAACAAGCATTCCAGCAAGGCGGTCGCGGAACAGGCGGGAGTAGAGGCAGCAATCGTAAATGTTGAGGATCCTCGGTACTGTGCATGGAATAACATGTGGAAGACCCTGGATCCGGAGCACAAGGGGCAGCCCCTGGGCCTGGCTTCTGGCAGCACGCAGTCGCATGCACAGCTACTTGCGGAGCAGGCCGCCTTCGTTTGGGTGGCCAATTGCGTGCGCTTCGGGCAGATGCAAGCACAGCGGCTTCTGATGGGCCCAGCGCACCGTTCGCCGACGTATTCTGTTCGCTATTTCTGGCCGGAACAGGAAGGTGTGATACTATCATCTCCAGGTCTTACTTCAACTGGCGGCCAAGAAGAACTGTTACCCGGGGAAAAAGAGGCAGAGGCACGAAGCAGAAAAGCCGGGGGCTTAGCCGGTGCTGGAACAAAGGCGGACGCGAAGCTAAAAAGAACCAGTGGAGGAAAGACAGACAAGGGACCGGAAAATAAGGATGGAAGAGCAAATAAATCAGGACCAGCATCTACTTCTCCAAGCGCCACCGGAGAAAAGAGTACCGGTCACCCTACAGCCCCTTCTTCCTGGCTACGTCCCTACGTCGTGACCCCCGTCGTGCAGGATTTACGGCGTGTGATGCGTCCGCCCCTCTCAAAGAGTCGGTGGGAGGAGTGGTTTGCGCACCGGGAGTATGAAGTATAAAAATGTCTGGGTCTGGAAGAATGCAACTTGTCATGCTAAATCTGAAGCATGCAAAAATCTGTGCTGCATGACTACCAAAAGTCGTCCAGTTTTGACCAAGTCGGGAGGGAGTTTCTCATGCAGGATAGGCATGAGAGAGATCGTGCAGAATCTATCTGTCATGCTAGGCCCTGCATTCCAGACCTCATGGGTCATGGAAAAGCTGCATGACAAATCGCGCACCCCCCCGGGCTTTAGTCGCGCAGTCTGTTAAGCATGACAAATCGCGCACTCTTCCAGACCCAGACATTTTTACATTTGATAGGGAGAAAACGATTCGCGCCGCGGTGACCGACCGTCCATTCTGCGAGCACCTGCACTCCTGGTTCGCGACAAAGCAGCTACCCCAGGAGTTTAGCGGCGAGGGCGTGACGAAACATCAGAATCGGGGCCGCGAGGGAAAAGATAAAGATCTTGTCGAAGAGCTGCAGGGGAGTACTTCCAAGACCACCCCAAGAACTACTACCCCGGCGCCGCGGTGGCTCGCGATGCTGGGAGAACAGGCCAACGAGGTGTCGTATCTCTTGTGCGACGAGGGCCACACGTACAACCTGCTTGGGGAGTTTTTGTTTCTTTGGCTGCAGTCCCACCGAGAGCAGCTGCGGAAAGAACAAGTACACACTGAAAATAAAGGTCATGACCACGACGGCAGGAAATTTTCGGAACAAATTTTGCTGTTGCTCGAGGGCCGCGTCAACCAGCTGATCGCCGAGGCCTGGCGGATGCAGCGCGAGGCCGCGGAGGTTTGGCTCAAGGTGCTGCAGGGCGGACCGCGTTCACTATCCGAGCGCACAACTACTCCCCCTCCCCCTCATTTGTAATGGAAAATCCCATATCGATATCGAATCCAGTTGGTTGCTTGTGGCACTGTTTGGATTACAGATTCCGGAAGCCAAAACAGTACTTCTAGACTCGGCACGTGAACTTGCCATACACAGGCTCCACGTGTGTTGGTGGTTGTGATGCTGTTCATGCCAACATACAAATGAGCGGGAGAGGGCATTGTACACTCTCATATGCACGACCAGGGAGCAGCGCGACGAGCCCGTCTTCCGGGGCGACCGACAGCGCGACCGAGCTTTTGAGAGACCGGGTTTCGCGCAACAAGCACGTGGCAGCCTTAAGTCCTGCGGACAAAGAGCCGCTCGCACGGGTCTCCACGGACTTTTTGCGTTCCATCGAGCAACGGTACAAAAGTCAGGCCGAAGCGGCGTTTTCCAAGTTGGCTGCGGACCTACTGGAGGGCCTGGCGCCGGCCATCTTCTGGGCGCCGTCGATGAACTCTAAACAGGGCAAAAGCAGAACAACAACAATGACCGCTGCGCAACTGCAGCAAGTCAACGCCGCGACGCCCGGTGCCGTTCTGTCCAAGCTTTGTCGCAGCGAGACTCCTCGTCGAGACGCCAACTGGCTACAGGAATACCACAAGTCGCGCGCCCGTTTTGCGGCCGGAGGAAGTGGTTCCTCGGCTCTACTACTATCGACGAGAGAGCACATCAAAGCAGATCCTGACAACTCCACACCAAGCGCTATTAGCAGGACTACGGGCAAGAGCATCATTCCGCTTGGCGCCGTCCGTTCGGTGTTCCTTTTGGCCGATTTTCTGACGTTTGAAGCGTCCGCGCGCTCCGCACCTGGGTCTTCCACAATCGAAGGCTTCCGCCCGCAGGAAATCGCGGAGTGTGTGGACCAGTTTCTTCTACCCACCATCGCCGACCGGATCGACACGTCGCCGCTCGCCTTTGACCTGGCCCACATCTACCGCAGCAACAGCGCGGTCGAGCGCGCGGCCGTCGAGGAACAAAGGCAGCGCCGCTGGAACGAACAGCTACGCAGGGCCGAGGAGGGCGATTTTGAAGATTTGGACTTTCTCGCAGCGGAAACCACTAAGGACCTCGCTGCAGCAAGGGGCAGGAACAGGGGAGCGGAGGTGTCTCTGGAAGTGCTGCACGACCACAAGGCAGAAGAAGTGGCGTCGTCTACAACGGGGGAGATGACAAGAAACGAAGTCGCAGGGACGAGAAACGTCGCCGAAGGTAGTAGTAGTAGTACACTGCCAGCAAATCCTCGTGGAGGTTGTGCCTCTGCAAGAATCGCGCCGTTGCTGCCCGCAGAGGCTGAATTGTACGGCGATATCTTTTGTGCTCCGGGCCGCTGGTTGCGCACCCGCTTGCTCACCGAGACTCCGAGTATCTCCGTCTTGGCGGACACGCATGTGACCCGGGTGTTTGCTCTGCCCAGTGCAGTTGTTTACGTAAATCCGTCCTCGCGAGGATCGCTGCTTGCGGGTGCATCCGGTACTAGATCTGGTGCTGGAGGAAGGACCAGTAACGATGTTCTAGATCCGTCGGCGGGGGCAATGAAAATTTCTACAGGTCGCGAAAGCCAAGATGAAATTTATACTGCTACTACTGATCCATCTCATCTCCAGCTCCTCCTTCGCTCTGGCCCACGCCGGGTCGCTACCGCGTCCGATCTGCATCCGGGGGAGGCATTGGTGCTACACCAGAAGCAGTTCGCGCTGTACCTGCTGCCGGTAGATGAGCTCCCGCGAACTGCGCACGTGAAGCTGGAAAAAGAGGTGGTCCGGCTGGTGCAGGTGCTTTTGCTGTACTTTCAAAGCCATTCTTGTGCGAGGACCAGCTGCGGAAGAACTGAGGCCGCCGCTTGTCCGAAGATGCTGCAGCTTCCTGTCCTACCGAGCAAAGCAACCTCTTCCTCGAGCAAAGAGTCTTCTGGCGCGGCTTCGTCTGACGAAAGCAGAAAGTCTTCTTCCGCGGCGGCTCCTGGGGGAGGCAAAAGGATGAAAAGTGGTGTAGAAGTTGTACCTTCAGGAGGTAGTGCAAGAGGAGGAACCGCTGGTGAAAGAATTGATGCGCCACCGTCGCTGCAGATTTTCGAGTTGCTACTTTTCGTGCACCTCCGCTACTTTCACGATCGCAAGCAGCGGCTGGCACCCGTGTGGGAGGACGCGATAAGCAGGGACCAGGAGTCCGGCGTAGTGGCGGATTTGTTCTGGGCCTACGGTTATCAAATGTAAAAGTGTCTGGGTCTGGAAGTGTTCTAGATTTGTCAGTTACGCGAGCACCTACCCTGCTTCTGTACCTTTTGTGGTATGTTGGCCCATACCAGTACAGTTTTCGGTCGGGTAGGACCCCGGGTGGCGGTAGTCTGCTTCTTGTCTTGATTTTTTGCTGCTGCTGGGCTGCTCTGCTTGCGCGCCTTTCCCTTCTTCGATGCTGCTCTCGTTTTCCTCGTACTTGACCAGCGGATAGAAGTGTAACAATTCGTTGCTCTACCCACTAAAGCCCAATCGTGACCATGCCCGTAGGAACTACTTTATTAATGTCTCTACGACTTTTGACTTCAATCTTAACCTTCACATGTATTCCTACCTAACTTGTGTTTATTTTGTTTTTTCTCTGTACGATTGGCCAAAGCGCCACCGGGACAGCCTGCCCGTAGACCACCGATGTCATGCATATTTTCAATGACCCATCATGTCTGTGATGCATGCCGTAGCATCACAGATTTTTAGAGCGCTTTGTGATACCTCTACCGCATGAGAAATACCCTCTCTGCGTAGGAAAAACCCGACCCTTCTTGCTGGTCATGCAATACAAATTTTTGTAGAATCCACAGACAGCATCACAAGTTTGGCTCTTCCAGACCCAGACATTTTTGCATTTGATAACGGTGAGCTGTTGCTCGACGTGGTGCACAAATTCTTCTGGTTTGAAGATTTCCATTTCCCATCGGAGCAGGAAAAGGAACTACCCGAGGTTGTGGGCAACGGATCTACTCGTAGTAGTTCTCCAACAAGCGACGTAAAAACTACTACATCATCTGCTGGGAGGTACTCCTGTTGGCAATACACGATCTTGGAACAAAACTCGATGCTGTTGCTGCACCACGACATCACTGAGAGCATGATGTCGATTTCAAAGACGGAAGGGTTCTCGCATGGAAATAATTCTGTGGATCCTGTAGGTGCACCAGGACCTGCCGCGGTGCCGCAGCGACCGCCCCCGGGCCTTCCGCCACCTGTGGTCGCGACGGCGGGCACGAAGAAGAAGAAGGAAAAGCCTGTTTCCAAGAAAGCACCCCAGCAGGAACCACTTCAGCAGGCGAGTGGTTTAATATCATCAACATCGCCGCCAGGAGACCAGTCTTCTGTTCCTGGGACCACGACCTCCGCGGGAGCGGAAAGAACGACGCCTAGTACAACTAAAAATCACGAGTTTTATGTGCACGACGAAATTCTCCAGTTTTCCGTGCGCATTCGGTTTTTACTCGAAGCAGAGGTGGCACTGCTCACCGCCTGGGGCATGCGCTCGAAGAAATTCTGCGAAGAATTGCTTAGGCCAGCAGGATATCAAATGCAAAAATGTCTGGGTCTGGAAGAAATCACACATTTGTCATGCATTTTCTACATCTACATCTACAAAAAGGTCTGGAATGCACACAGAGCATGACGAACTCTGTGGAGGCTTCTCCATGCCTCTTCCGCATGACAAGTGCCCTCTTCTGGAGACAAAATTCGGGTACCTTTTGCTGGCTACGCAAGACAGATTCTTGCCTGTTCCAGAATCCGCATCACAAGTTCGCATCCTTCCAGACCCAGACATATTTGCATTTGATACAGGAGGAGAGACAGCCTTGCACGAGGAGGAAAGGCAGCAGTTGCAACAGCGGGCCGCGCGCTGGAAGGAAATGGACATAAGAGATGATGTTCAACATCCCTTGCAAGACAGCAAGGGAACAAGCTTCCAGGAAAGAAGCGAGGCTGCCTTCAGCCCTGTCGACGAGCTCCGCAAGGTTTTCACGGCTCTAACGAACGCCTTGCTGAAGGTGTGGCGGTGGAAGACGGACGCAATACGTCGCGTGCTGACCACGTTGGAGCAGCGCAGCGACAACTACGTGGCAAGCTCGACAGTATTAAAAGGTGGAGAAACTACTCCGCCGGCGGTGGCGGCGCGCGAGAGGAAAACGAAACCCCCCATGACCGAACTCCAGAGACAGCTGGCTGCCCTGAACTTGTTCGAGAAGGAAGCGCGCTACACGCTCCTGCTCAAATTGCGGGAAGTCCTCGAACAATCGGATGAACAAAGAACGATGAGCGCCCGGCTGGATCTCGTCGAGCGCATGAGGACCGTGGGGGAATTGCTGCGTGATCATTTGGCCGTGGTTCATGTATTGAACGGACTGGAAAGTCATTTTTTGTTGAATTTCACTTTTCATTTTGTCACATGTCACGCTGCCCGTGCATCTTCATGGAATTGTTGCGATTTTTCGACAAAAGAAACCCAGTTGTCGTGGCATTTTCAAGGAATTATTTTCACGCATATGCAAATTGAAGAGAAACTGAAACAGAAAGATAGATCGAAAACAAAAATTGAAAAAATCTACCAGGAAAAGGGAGATAGTACCTGGCGATATATCCGAAGGAGCGATAAAGAGCACTGGCTGGTGCATTTGTTGCCCCGACTCGCGAAGCGAGACGAGGACGCGAGTTGCCAGGTGGCAAGAAAAACACCGGAAGTGGGAAGACGCGCCGATGAAGCAGGATTTACTGCTACGTCCACGTCGGTTGTGCGAAAAGACCGAAAGCCACATGGACTATCGCTAGGAGAGCCTGACGAGGGTGTGGTGGACCCAGACTCGCAGGAGCTGGACGCATTGGTGGCAGGAATTGAGGCCGTCCAAGTGACAACTCCGACAAGTCGTGACCAGCAAGCAATCAGGAGTAGCGGTATAATGGCCGCGGCTGGTGCCGCGATTTCTAAGGCAGCAAATTATAACGATGTCCTCTCTGGAGCTGCAGCTAAGGGGACAATAGCAGGTAACAATCCGAAGAAGCAAGCCACTGCATCAGTCGCGGGCGCCGCTCTTGGAAAATCCAACACTGGTGCCGGCGGCGGCAAAAGTAGCAAGGATGGTGCAACTGAAGATGTCAGTCGGGAAGAGGAAAGTAGAGCTCTTGGGAAAAAGAAAAAAAAGAAAAACAAGAAGGCTAAGAAGGGTGAGGCCGAGCCAGAGGAAACGGAAACCACTTCTGCTATGCCTGTCGAAGCAGTTCCTGACAACGGAACAGTTGGTGACGACGGAGCACTTGGTGACGACGGAGCAGTTCCTGACAACGCAGCAGTTGCTGATAACCATAACGGAGCAGTTGGTGAAGACGTCGCGATGGAAGATGAAGATCCTACTGAAGATACGGAAAATACTAAAGGAGCGTCAGTAGGAGCGCGGCAAGAAGAACAAGAAGTAGAACAAGAGAACGAGCACGCAAAAATCAAGGATGAAAACACTGTGTTTCCTGCTGGAGTAGATGCAGCAGAGCAACATCAGGAAGAAGAACAGCATGATCCTCGAACTCCTGATGATCCATCGGAACAACAGCAAGACGTCAACGTTGCGGCTGCCACGTCGATGAGTGTGGATCTTGAGGTTGTTCCAGAGCGCCCACCTGGAAGTTGGACCCAGGAGGAGGTTCCCGCCGTGGTGACCCCAGGAGAGATCACGCTCACGGGGGAGAGCAGTAATAATAGCCCCCTGCGTGGTCGAGGTCGCGGACTTTCGTCGAGCGACGATTTGTGTCCGGTGGACTCCTGTAGTGTGCGGAGTGAGGACAGTTCTTCTATCAGTGTGCAGTGGCTGGGCTTCCCATCCGAAACGCGTGTGTTGGACGTGGCGCCTGTTTTCCTGCGCCGGGTGCGGCAGATGATGAGAAGCATGGTCTTCGCTTTTGAACTCGGAGATGCAGCCGAGGACAAATCTTGTTGCGCCGTTAAAACGACGACAACTTGTTCAGGGACCAGCGCGACTGGTCCTTGTGACAGCACAGCGGCGGAGGTACAGCAAGTTGCTGAAATTCATGAACACAAAGGGTCAACAGCAGCTTCGACGCTACGCATAAGGATAGACCAAGCAATCTCGGACTGGGAACGGGGACTGCGTGCGCTTCTCCCCCTGCAGGTTCTGGACAAGGCCGCGACACAGAAGCGATCCTTGCTGGGGAAGGGGTTACACCACGAGGTTCGGGACTTTTGCCTGGAGCAAGTCGAAGGAGACGAACTGGACGCGTTGAATGAACACGGTCTGCTGTTTCGCAAGGCCACCGCCGCCTTGTTGGCCGTCTTTTTGGAGTTGAAAGAAGAAGCCGCCTCCTGCTCAGGACGAGCAGGTTGTGCAGCAGCAGCGGCAGGAGTAGTAGACCGTGTCAACCTCAACGTCAGCCTCGTGGAGCAAGCACTGAGGGCGTCCTGGACGTTTTACAAAGAATTTTTGACGGAGGTGGTGCGGTTTCTCATGTCGCCAGACCATGCGATAGCGCATGGGCTAGTAACTCCTGCGCCGACGCCGTCCGAAGGGCAACGTGTCGAAGATGGTAGTGGTTCTGTTGGAGCTGCTTCTTGCCGGAATAAGAATCCCGGATTTGTCCTAGGAGGAGATCATCCTTTCCGGTTTCGCGACCAGCTATTGGCTCTGGACCCATTTGAACTCAACATTGAGAAGCTTACCAATGCAGTTCTGCACCCAAGAAAGTCAGGAGACGAGGAAACAAACCATCAGCATGACTCGGACGGTGCACCGGCACCAGCGGGAACACCTTCAATCCCGGTCGTGGAGAAGTCGGCCCAGGAACGCAATCTCGCCCGGCTGGTGCACGGGCTGCTGGCGCGGAACGTGCACGCGGCTATCAAATGTAAAAATGTCTGGGTCTGGAAGCTTGTGATGCTGGGTAGCGTCTCATGATGAGGCTACAAATGCTGGCTCAGCATGACAAGTTTCTGAGCTCCTAGGTGTTGTCTATTCTGCATGACAAACTGCGCTTCTGCATCACAGAAAAACGCAGCTCTTGGGTAGCGTGCGTGACAGATTTAAGAGTCATGCCAGACAAGCATGACAAACATGAATTCTTCCAGACCCAGACATTTTTACATTTGATAGCGGCCGAATTCTTGCAAAAAGAGTTTAACCCGGCTTTCGAAAAGGCCATGGAAAAAGAACAAGAACAGCTGCGTGAGTACAGTACCGGCGGCTCTAATTCCACTAGCGAAGAAGAAGTCGGTATTTCTAGTAACCTAGTCGACGAGCAGGGGGTTCTATTTCAATTTCGCGAGGACCATCAAGGCGTCGAGAACTACGGGGAAGACAGCGAGAAGACCTTCGCTTCTCTATGGCGTCGTGTTTTCGGAGAAGATCATGACAGCTGTTCGACGGAACAGAAAGATGCAGAAGCTGCGGCGAAAATGACCGAAGAGGAGCCTGCGGGGCCGGCTCCTGTTTATTTTTCCGGGGCGGGAAAATTTTTTGATGGTGAGAAGCATGAAGAAGAAGAACTGCTCCCCACGGCCCAGAGGGCACCATCGGCGGAGTGCGAAGAAGTAGATCGCATTGCAGCTCCTGCGTTGCAGCCGGATGCTACAACTCAGCACTGGATGGACCGCAAATTGGAGTTAGAAGTACTCGACCCAGAACATCGTACGACATTAACTCCCGTGGATGTTCCTATGAACATGCAAGATAACGAGGAGTCGGAAAAAGAAAAACAAAAAGTGACGTCCGAGTCATCCTCTTCAAAATGTCGGCCGCCTCGGTCCACATTTTCGTTCGATGAGGACGCAGAGCGCACCTTCGGGGCGTTATCCGCGACGCAGCTACTGGTCAAGAAGCAGATCGAGGACGAACTACTCACGCCGGCGTTTGAGGGCAGCCGAAACGCTTTTTCCGCCGAGCAGGTCGGTTGCGTCGCGACGGAGTTTTCTTTCGTGGGCGTGCGCCCGGTGCGGTGGAACGCCTTTTTCGCGTTCTTCGGGGTGCAGCCACTCGATGCCGGGAGTAGCGGTTTTTACTTTTCCGTCCAGCTGGCCCGGCACGAGGAGGAGGTCAAGGACCGCGTGGCGCTCCGGTTGGTGGACGTAGAGTCCACGAGCGATGACGTCTGGTCGGAGCAAGAACTCCGGTCGCCCATCCGCATTAAGTATTTTACCGCAGCCGGGACTAGTGCCGAACGCACGCGGGCCCCCCTCTGCCGGCGGGGGGCAGGAAGTGTGTGTTCTGTCCGTGGCAGCCGTCTAGCTGCCGCGCTGTGTTTTCTGTTTCTTGGCTCCCACCGAGAAAAGGATGCGCGCCGGCGCATAAGAGAACCAATGGCATTGGGTAGGCGCCCCACCTTGTCGGGCCCGGCGCGCTCTCCGGTCTTCCCGGAAAGCCAATGAGGCCTGGCTTCTGCTTTTCGGCAGGCGCCCGGCCCCTTTGCTTCGCCTCTTTCTTCGACGCTTGCCACTGCCAGCACGCGCTGGCCGGGCGGCTTTTCTCTCCAACTTCCGCCGGCAATAGGTTATGAACAGCTGTGGCCCTGTGTCGCGGAGCTTTCCTCCATTTCCTGTTCTGTTTCTGTCGCGCGGGCGCCGTCAACGCGCAGCAGCCCGGGCCCAGCGTCCCGATTTAATCGGCGAAACAGGTTGGGCCAAGGCGCTCTCCCGGCCGATTCTATCGTCGAAACAGGTCGCGCGGAGGTGTTTCGACGTCGAAACACCTTCGCCCGAGCTGTTTCGCCGCTAGAATCGGTAACCCCGTCCTGGTTGGCTCTCGTCTGCGCAGCCTTTTTTTTCTTGGCCGGCCCCCGTTCCAGAGGTTTTTCCCAGGTGGGCGATAGCTCTGCGTGGGAGGTTGGGCCGCACCTTTCTTGGCCCTGCGAGCGAGACGCGCACTGCCGCTGTGCGACAACGTGCGTGCCTGCCCAGTTCATATTATTTTTGAGTCAAGGTTGGCGCAGACGCAGAGCCCGTGGGGCTCTCGGCCACCGAGACCACCACGCGTTTCTTGGTAGGCAGGGGTGAATGGAAGGCCAGCAACCTCGGTTGCGCGGGGACTGCTCGGGCCAATTTTCGTCCTTTTGCTTTTATTTGTTGCTTGGCGTGGGGCTAGCGGTAGCGACTGTGGCTTGACCCAGGCCCTCCTCCCCAAGAATCGACGCGCAACGTGTGTGTTGGGCCGGGCCGCCGGAGCTCGGCAGTTGCGCATTGCATGCGCATGCGCATGCGCCTGCACGTGCACAGAGCCCTTTTTGCGGTGTTTGAGGTGCCCCGTCGGGCTCTAATCGGCACAACCTAAAGCGGCAGCGCGCTCGTTTCTGCTAGCTATCGTGAACATTTCCCGATAGCTATCGTAGTCGCGATGGTGCCGGAGTTCTATTGTGTGACTTCATAGAGCGATGACGTCTGGTCGGAGCAAGAACTCCGGTCGCCCATTCCGCAGCTGGAGGCTCTGGTTTCTCATTTGCCCCCGATTGTGCACACCGCGTTTCGGTTTTTGTCTCTCTTCCTCATCCGTGCGGGAGTCGCTGTCGCGCAAGAAATTCCTGGCGACGAGTTTGGCAACGATATTGCATTCGCAGGAGCTTCTGCTGCTGATGCCCGCTCTTCTTCTACTACCTCCAGCGAAGCGCGGTTGCGGTCGCTGGTCGGGGTTCCGGAGCTGCTGGCCTTGTGGTGCCTGGAGAAGGGCTTCACGAAGGCGGACACCTGGATGACGAAGAAGCTGGGCGAGATCACGCGGGGCAACTTGCTGCTCCAGTGTTTGCGAGACTTGGACTTGCACTTCGCGGACGTTAGCGCGGGCGATATCGACCTAGGCACTGTCCGGGCCTGGCAATTGGTGACACGGGAAGAAGTCCTCGCGGAGCGGGAACGGATGCAAGAAACCCACAACTTGTGCAGCCTGTCGCGGAGTTTGTCGGACGTGAGTGCGGGCACCAACAGCGGGATCGTGTCGTCAGTTCCCATATGCATTGCAAATATGTCTGGGTCTGGAAGGTTGTAACTTGTCATGCTAAGTCTGCATCTTGTAAAGATCTGTGTTGCATGCTTACCTAAAGGTGTCCACTTTTGACCTGGTGTAGAGGGCGTTTCTGATGCAGGATAGGCATGACAGAGATCTCACAGAATCTGTCATGCTAGTTACTGCATTCCAGACCTCATGAGTCATGGAAAATCTGCATGACAAGTCGCGCATTCTTCCAGACCCAGACTACATTTTTGCATTTGATATCCCAGCGCTGGCCCTGAGCAAATGGCGAATCCCCCGCCCGGCGGTCTATTCCCGGTCGGTTTTTTCCCGACTTACCATCTGCAGCCCGTGGCAGTTGTGCCCGTGGTTGATCATGTGGATAGCACTGGAGGAAACCGTGGTTCTGGGCCGCCGCAGAGCCTGTTTGTTCCCCCGCAAGAACACGGCGGCCCATCTTACTCGCCTAGTAGTACTGTGCACCACCAGTTTGTTCCGAACCAGCAGCAGCATTTAATCCAAATGCAGCAACAAGGCGGCAACAGTCCTGGGGGACGAGCAGAGGCGGGGCCCTCGAGTTCCTCGTCTCCTGCTATCTGGCTGGAGCAGCATCACCAGCAGCAGCCCGACTTCTACAACCCACAGACTGTACCATCACATCACCAGTCACTGTCCTACTATTCGCCCGGTACATGGGGTGGAACTAGCGGTGGACCTCCAGGTGTGGTTGTTTCTAGTGCCAACATTACACAGCAGCAACATCATGTTCTTCAGACGCCAGCACAACTACAGCAGCAACAGCATCATGTTCTTCAGACGCCAGCACAACAACAGCTGCACCCTCCGCCGATCCTCCTCTCTCCCACCGCCACGTATAGCATCCCAGCACTGTCCGGGGCTCCTGCAGGAGCCTCGATGTCAACACTCTCCGAATTGCCAAGGATGTTGGAGCAACCGATCTTGAGCTTTCCCTCCAGTTCCAGCAGCGCCTCGTTGCAGCAAGTTGGAGCTGCATCGTCCCAGCAGCAGCCCACCGGGGCGAGAGCAGAGCACCACGTCGAGGAATTCTGCATTTCTACACCGAAAAACTCAAACACAAACTCTCCACCGGCAACATCCAGCGGACAAAATGAAGCGCCACTATCTGGGGCTTCAGCACCGTCGCGGTTCCCGGCCGCCGGTGGGTTTGAGACCAACAGCCGCCCCGATGCCGTGCGGTTTCGCTTTCGCCAGGTCGAGCGGGCCTCGCAACAAGCGGTGTTGTGCCAGGAGGAGCAGGAAGGCGGCCAGGAACTGTCGAACGTCGGTAGTGGAGCTTCTGTCATTCTGTTCTCCAACAAACACGGTTGGGAAACCGAGATACAGGCGAAAACGCTTCTCCGGCTAAACAACTTACAAGAGGTGTTGCAGCGGAGGCCCCAGAGGATTGAAGAGCTCTTTGTGGAGGCGGAAGAGAATCAAAGTTGACGAGGTATCGACTTTGGTGTAACGCAACAGGTACGATCGACTACGGACCAGATATGCATTCGCCGTGCACAACATCATGACTCAGTCCATGCAGTAGAAGTTCGCGTTTCTACTTTTGCATCCACATCACAAATTTTAGTGAATACAGACATGACAGTTAATCGCGGAACCCGTGACTTTTCGGAGCTTTCTTTGTCCAGATTCGAATAAGTAGCCTCTCTTGATGAGAGGGCAGCGAAAAATTTGCTGTCTGTGCAGATATAATGAAAGGAACACGAGGTTTTTACTGTATCAATTTGCATCTCAAAATGAAACCAATGACTAAAACTAAAGCGCGATTTGCCAAAAAATTTACGAATATCCAAAGATGAAAATATAGCGAATTGCTGTAAAAGTCGCCATAGGAATTGTTTGATACTTTTTTTCACTTTAATATCGCCAGCAACTTTCTGTTTCTGCCCGCGCTGCCGAGTTGCACCGCCATGGGCCGGCAAAAATGGGCCGGCGAAGGGGGCAAGTAGATCCATTCGTTTATAGAGAATTTTGAGAATATATAATTTTATCGAATAGCCATACCGGTGATGTGCTACGGATTCGATGGTAAGTAGTTATCGAAACAAGGAAGAAAGAACTTCCATTGCAAGCGAACTTTATTTCAATAGAAACGACATTTTAGTTTCACGCGATGTTGAAAATGCTTATAGTAGAGCCTGACTGGCTGCATATCCCGGATGAATCGAATTACTCTGGTGCGCAACATCGTTCTCCGTGAACATGTTCTCTTGTTCCACGATGAAATAAGACGAGGGCGTGTCGTCTTTGCCTGTATACCATCTGAGTTCGAAACGAGTGAGCGTCTAGTCCTTGTCTAAACGCACGCATTCTGTGCCGTCAGTTTTTCTCCCCAAACTGACAGTGCAGATGATCTTCTGCATGGTGTGTCGTGGCGCGAGCGAGAAGTTCTTCCAAGTTCTCGCAGCGATCTCTTCCGAACATACTACACTCGTCTCTGCGTGAGGCTGAGGCTCTTAGCGCTTTTTTTCGATTTGTAGACCCTCGTCGGCACAACTTTTAGATTGTAAGTGTGGCACTTTATCCTCATCGGCGACATCATTGCTCCACCATTCTTTTCGTGTATTCACGCACAGCTAGTTCGTTTATTTTTTTTACGACTTGAGCGACTGCACGCACCACAAGTTTTTTCGCAAATTTTGGTATGCTGACGAGGTACCTGGGAACCGCATCTTCCCATGCGAGGTGAGACGCAAATTTAGGCCTTTGCCCCCCCCTTTTGGGACCTGCACACAAAAAACTTTTTGTGAATGATTATTGTATTGTATTGATCATTCGGGCAAGATGAGCAGAAAACATTTCTCGACGTCGACAAGGACCACAGGTCGTGGCACTAGTACTTTTCTGGCTCTTGCATTCCTCACCGCCGTGCAGCTTGACAGTGTCGCCGTTTTTGCTTGTGAATTATCACAGGAAAAAGTGTTACAGTTACACACCTGTTGGAGTTTCTGCATCACAAAGTTGCTCGACATGGCAAAGAAAACCTGTGATGCGCAGACTATAAGGGAAAACACGTATGAAATGAGGTTGGCAAGCATTTCCTGCATGACAGAGGTTATCTGTCTTGCTTGTCTCCCATCAGAGTGTGTAACTGTAACACTTTTTTCTCACGATATGAATCCTCGAAGTTTTATTGCCCGGAAACCAACACGCTAGAGTATCAAATGCAAATATGTCTGGGTCTGAACGAGTGTGATGCTGTTTGTGCATGACCCAGAAGGTCTGGTATGCAAGTCCTAGCAACACAGGTTTCGAGTAGGTTAGGCGATGCCTAATCCGCATGACAAGTTCCCTCTTTTGGTGACAAGAAGTGAGCAACTTTTGCGGTCCATGCATGACAGATTTTTTTCTGCTCTCAAATGGATGCGCATCAGAAGTTTACATCTTTCCAGACCCGGACATATTTGCAATGCATATAGAGTCCGACTGCACTAAATGCGGAGACTACAAAGTGTCCGACGCCGATTCGGATCCCAAAGTCTGCATCAAGAGGCAGGTGCAATTTCTACCGATGTCATATTAGCATGGAGCGATGTACCATGTAGTACACGGTCGAATGTACTATGGTCTACGGACATCGTGCTTATTCCCAAAAAGCGCTCATTCGAAACACCGACCCTTCGTGAAAAGAAGCGGCATTACATTTTTGAATTTCGTCCACATCAATAAAATTGTTTTTGTTTTAGCTACAATTTATTCATCAATTTCTTCCTTCAGGTTTTCTCGTCCAAGTACTGGGTGCACGACCTGTTCGGGGTGCTGATATGGTTTGTGGGAGCCGGCCTGGCGATGGCAGCCGGCGTTGGCGGCGGCGGCATCTTCGTTCCCGTGGGGATTCTGCTGCTTCGCTTTGGCGCAAAAACGGCGACCGGCCTCTCGCAGGCGTCGATCTTTGGCGCCTCGATAGCCGGACTGGTGATCAACTTGCAAAACCGCCACCCCCTCGCGGACCGGCCGCTGATTGATTTAGACATGGCTCTGTTTCTGGCGCCGATGGAAATGGCAGGCGCGGTGCTGGGGGTACTGGTGCAGAAATTTCTGCCGGACTGGGCCGTCATTCTGATCATGGCGGTGATCTTAGGGCAGACTGGAAGGTTGACGTTCAAGAAAGGTACTTACATAATAGGACTTTCTTGTTAGCGGATGAATTTCTTTGATACGATGGATCGCGCGTGGAACTATTATCGAGTAGAACCAGATGAAAACTACCACAACGATCACCCGAAATATTGAAAATTCTTCTTGCACAGCTTTCAAGCAACACGAAAAAGACAAGAAGCTTCGTGCAGAAAAAGAGGCCAAGAAGAACGGACCGACAGCTGCTGCAACCAGTACGGAAAACAATAAACCGAGTTCTTCTACTGCGATAGAGGATGCACCAGCGGCTATCACTGCTGACGATGTGAATGTGGAAGTTGTCCCCGCAGCTGTAACGCAGGACCGGGAGGTACTTAGTTTTGTGCGGATTTTTTTTACGACGAAAATCAACCGATTTTTATTTGCAACAGTAGCCTACGTATTTGTACCTACCGCTAGAGAAAGATGAAGATCATTCTGCTTCTGCAGACAACGTATAACGCCCTCTAGCTAGTACACCATCAACGGCACAAAGACACTACCAAACTAAACCTACTACTAGGCCGGCATGGATGAGTCCGCACCAGGAGCTGAAGGAGACGACCCACCGACCGGCCAACCGAACGAAGTGAACACGCCTGCAGCGGGCCCATCTGCCACTGGCTCCCCCTGCGTAGTTGCCGGGGATAGTAAAAAGGACACGAACCTCAACCTGCTGGACAATTCCACTGCGCCAAAAGCAGCCACGAGCAGCCCGCAAGCCTGCTTGACGATTCAGACTGAGAATCTCGACCAAGTAGCAAACCGCGGAGAAGAAGATGTTCATGTTGTTCACGACGCTCAGCCCGGAATTATGACCTCGCAACCAGCTCCTGTTTCCCTCCTGCCCGCAAACGTGTCGCAGCGGCTGGACGAGCTGGAGGCGCAGTCGCCGAAATGGATGCGGTCCAAAAGAGACCTGGACCACGTGTACGGGTCGACCGAGTGGCTGACGCGCGACAGCAAACATATCAAATGTAAAAATGTCTGGGTCTGGAAGAGTGCAACTTGTCATGCTAAATCTGAAGCATGCAAAAATCTGTGTTGCATGATTGCCCAAAAATAGGCGCTTAGGGTGAACTATGTATGTAGCGCTTAGGGCCCTTCCGTACGGCCATTTGTATGTCCCACAACGGGGCTCGCCTAAGTCGGTCACTTGTATGCAAGGCGTTGGGTTACCCGGTCGGCAGAGCCGATCCACAACCAACCATGATTGCCAAAAATCGTCCAGTTTTGACCAAGTCGGGTGGCAGTTTCTCATGCAGGATAGGCATGAGAAAGTGATCGCACAGAATCTGTCATGCTAGGTCCTGCATTCCAGACCTCATGGGTCATGGAAAAGCTGCATGACAAATTGCGCACTCTTCCAGACCCAGACATTTTTACATTTGATAAAACAGCCCTGGAGACAGTTCGGGTACCTGTTCGTGCTCTGGATTTTTCTGCTGCTCGTCTTGCTCTTCCGCGGCGGCAAGGGCATGGACAGCTTGCTGGGGGACGAGCTGGTGCCCATGTGCGGCGAGGCCTACTGGAGTTTCACCGCCCTGGCCTTCGTGTTTCTGTTCGGCTTCGGCGTGCAGATGGCGCGTCGGGCGGTGCACAAATCCGTCCGGAAGCAGGCGGTGGACTACCCCTTCGTCGAGGGCGATGTGCTGTGGACCTTTGAGAAGGCGGCGTTTTACGCCCGCTGGACCTTCCTGGCCGGCATCCTGGCCGGGTTAATCGGGATCGGCGGCGGCATGGTGCTGGGGCCCTTGATGCTGCAGATGGGCGTGCTCCCGCAGGTCTCTACCGCCACCACCGCGACGTTGATCGCCCTCACCAGCTCCTCGGCGGCCCTGATGTTCGTGTCCTCTGGTCTGGTGCCCTGGAGCTACTTATGCAGTGCAAATATGCCTGGGTCTGGATTTGTGATACTTACAGGACTTCAAGGACAACAAGATCTGTAAATTACAGAATGCATGGATACCATTTTTGGTCAGCTTTTTTGTCGTGCTGGATGGCAGTTTGTAGTGCTAAACACGAATGAATCCGCAAGGAGCCGAGGGAAATTTCTCATGCTGTTATGCCGTACAAGCAGCAATTTTGCAATGCAAGTATCAGCAACACAAGTTTCCAGACCCAGACATTTTTGCATTTGATACTACTCCGTGCTGTTCTGCGTCGTCGCGTTCGTCGGGGCGCTGCTCGGAAAGTCGAAAATCGACAAGGTGGTCAAGGAGAAGCAGATGACGAGCATCCTGATCTTATCCTAAATAAAAACGTACCCACCCCATAGTCAAGATGGGGATTCGGCTAGACAAATCCACAAGCTTTGGCTGTTTGGCATGACAAATTTGGACGCGTAGCGTAGTGCTGTTTGAGCTAGTTCAGCAGCATTACAGATCTAGTCTCTCATGCTGATTGGAGCATGACAAATTTCAAAACACCATTAGAAAATGCTCTGCATGGGGCTCCGCATGAGAAACATTTTAAGCATGCAGAGTTGCGTGACAACTAAAAAAAAAAAAAGAGTTGCGTGACAACTATGGTGTGGGGACGTTTTTACACAGGATAGATCTTTCTCCTCGCGTTCCTCATTTGTTTTGCGACCCTGATGATCACGCTGGCGGGGTTGCTCAAGTACGAAAAACAAGATTGGTGCTTCGAGGGAATCCAGCAGATGTGCAAATAGGAGTTTGCCTGTTTTTCCTCTAGTCCGCTAGTTAGGTACAACTTAAAGAGTAAGAGCTATACTCGGCTGGAACTTTGACAAAACTAGTTGAGTTCTATCCGGGTAGTTCCTATAAAACGGAAGTGACCGTGCCGACGCCAGTGCATCAGGGCTGCTGCACGAATTTTGTATAATATCAATTCAGTAAGAATCGTTTACTTCATCCCTCACTGTATGAGCAGGAAAGCGAAATAAAATATCCTCAAAATCGTGTACGATATAACCCTGGAAAGACTTCTTCCACATCTGCTAAAGCAGGTTACACTAAGATCTCCTGCTACACACAAGTCGCTATATCCTTGTAAATTACCGAGCCTTGCTTCTGCAGCTTAGTTGGTTTCGCGATTCGTGTCTTGATTCGTTGCAGATGCAGCCCCTGCATCAAGTTCGGATATGCAAACACTGGCCGCGCCACGCTGTTTTGGGCGATCGGACGCGCTGGAATGGAAATGAACTTTTGTACGAATTTTTCAAATACAGTTTCGGCTAATCGTCGCAAAAACATACAATACGCTAGGCTGCGAATTCCATGACGAGCGCTCATGGTTACGGTTTGTTGGACTGGTCACAGAGGTATCTCTGCGAGGCTGACAGGGCGTCGTCACCAAGTACCTTCTCGGCCGCAGATGTGTGCTTATTGGAGGAAGGAAGATCAAAGTTGTGCTAAGCTCGGTTCTGACAGGTATGCAAATCGGTGAAGGAGCGCACAGCTATTCTGATTTTTCGAATTTCATTTGGTCGCGTGCTTCATATGCGAAGATCTCACTTTAGTTTTCCGGGAGCCGAGCGCTAGCTTGGGAGGGAGAAAAGCAGAGAGAAGACCTGGATCCACCTGATTTGAAAAATTCTTGGGATCCTATTCAAAATCTGCCGCTGTTGTCGTATTTTGAACAAGCTGTTACGGTTGTTTTCCATTTATGATTGAAAGTCAATCTATTTCATCAGTGCGCTTGTGTGTGCTTTGGACCTTAGGCTATCACTGATTACTTTGTTTACATTTACATCTACATGGAAAATTTACATGCTAAGTTTTACCAAGTAAAACGAATTTCGACACATATCAAAACCACACGACACGTCCAGATCGACCAAAATGTCTGTGTTTCTACTGTGGCGACAAACTGGTTTTCTGGGGATCGCGGTGACGCTCCTAGCATTGCTCAACGTTCTTGGAGTCGGTACTACTTATGCAGTGGCCGCAACGGCAAACCTTTACGACGTACTTGGCATCAACCGGTCCGCGACTGCGGCAGAGATCAAGCGCGCATTCCGCCAACGGTCTCTGGAAGCGCATCCGGACAAAAAGGGCTCCGACACGGAATTTTTGCAGGTGAAGGAAGCATACGATGTGTTGCGCGACCCGAACAGGCGAAGACTGTACGACCGGGGGGTGCAGACGCAGAGTACTACTCATTGGATTTTTCTTTTCAAAATAATATTTGTACGTTGAAGTAGATGAACTCCCAGACACAATAAATGCAAGGAAGTAGTTTTTCCATGGTTCTTTCGTCTTCGATTGTTTTGTCAAATAATTTTTGCGCAAACAAGAAATCAAACCTCCACTCCAGGCCCGTCTTCCCGGCAGCCTCGGCGGCCGGATCCGAATAAGGCGGATCTGGTCATCACGACCGTGAAACAGCTCCTCGATTTCGAATCAAAGCACAGCGAGAAATTCGTGCTGCTCCACGTCTTTCACGGCACCTCCCGGCTGGACATATCAAATGCAAAAATGTCTGGGTCTGGGAGATTGCAAGATTTGTCATGCATATTTTGCATGATCCATAATGCCTGTAATGCATGGCCTAGCATCACGGATTTGCAGAGCGCTTCCTCATGCCTATTCCGCATGACAAATGCCATCTCCGCGGAGCACAAAATCTACTGCTCTCACTGGCCATGCAATACAAATTTTTCTCGAATCCAGAGACAGCATCACAAGTTTAGAATCTTCCAGACCCAGACGCTTTTGCATTTCATAGGACACGAAGGGCGGCGACTGGGTTTCGGAGCTGGAGGATTCCGATATCAAAGTGAAAAAAGCCCCCCACCCCATATCGGAACCGGAAGATGCGCGAATTTGTGATGCTGTGTTTGAGTATACAAATCAACTTGTATTGCTAGAAGGCCAAGAGACGAAGCTGCGGCCTAAATTGCAGGTAATCTGTCATGCTGTTTCCCACTTCCAGTTGCCTCCTGTCATCCTGGAGCTGCAAGGCTTTCCCACGCTCGACAGCACTACAGTCCGCATCTTTTGCCTTCTAGCATCACAAAGCTGATTTGTGACCACAAATCTGCATCACAGATCACATTCAGCGCCTGCGGAGGCTTGCCTCCAAAGCTATGCTGGACAATGGCAATGTCGGTGCGGTTGTTTTAGCATCACAGATCTCCGTTTTGATATGGGGAGGGGGCATTTTTCATTGTAATATCCGAGTTTTTCCGGTTCGCCAACGTGCCCGTGTTTCAGGCGGACAGCGCGCTGCTGGAGCATTTAGGAGTGACCACGCACCCCTGCCTGGTATTGGTGCATTCCGATTTAAAACTGCGGTCGGACCCGTTCACGGTGTCGGAGACCGCATTCCAGTACGATTTAGTTGCGGAAACCGTCCGGTTCCAAGCGGTGCGGCAAACCGGCGCGCCCTACAAGCAGCTGGTGCAGTATCTGCGGCTGAACGAGAATCCGGACGAGCAGCTCCTGCAGCACCCGGACGGCAGCGGGTATCAACTGCAAATATGTCTGGGTCTGGGAGAGTGTAAACTTGTCATGCAGGTTTTCCATGACCCATGAGGTCTGGAATGCGGGGCCTAGCGTGATAGAGTCTGTGAGGTCTCTGTCATGCCTCTCCTGCATGAGAAACGCCCTTCCAACTTGGTCGAAAGTGGACAGCTTTTGGCACTGATGCAACACACATTTTTGCATGAATCGGATTTTGCATGACAAGTTGCAATCTTGCAGACCCAGACATTTTTGCAAGCCATAGCGGATGTCTGCGGGTCATTTACCTGGCCCGCACGGAGGACGAGAATTTCGAACTCTTCATGCTGGCCCTGCGCCGGGACCAGAAGTACCCCTTCGCGTGCTTCTTTCACGTGTTGCCCCCCGACCTCGCGCGCGCCGAACTGCTGGAGGCCGATAGAGAGCAGAACGAGATACTAGATGGACCACCCGGAACTAGTACTTCTGGTGATTTGCGAAATGGTAAAACCACGACTGGTTCTTTCGGAGCGGTGAAGCGGGCGGACGGTATTGAGGAACTCTACCAGCAAATCCAAAGTTCGCCGTATGTGCTGATCGATCCGGTCACGGACGAGGGGATCGAGGTCCCCGATTTGCACAGTCTGCAGGAGGAGTTGGGGCGGCACGCGCACGAGAAGCAATTTTTTCTCCGCGAGGCGAACAGCTTAACGATCCCGAACGGGCGGTTTCTCGTTCTCTTTCTCCCCCGCTTGGAGAACGTCCAGGCCGCGAACGCAAAGGCGCGGGCGGCGAGGAACCTGTCCGCCTACCGCCACACCCAGGAGTTCTGCGAGCGCGTCGCCAAGGAGGGCATGCTGGCCTGCTTCTGGATGCGGGCGTCGGAGCCCTGGAACCAGTTTCTGGGGGAGCAAACCGCGAGGCAGCTAGGGTTGCTCGATCTTGATCCTGATAGCACTTTTCACAACAGCGGAGCGGGAGCAGCAGTTGGTCAAGCAACATCAACTAACGGAATAAACAAGGGGCAGCAGCACCAGCATCAGCAAGCAGAGCAAATCTCGAAGGTCGCGAACAACAGCTGTCCACGGGTGGCGCTGTTTGACGGGCCGACCCGCCTGATCGGGGTTTTTCTGGATGAAGAGAGGGAAGTGTTGTCGCAGAAGAGCTGCTTCGAGGGCAGTGGGTTGGACGCGGCCACCCGGTACTGGTGGTTGCGGCACCGCGGCCGGAAGGCACAGCAACTTCAGGGGGTGGTCAGCACTCCAGCCTTCCCCTTGCCGAACTTTCTGCTCGAAAACCCGCCCCGGAAGGCGCCGGAGAATTTCCAGGAGTACTTGGAGCGGTATGTGTTCGAAGATCTTGCTTTTGTTATCCTGTGTAAAAACGTCCCCACCCCATACTCAAGATGGGAAATCTGCTAGACAAATCAACGAGCTTTGGCTGTTGCGCATGACAAGCGCCGTGGCCTCGTAGTGTAATCCTTTTTAGGTAGTCCAGTAGCATCACAGATCTAGCGCATCATGCTGATTGGAGCATGGCAAATTCCAAAACACGACTCGAAAACGCTTCTCATGGGGCTCCGCGTGAGAAATATTCTCAGCATGCCGATGTGCATGACAAATATGGGCTGGGGACGTTTCTCCGCAGGATATTTGTGGCCGACCTGGTGAAGCAGGAATTGAAGGCCAGAATCGCCGAGGCGAAGCAGGTTTTAGGCCGCGACTTGCACTACCTGTTCGAAGTGTTTGTCGAGAACTACGAGATTTGCATGGCCACGTTTTTTATGCATTGCAAAAATGTCTGGGTCTGGATCTGGAAGAGTCGGGACTTGTCATGCACATTTTGCATGACGATGACCCGTGAGGTCTGTGATGCTGTTGCTAGCATCACAGATTTTTTGAGAGCTTCTTGATGCTAATTACGCATGAGAAATGCCCTCTCCGCGTGCCAAGAGCTGACTCCTCTTGCTGCTCATGCAACACAGATATTTTTAGAATCCGCAGACAGCACTACAAGTCCCACTCTTCCAGACCCAGACACATTTGCAATGCATATTTTTCGTCCTGGTCTGCACCATCTTGTTTTTCGCGATCCAGAACTTCATCAAGGGGCCCGCGGGCGGTCCGACCCCCACGATGCGGCCGAACCAGTTTTTCTTTGCCGTGACCGTGCAGCGCGACAGCGTGCAGGACTGCCCGTGGGGCGTGCAGCTGAAGTCGGGTCCTCAGGGGAGCAGTAGCCGGACCCCACGGCTGTTCATGGCGGAAATTTACAGCGACAAGGCACTTTTTCGGTGGAACGAGGCGCATGCCCGGTTGCAGCCGTTCCGACCGCAGAAGGATGACGTGATCCGCGTCGCGAACGGGGAAACGGACCCCGAAAGGATCTTGCAGGTGTTCGGCCGGGAAAAAGTGATCAATCTGATTCTGCACCGCCCCAACGTGTACAATGTCGGCACCAACGCCGCAGTCGTGGTGGATCGGGTCGATTTCTTGCCCGAAAAAGTGCTATTACAATGAAAAATGCCCCAGCTTGGCAGCATTTGTATTGCAAACCTTTCCAACAGAAACATTCCCCGTCTTGCATATCTCAGCATCACAAATTTTCCATGCTGAAGAGGTCAAATTTGTGTTTCGAAGTAGCCCAACAGCAGCTGGATCTGTTATACACAAGGCGCCTTGAGCACCCAGATTCTGTATCAGGAACGCTCGCAATCCTTTTATGCAAGACAAAAAGCTTTCATTTGGAAGCTTTGCATGACAAACTTCTGAAAATTCCGGGGTGGGGGCATTTTTCATCGTAATAAGTGCTGCGCGAAGTGCTGAAGACGTGTACCCAGGATTTGCATGGGAGACAGCAGCTGGAGCAGCAAGTTGTGACGGTGGTGCCCGGGTGCGAGCGACTGGTGCTGCCGTCCATGCGCGGCGGCTTGTTGGAACCGCAGGACCTGCTGACCCACGTGAAGCGGATGCCGGAGCGGGCCGATATGCTGCAGGTGCACTACATGCGCATGCTCGACGTCTCGGCCAAGAAGCAGGTGGCGCTCCGGGTGCTGATATGCATTGCAAAACTATCGTACTAGTATAAATTGCATTACAAATTTTCCCAAGAACAAAAATGCAATTTGTCATGCTATTTCAGGTAGAAAGTTGGATTTGTCATGCATATCTGCAATTAGTACGAGTGCGATACTTTTTCACAGGATAGCTGAAGCTGCAGCGCGAAACGACGCAGACCAGCTGGGGCATGGACATCATGGGCACGACGCGGCAAATATGAATTGCGAATATGTCTGGGTCTGGAAGAATTGAAGTTTGTCATGCTTGTCTGGGATGACTCGAGAGTTTGTGTTGCATACGCACGAAGCGGCATTCTTACTTGTCATGCAAAAACGCAGTTTGCGATGCGGAATACGTAACACATGGCAGCCAAAAAAATTGTCATGCATAGCAAGCTGCGTATTGCAGTGCGTCTATCATTCCTTTTTAGCATTACAAGTTTCCAGACCCAGACATTTTTGCAATCCATAGCAAAGCCGCCGCGTGTCCAAGTTCGCGGCGAGCTTGGGGTTCCGGGTCGGCGACAAGATCTGCCTCGTCACCACGATGGTTCCGTCGGGAGTGCAGGACAATTGTAGCTCAGCTGGACGAGGACTGCAAGAAGAACCAGAAGCCGGACATCAAGCCAGTGGCAGTAAAGCTGCAATAAGTTCGAAAACCTTTACGCGCACCTTTTCGGATTGGCCCGACGTGCTGCGGTGCTTCAAGCACAGTTTGCAAATCGAGGAAGTGGTAGTGCTGCGGTGGATGTCGGGGGAGGAGGAGTTGGATTTGGAAAGAAATGATCTTGCTGAAGAAAAACCACGAGGGACCAGCAACGTGCGCCGGGTGCAGCCGGAAGCCGCGGAAAATTTTTTGCTCACGCAGTTTGGCGCACGGAAAGTTCAAGTTGTGGCGGGGGCCAAGGAGGAAAGTCGAACTAGTACTTCTACCAGTAGAAGCGTCGAGCAGGAACCTGCTTCATCGTCGAGGGTTGTTGATAGTACATCAGCACCGAGTGGTGGGGCAGCTGGTGGCAACGGAGAACGAAGTTCGCAACAAGGTGTTGAAATGGTCGCAACTACGAGTTCAACGCAGCATAGTGAACAAGAAGGGCCAAGAACTGCTGAGCCAATAGTACCTCCTCCAGGTAGCGAAGAACTTCCGAAAGTCGGTCCACCGCCGCCCGCAAGAATCATGGCGTCCAGCACCAAACCAGAGGAGGAAGCGCCAGCCGGCGGAATAGTTTCAGAACCGCTTTGTTCCGAGCAAAAAGAGCCTTTCCACGCGGCGTCGCCCGCCGATAGCACGAACAGCACGGCCTCCAGCAGTATTCATCCGGGCATGAACATAGCACCGGGAGGAGGAGGAGAAGCATCAGCGGGCAGTTCATTTAGAAGTACTCAAACCCCCGGGGCTATTGAGGAGGTACAGCAAGCTGAGGAGAACTCCGCGTCAGCACCGAAATTTCCGCCTCCTCGGGCCTTTTCTGGGGCTTTGCGAAGTTCAGAGGTGGTCGAGGAGAAGTTTTCATCCTCATCGAGTTTTTCACCACCTCCGACTGGTGCGTTTGGTACTAGCGTTAGTACTTCTACAGGAACTGCGTCCATTGGCAGCACCCTCCAGATGACAGGATCTTCGAACAAGCATGCAGCTCCAAGTTGTGCTGCAACTGCATCTCGGGTCTTCTTGGAAGTCGCCTTACCACCCGGGTTTCTGTACGACGAATTGGCGAAGAGCTCTGCTGCTTTTTTCGACGACGACACCGGGGAAGGAAGTTCTTCCACGTTGCCCCTGCGGATTGTGGTGCAGGAGAGCAGCGCTGGGAATAGTAGTAAAATTTTTGGTGGTACTAGGACAGCAACCACTTCTGACGTAGGTAGAAGAGGACTACATCAAGGACAACAACTTCTGCACGAGGGAGATCTACTTGAAGACGGTGACGGTGTTGAAGGGCAGCCAGCCGTGCGGTACTCCTACAATGGGCACACGGCGTCCTTCCCTTTGCCACCCGGCCCGCTGACCGCGGCCGAGAAAAAGCGGGTGTTCTGGCAAGAAAAGCGCCGCTTGCTAGCTGCGATTGGCGGAGGGTTGAGAACCATTTTCACCGACTTTTAGAAGCCGAAGTGCCGCATAAGCAGTATATAGGAGTTTGAAAGTCAGAACATTGGACCAGAAACCGCATATTTGAAACAAACGAAAAAACCGCTTACGTGGGAGGATGGTGTTCTAAATTCATTACCATTACATGCTGCACGCGTGGTCGCCACGTTCATAGCTGGTTTTCCTGGCTAGCCTCGCAAGCAGCAAGGGACGTGCCCATGTTCCTTCCTTTTCAAGAAACATTTTGTTTCCACCAACAAAACGGATCTTCATCTCGGAGCAAGTAGTGCTGGTCAGGAGTAAGTCTATTTTATTCAATTACCTTTCCGTTCATCTGCTCGCAGCATCGGCGTGGTACTTACAGAAGATTCCATTTGCTTTGCGCAATGTGAAGAGGATCAAGAAGATAGATCGGTGGTCGCACTGGTGTCGGATGCGTGTGGTTTCTTGTGAAACAGATTTTTAAACACGACTCCTTGCGATGATCCAAACTATTGTGCTCGCAAAATTCCGATGATCCAATGTACATGTTCGGGAAATTTGTATTTGATGTTTCAATTTGCATTTGGAAGAAACCTGAAGCCGAAATGGAACCGAAGTGCCTGTTGGAGGTCGGCTTCTTGTCAAGTTTTTTTCGGTAGCCAAACTCTATTTTTCTTTTGATTTTTGACAGATCTTGGCACGGTGATTCTGTGGCGGCAAGTGAAAGGTGTCTCGTTTATGTCAAAGAAAGCATTACTGGTTGCATATCATTGTTGTTATACCGTTGTGGTTTATTTTTTATGCATTTCCATCAAAATAAAGTGAAACGACTTACGTCGGGACGATAAGTTTTAAACACAGTCTTAGATTTTGATTGCTGAGTTTCTTTAACCTTGGCTACTCTTTCTATATCTACATTTTCCAGGCATCTAGGTACTAGATCATGTCCTCTGTCCTCAGGAGCTACTTGCCCACGATAGGCGAAAATGACGAGACCCTGCCGCTGCTGGACGCCGTTGCAGACACCGCCGTCGGCGTTCTGGATGAGACCGAGGACGATGTTGAAAATCGGTCTACTGGTCAAAATTTTGACCAGCTTGCGAAGGAGACCAAGACCAAGCATCATCACAAGGTTCGGAAGATCGATCCCGAGGAGATCAAGCTGGGAAGCTTTTTCAAGTTTGCCACCGCCAAGGAACGCCGCATGCTGTGGTGCGGGTGCCTCGGGGCGCTGCTGCAGGGCCTGTGCCAGGCGTCCCCCATGATTATCGGGTTCGCCACGATGACCGAGCTGTGGAGGGTGCAGGTCCCGGTGATTCAGCCGCCCGAGCCCCTCAGTGTCGCGATGGAGGCCTGGAAGACCGCGGAGGCGGACGACATCGGCGCGCGGCTGTGGTCGAAGCTGTTTTGGTTCCTCGTGTTCGCCCTCGGCGCGACCGTGTTCGGCTTCGTCGCGTCCCTGAACCTGCGGCTGGCGAACGAGAGTCTCAGCTACCAGTGGCGCAGCGCCTACTTCAGCAGCGTCTTGCTGCTCGACATGGGCTGGTTCGACAAGGAAAATGCGCTGCTGGTCCCCACCCGACTAAACGAGGACATCGGGAACCTCACCGAGGTGGTCGGCATGAAGCTGCAAATGGCGGTGGCTTCCATCTTATCAACTGCAAAAATGTCTGGGTCTGGAAACTTGTAATGCAGCGTTGGGAATGGTGAGTGCTCTGTAATGCACAGGCAAGCATGAGAAATATCTGCGCTTCTTGCTGTTGCGTTTTTCGCATGACAAACTGCGTTTTCGCATGACAGGCAAAAGGGCCTCTTCTTGGACACGCATCACAAACTTTTTGGTCATGCCAGACAAGCATGACAAATCTCAAAATCTTCCAGACCCAGACATTTTTACAATCCATACATCTTCATGCTAGTGGGCGGCCTCGGCTACACCGTGTTCGCCTGCTGGCCGATGGCCTTCGTCGCCATCCCAATGGTGTCCTTTGTCGCCATCGGCATGTCCATGTACATCCGGGTCGCGCGCTATGAAAATGCACAACCTTTTCCCCTCCCCCTCATTTGTGTTGCATGAGCAGCAAAAATACAAGCGTCGGCGAGAATGCGGGTTTTCCATGACAATTTCACCCAGGATTGTAGTGTTGTTTGATCTACCAGATGAACCTGTCATGCAAAAGTTGCCAAGAGGCAAACGGTGAATTTGGTATTTTGCATGACAAAAGTAGAGAGGGAGGGGGAGTTGTGCACTCTCATACGCGCGCGGGACTGTCCAAAACCGTTCCGAATTACGAACAGGCGGGCGTGATCGTGGAGGAGTCTCTCGCGAACATCCGCACGGTGCATGCGTGCAACGCGCAAGAGGAGACCGCGGCGCGCTACGCAGGTTTGCTTGACGACGCCCGCACCGAGCAAAAACGGATCGGCGTCACGAAAGCCTTCGGCTTCGCGCTCATTTTCTTTGGCTTCCAGGTGTCCTTCGCGCTGACCTTCGTGTTCGCCGGGCTCTACTTGCTGCACGCGGACGGCACCTTCACACTGTTCGGCGTCAATTACGGTATAAATTTTGATAATAAGAAGTAACTGGGCTGCTGCTCCCTCGTGCATAGCAGTCCTCGCTTTATAATTCAGTATTACTCGAGCTGCATTAATAGAGTAGTGGGCGCACCACAGGAGCCACTTCACAGCTATACGCAAAATATAGCACATTATCTTCCTCGTCTTCCACGTCATTTCCAGGTTTGCAGGACATCTTCCAGGGCCTTGCGGGTGTGATGATGTCCACGGTGTCGATGTTCATGCTGCTCCCCTGGATCGAGGCCTACAGCCGCGGCCGCATTGCGCTGGCGAACCTCTTATGGGTGGTCGAGCTGGCCCAGGAGGAAAATTTGGTAATCCAGAACGGCTCCGAGAAGTTGCTCACCCAAGGCGGCATCCGGGTGGAGGCGAAGAATGTGAGTTTCAGTTATCCGAGAACTCCCGTGGGCTTCGAGAAGGAAACGGAAAATCAGGCTGGGCGGACTGATAATGTAGTTGACCATGTCGACGCGCCGTCCTCTGGCATGATGACGAAGGCACTAAGCACCGGAGAAGAGGGTGCTGGTGCTGACCAGAAAGTGTTGCGGAACTTTTCCTTTTCGGTGGAACCGGGGCAGAAGGTGGCCCTGGTGGGCCAGTCCGGGTCGGGAAAAAGCACGGTGCTGCAGCTGCTCGCGCGGTTTTACGACGTGGACCAGGGGTCGATCTCCTACAACGGCAAGGACTTACGCGGGCTGGACCTGGAGGACCTGAAGCAGCACATCGGCTGGGTGTCCCAGGAACCGGTGCTTTTTCACGGCACCGTCCGTGACAATTTACTGTTCGGCATGGAGCCGGAGCAGGCGGCGCTGGTGTCCGACGAAAAGCTGCTGAAAATCTGCGACAAGGCCCAGGTGGGCGAGGTGGTCCGGAATCTGCCAGACGGACTAGACACCTTCGTGTCCGGCGGGAACTTGGCGCAACTCTCCGGGGGGCAAAAGCAGCGGCTCTCCATCGCGCGCGCGCTGGTGCGGAGCCCGGGGCTGCTGGTGCTGGACGAGGCGACCTCTGCGCTGGACTACGAGTCTGAGCGGCTGGTGCAGGCGACCATCGACCGCATTTGTGCGTCCGAGAATCTCACCGTGATCACGGTGGCGCACCGGTTGAGCACCGTGCAGAACAGTGACAGAATTTACGTGCTCAAAAACGGGTGCGTCGTCGAGTCCGGCACGCACAAAGAGCTGGTGGCAAAGCAGGGCGAGTACTACCAGTTGACCGTGGCGAACGACCTGCAGAGCACGACCGCGGCTCCAATCGTCGGGCGAGCAGATTATTTGGAGGGAACAAACTACCACGCCATCGAGACGGACGACGAGAGTAGAAGTGCGCGGGAGTTCTTGGCCGGGGGCGTTGCAGCTGCAGTTGCGCCAGATGTTGAAAAGGCTGCGGAGGTAGCTGGTGCAGGAGAGGATGGTGCGCCGTCCTCCTCCTCGTTGAATACCGACGAGAAACATCAACAGCCCGAGGAGGCAACAGCACCCGCGAGTCTGCAGTTAATCCTCACGCCGATCGTTGAGGAGGAACGTCAAAGGGCGACCCCGGAGATGAAGCCGAAGAAATCGACGTTAGCCACCCTGTTGGAAGAGGACCGCGAAGGCCGGTCGTCCGACGCAGGAGTGGGGGTAGGTGGGCAAGAGGAGCAAGATATGGGAAAAATTCGTCTGTCGACAAAGGAACAAGGAAAAACGTCTCTTCGATCATCGTCTCCCCTCTTGTCCTCCGCCGGGAAGCCCACGCGAGCCCGGAAGTCGAGCGAGTTTGATGCTTCATCTCGCCAGACCTCGCGGGAGGTTGAGGCCCAGGTCGTGGACAAGCACCTCCCGAAGGTCGTTGACGAGGCGACGGAGAAGAAAAAAATGGAGAATCTGAACGAGGTGAAGTCGGACGAGGCGAAGGAGAAGGAGCGGCAGAAGGAGGTGCTGAAGACCTACGAGAAGCCCTGGCTCCGCTTGCTCCTGCTGAACCAGGGCGCCGAGCGGTGGCTGCTGGTGCTGGCCTTGGTTTTTTCCCTCGCGCAGGGCTTCAACGGTCCCCTGATCTCCACCTTCTTCCGCGACGCCATGCAGGAGCAAGCCAGTACGATGGAGGGGGAGGCCCCCGAGGTGAACGTGGGCGTCCGCGACGCTGGCTGGAAGATGCTGGTGGCCGCTGTGGTGAACGCGGTAGCCGTGGTCGGCGGCCAGGCCGCGCTGGCGTTCGCGGGCGCGAACATTACCTACCGCCTAAGGCAGCAGACCTGGCGGGCGATGCTGAAGCTGGAACTCGCCTTTTTCGACCACCCGGAGCACTCGCCGGGGCAGCTTTCGACCCTGCTGTCGAAGTCCACGCAGAACGTCGCGGACGTGTGCGGCCCGAATCTCGCCCTGTACTTATCAAAAGGAAAAATCCCCCCTCCCCATATCAAAACGAAATTTCTGATGCTGGATTTGGGTACACAAATTTGTGTTGCAGAAAGGCATGGCGGCCAGATTCGCCGGCTAGCTGGGGGCGTATGGGTCTAGTTGCTCAGCATGGCAAACGGCCTCCCTTTAGGCCCAACGGCATGACAAACCGCCTCGATAATATGGCGGAAGCTTTTGCACTTGTCTTCTTGCAAGACAAATGTGATTTGCGACCTCAAATCAGCAACACAAATTCGCGGAAACATGCCTTTTCGATATGGGGAGGGGGAGTTTTTCCTTTCAATAGTACTTCCAGGCGGCCGCACTGCTGCTGGTCACCGTGGTTTGGGGCTGTATCAACCAGTGGAAGCTGTATGAAATGCAAAAATGTCTGGGACTGGAAGAATGCAACTTGTGATGCTGCGTTTGGATTCCAAAAAAATCTGTATTGCAGAAGTAGCAAAGGGAGTGCTCGTTTTGCTACGCTGAGAAGGCATTTTTCATGCGGAATAGGCATCAAGAAGCCCTCAAAAAATCTGTACTGCTAGGGTATGCATCACAGACATCATGGCTCATGCAAAACGTGCATGACAAGTGTCAGAATCTTCCAGACCGAGACATTTTTGCAGTTGATAAGCTGATGCTGCTGCTGATTTTGGTTTCCTTCGCGTCCATGGGGGTGATCATGGCCTGCATGATGCGGCAGCTGGCCGCGGACGCGGTGACGCCGCAACTCACCCTCGCCGGGCACTACGCCTCCGAGTGCTTGTACAACATCCGCGCGGTGCGGGCGCTGTCCGGCGCGGAGCCCATGTTCGCGCGGAAGTACGCAGAGTGCGTGAAAACCCACCGCGACAATAAGGACGCGGACGCCCTGAAGAACGCGGTCATCCTAGGGCTCGGCTTCAGCATGCAGAGCTTCCTCGGGCCGCTGGTAAATTGGGCGGTCGTGATTGGTTTCGTCTCGGTGGGGGTGAAACAGTACGACTTAACCTACATCCAGACCCCGAGCCAGGTGTTCGACTTTTTCAAAAACGAGTACATCGGCACGTGGCTATCCGGCATCGCGCTGGCGGTGAACATGATGAACAACCTGGCCGGCGAAATGGGCCGCATGGTGCACCTCGGGCCGGACACCGGGCGCGCCTTCACCGCGGCGCACGACCTGTTCAAAGTGATCGACCGCAAGCCGAGAATCGACGTAGATGAAGCTTCGCAGGGAAAAGTGAAGCGGGGCTCGCCACTGGAGCTGCTGGACTTGCCGGACAAACCCCGGGTCTCGTTTCCGGAGGTCGGTAAGGTGGAGTATGTATCTCACAGAAATAAAAGACAGAATGGGTGCAAAATGCAAAAAAAAGAAAAACAAAAAAATCGAATATTGTCCTAAATAGCACGCTATGGGCCCGACCATGACAGTTTTTTCTTACAGTATACATTTCGTTTTGCATACTTATATAAATATACAAATATGCCTTATGGTCGTTCCTTTTCTGTGGGATAGTATGACCGGGTGCGATTCCGCTACCCGACTCGGCCGAACACGGAGGTGCTGCGGAACCTGCAGAACTTCCACTTTACCGCGGGGCAAAGCATCGGGATCTGCGGCCCAACGGGCAGCGGGAAAAGCAGCATCCTTGCGCTGCTTGCCCGGTTCTACGACCCGAACTGCATCGTGGACGAGAGGGCACTGCTCTCCCGGTCCGGGAGTAAGAGCAAGCTGTTTCGGTCGGGGAGTAAGGACAGCAAAAAATCTGTCGGCAGCAAGAAGGGCAGCAAAATAAAAAAGTCCGGCGACGACACTGGCGACGGATCGGCTGAGGCGAGGAAAAGTCGAATAAATCCAGCAACACCTCCCATCGCAACTGGTAGCAGCACCTCTGCTGGTGGTCCTAGTCCTACTCTGCCTTCTCCCACCAGTTCTTGTGCGCCGGTAGAAAGCGCGGCGGGCGGGGGAAAAGAGAAAGGCAATGTGAATAAAGGGAAAAATGAACAGCAAGAAAATAAACAACCTGTTGGTGCGAAAAAAGATGATGATGCAAACATCAAAACTGCTGCAAACGGAATAAAAAACATCAAGGGGTCTACTTCTACTGATAAAAATGCCACAACTACTCCAACTGCGAGTTCTAAAAAACCGCCGCCGGAGATCCGGCTCCACTATGACCCGGCGCGGAACGGTTGCTTGCTGGTCACCCCAACAGACACGCCGCTCGCGGCGCACGATCTCTCCCTGGAAGTGCAGCTCCGGAAGTGGCGGAATCTAATCGGGTACGTGGGGCAGGAGCCCATCGTGTTCGACCTTTCCGCTTTGGAAAACTTGCTCTACGGCCACCCGGCTCCGACCACCGTCACCCGCGAGGAGCTGCAGCGGGTCGCGCAGATGGCCTGCCTGGACTTTTTAGCCGCGGAGCCCCCGATTAAAGTGGTGCAGGGAACGTCGAGGACCTCGCTGAACAAGCGGGGCGGAAGGAAGAAGAAGGCAGACGTGTGGGAGGAGGCTGACGTGAATTTATTCCACGCCGGACTTGCAGCTCCCGTGGACATCGAGGCGCCGGCGGAGACGCAGAGCCA